TGCTTGGAACCGCATGCGTCGCCTGGAAAAATGCCGCAGTGTCGTGAATTGAGATGGCAGCGAATTGACAGGGGGGTGTCGCGGGGTGCTCTTCCATGAAAGGAGCAGGAGAGGTGTCACGTCATCGTATATATACATATATAGAGAGAGAGAGATAGATAGATAGATAGATAGATCTAATTGTAAACAGGCATACACACGGATCCCCCTAGCTGAGTATGCGCGCTATACGTCTCTCTCTATAGACTTACGCTTGTAGGTATGGCCGCTGTGTCGCATGCATGCAGGAGGCATGCATGCATATGTGTGGTATGTATGGGTCTGAGAGAAGCGCTGCTTCTCTGTGGATATGGGATGTCGCCACGCGCGTCTGCAGGCACCTTTTCTTTTGTCTTTTGAGTCTCTTGATCAAACTTCGCATCCGGCATGTATCTTTAAGCTGTTCGACGATCTTCAGCAAGATGCCCTTGCGGTCCAAGCAGCTGGCGTATGCGCGCAGACCCCTTTGTAGCTGTTGCAGTTGACGCGTCTATGTGTATATATATATATATATGTGTTTGTGTTTGTGTGTTTTCGTTTATGTGTTTGTGTGTGTCGGTTTGTCTGTGTGTGTGTGTGTCTGTGTCTATGTGTGTGTATATGTGTATGTGTGTGTGTGTGTATCTGTGTGTTTGTGAGTCTCTGTATCTGTGTGTTTGTGTGTATCTGTATCTGTGTGTTTGTGTGTATCTGTTTGTGTGTGTTTGCTTTTCTGTGTGTCTGTGTGTGTGTCTGTGTCTGTATCTGTGTGTGTCTGTTTGTCTGTGTATATGTGTCTGTGTCTGTGTGTGTCTCTCTGTTTCTGTGTGTGTGTCTCTCTGTGTCTGTGTATGTCTCTATGTCTCTCTGTGTTTGTGTCTCTGTGTCTGTGTCTCTGTGTGCTGTTTACTGCTGCGCAACGATCGGTGCTGCTCCTGCGGCTGCCAGTGTTGCTTTTTTCTGCCATTCGAGGAGGCAGCGCTGGGGAGTGCAGCGTCGAGGAGTTGATGGAAAGGAAATTCTTGCTCCTTGAAATATTTCTGCGTTTTGCGTATTCAGATATGCCTTTCTGCACTGGCATCTGCGGGGGAGTCTTCCTGGCTCCGTCCATACGCAGTTGCCGCAGTCAGTCAGCGCTTACAGGTCCATACGCCGCCGCATGGCGCGAGCAGCAGCAGCAACAGCAACAATAACCCCCAGCAGCAGCATATAAAGCCTCGAAATTTCCAGCCTCGACAGAGCAGCTCCTCTGCTGCGTCGTGCAGCAGCAGCGAAAAAAAAGCAGCTGCCGCGGCAGCAGCAAATGAAGCCTCCTCAAGCGTGCTGACAGCGTCTGCAACAAGAGCCGTCTTTCCTGCTCGCAGCTGCAGCGCTCACCCTTCATCGGTTAATCTGAATTTCGCCTTCGACTCCTCATCTGGGGAGGGCGAAGCCGTCTCCTGGCCGGCAGCAGCAGCAGCAACAGCAGCAGCAGACACCGCAACAGCAGCAGCAGACACCGCAACAGCAGCAGCAGACACCGCAACAGCAGCAGCAGACACCGCAACAGCAGCAGCAGACACCGCAACAGCAGCAGCAGACACCTCATCGCCAGCTCGCGCGAAAGGGGGTGGCTTTTGTGTGGGGGGTGCTGTCTCGGTTGTACCTGATACATACAGCAGACATCAAATTGGGAAGCTCTTTGGTTGCTCTCTCGTAGAATTTTTTTCTCTCGCCTTCCAGAAAAACGACACCCCTGCTCTGTCTTCCTTCTCCCGCAGCAGCAATGGGGGAATTCCCTCTCTCTCTCCCCAGGCTGCAGACGCGGCTGATCCGCAGAATGCTGCTGCTGCTGCTGCGGCAGCAGCAGCAGCAGCAGCAGCAGCAGCACACGGGGGCACGCTGGCCGTTCTCGCCGCAGATCCTTGTGTGCTCAACTTCACGTACGACACTGACGATGAAGAGGAGCCGCAGAGGGGAGAGCAGCACAAGCACAAGCACAAGCACAAGCAGCAGCAGCGGCAGCGGCAGCCACAGCCGCCTCAGCAGCAGCAGCAACAGGAGCCGCAGCGAGTGGGCTCGCCGTCGCAGCAGCAGCAGCAGGAGGCACTGCTGCTGAGCAAGCGGCTTGAGCGTATCGCTTACGAGACAGCGGCAAGAAACTTCGCGGATTCTTTGGCGGCTTATGCGATCTTCAGCTATCTCCTGCAGGTGCGCGTCGATAGAAGGCGGTTGTCGAGGCTTGAAGTGCTTTCCTTCGCCGTCGCGCAGCTTAATTTGTCTGCGCAGTCTTTTCGTGCTTCGCTTTTCCAGGCTCTGTGCCGCAGGCGGTGCGAATGGACTTGTGGGGATGCAGTCTCTGTCGCCGTGTGTGTTTTCTCAGGTGAAGGATCGTCACAACGGCAATGTCTTGATCTCCGTGGAGAGCGGTCGCCTGATGCATATTGACTTCGGATTCATCATGGAGCTATCTCCGGGAGGCGATCTCGCGTTTGAGAGGGCACCCTTCAAGTTGACGGCGGAAATGTCTGTGTTGCTGGGGAGAGAACAAGGACCTCTTTTTAAAGCTTTTTCTAGCAAATGCATTCGAGGGTCGGTGTGTGTAGTCTGCTTCGCCATATGCGGGCTAAAAACGTCTCGCTTTAGCGCTCTCTGCTACCCAAGCGCCATCTCTCTAATCCCACCCTTCCTCCCTTCCTTCCTCGGCTTGCGGTTCTGCTCTGCAGAGCTGCCCGCGGTCGAGGCGCACGGGAAAGTCTGGGAGAAAGTTTCGTGCATGTTTGCATATTTGTGTTTTGTGCATGTTTGTGTGTTTTGTGCATGTTTGTGTGTCTTGTGCATGTTTGTGTGTTTTGTGCATGTTCGTGTGTTTTGTGCATGTTTTGTGTTTTGTGCATGTTTGTGTGTTTTGTGCATGTTTTGTGTCTTGTGCATGTTTGTGTGTTTTGTGCATGTTTTGTGTTTTGTGCATATTTGTGTGTTTTGTGCATGTTTGCGTGTTTTGTGCATATTTGTGTGTTTTGTGCATGTTTGCGTGTTTTGTGCATGTTTGTGTGTTTGTGTGTTTTGTGCATGTTTGCATGTTTGTGTGTTTTGTGCATGTTTTGTGTCTTGTGCATGTTTGTGTGTTTTGTGCATGTTTTGTGTCTTGTGCATGTTTTGTGTCTTGTGCATATTTGTGTGTCTTGTGCATGTTTGCGTGTTTTGTGCATGTTTGCATATTTTGCATATTTGTGTGTTTTGTGCATGTTTGTGTGTTTTGTGCATGTTTGTGTGTTTTGTGCATGTTTGTGTGTTTTGTGCATGTTTGCATATTTTGCATATTTGTGTGTTTTGTGCATGTTTGTGTGTTTTGTGCATGTTTGTGTGTTTTGTGCATATTTGTGTGTTTTGTGCATGTTTGTGTGTTTTGTGCATGTTTGTGTGTTTTGTGCATATTTGTGTGTTTTGTGCATGTTTGTGTGTTTTGTGCATGTTTGCGTGTTTTGTGCATATTTGCGTGTTTTGTGCATATTTGTGTGTTTTGTGCATGTTTGCATATTTTGCATGTTTGTGTGTTTTGTGCATGTTTGTGCGTTTTGTGCATGTTTGCATGTTTTTTGCTTTGTGCATGTTTTGCATATTTGTGTGTTTTGTGCATATTTGTGTGTTTTGTGCATGTTTGTGTGTTTGTGTGTTTTGTGCATGTTTTGCATGGTTGTGTGTTTTGTGCATGTTTTGCATATTTGTGTGCATGTTTTGCATATTTGTGTGCATGTTTGTGCATGTTTGTCTGCTCAGCTTCTTGATTCTTCGGGAGCAAGCCGATAACTTGATATCCTTCTTAGAGGCCATGCAGTTCTCGGGCATAGCATGCTTTAAGCCCCTCGCCGTAGAAAATCTGCGGTAAACCTTTTTTCTGGTAGTCACTCCGTCCTTAGAGCTATCCCTGCTGTTGCTGTCTCGCTCGCAAGCTCCATTTCTGGAAGCCGTCGCCTCTGCCTGAGGCGAAGAGAACGCGGCTTCCCAGCTTGGCGCTGCTGCTATGTGCGTATTTATGCACCCATAGGTCCCGCTTTCAGCTTCACCTTTCTCCCCTCCAGGCTGTCGCTTTCATGGAGGCTAAAATTCGCGAGGCTCTGCAGTCTTTCACCACGAAAGCCTACGATGTTGTTCAGCACCTGCAACAAGGCATTGAGCACTAATCGCCAGACCGCTGCTGATGCGAACCCTTCCCCCCACTGCTGCTGCAATTGCACACGTTCCAGCTGCTACTGCTGCAGCCACTTCCGGAGCCGTAGCGGATCAGGCAACTCAATCTAAGAGTCTATATGTAAATATGTATAAATATATATATGTATTCCTACGTACATGTACACATCTGGCAGGGAAGCATGTTCGCCTCTCTGCGACGCGATAAAATATCAGCACTCCTTTTTTCGGTTTTCTTCCATGTATATATAAATATATGTATGTATCTATAAATATATATATATATACATATATATTTATACTACGCTCAGTGGGCAACAGACCCGCTTCAGGAGCAGCGCAGTCCCTGAAGCGGTGATTGTGAGGTGTCGTGCCTCTTGCGCACACTTTTGCACTGCAGCGAATTCAGCATTAGAATTCGTCAGTTTTTCTGGAAAAGCTTTTAGTGCAGGACGCTGTGGTACTTCCACGAGGGCTCCTCAGTCACACAACCAGCCAATCTTTCCTACGTGCTTTTTGCGGGGAGTCAGCTGCACTTTCTGCAGCCTTGGGAAGCTCGAAACGTCCACAGTGTAGAGCAAACAGGCATAATACATACTCAATACGGGGGTGGTGCACGAGAGTCTAGAGTGTGTTTTTGCTCATAAGCATGCTCCTTGATGCCCCCCCGACCCCCTCCGCAGCCCTTAGTATCGATGACAGCATCGGTTCCAGCGGCTCCTGAGATTTAATTTTGAACTCTTTTTGAGGTGCATACGTCACCGTGCAGCAGCTCCAATAGGAGCGACAGAGACGCACTGACAAGCAAGCATCTAAACGGCGTATCGGCCCCCCCCGAGAATGCGGGCTGGCTCTTCCACTTGCGCGCGCTTCCTTCTCTCGAGAGCCTGAAACTTCTGACTGTCTGGTATTATATCGGCATGCAGCTTTATCGCAGCCGCCTGCAGTTTCTCGAGCGTCACATTGTAGTTGGGGTTGGTGCGCACACCCTTGGGGGGGGCCATGTGCCGGATCTGTTCGCGAGGGCGTTCTGACCATCCCCTGTACAGACTCTCGTCTACCTCCTAAGCGGATGCGCACCATCACAAACGGGATGTTTTTCATGCAATAAAAACGGCAGGCCGCGTGCTGCCGAGGCTGCAACGGCAGCAGCAACTGCTGCTTGTCTCCCCACCTGCTTGTCTGTGCTCCAAAAGTGCAGCGGATACACCAGCGGCAGGAAAGCCGATTGTTGGCACGGTTTGACTAGCGCCAACAAGGCCATCCCGTGAAGCTTTAATCAGAGCGCTGTGGCATTTAGCCGTCAGATAGGTGGATCAAGAGTAGTGCCGCTGGCAGCCAGAACGACGACGCCGCGCGCAGTGTACAGTACCTGTTTCAGCGTCTTGCATGAGGTGATCTCGACAACGATGGCACCATACTCTTTGAGGCGTCCAAAGGATACTTTCGTGTCTTTCGGGTGCTTCTTGCGCCTTCTGTGAACAGCAATAGAATAGCAGCAATACACGAGGAAAAAAATGCAGCGCCACTGACGTGCGGTGAGGCAGCTTCGCTGTTGAACTCCCAGCCCGCAACCCCACCCGGTGCACCTGGCAGGCCCACCCTGTACAGCCGAACTGCCTGCAACTGCAGCAGCAAAATCATCTGCGAGAGTAACTTGCTCGATTCTGCGAGGTCCAGCGAAGAGGCTTGGGAGGTTCCCGTGAGCAGCCTCGTAGAGGCGGACTAACTCCGCCTCCAGCACGCCTGAGAAGCATTTCAGCCAAATCCGAAGTCTTCCCCTCCTTCCCCACCTCACGACGTCCTTTGAACGTAGTGGCGCGGTGTCCACTCCCATGTGTGCACCCTACCCCGTGCCAATACAATTCATCGTTCTACGCGGGGGAGCAGGAGTGGCTGCTCTGCTTGGCGGCTTAAATCGAAACGCTCGCAGCACAAAAGCAGCGCTCACGGTGCAACTTGAAATCCTTCTCGTCTTCCCCTGAGTGAGGACCTGGGGGAGGGCTTTTCGGTTGTGCGTTGCGTCTGGATCTGCCGCTGGGATCGTTTTCCAGCTCGAGGTGATAGCTCCAAGGCAACCACTCTCTGTAGAGCTCTGCGCTGTTTCTTCTGCCTCGCCTTCTACTCCGTTCTCTGCTGTGCGCTCTCTGCTGTGCTTTCCCCCTCCCCCCGTTCAGCGCTCCTTCGGTTCTGCGCTCATCTCGATTTCCCCTGCTCCGGATCGCCAGGCTGTCTCCTCGCCCCTGTGATTGCTCTCGGATGCCTTCCCGCTGCCTTCGGATTGCCAAGGCGTCAGCTCGTGCCTCGACCATCTGGCCTTGCGACGAAGCCTCCGACGCATGCTCTCGACGCAAAGGCTTTCCTCCTAAGCCCGCCACAGTCGGGAGCCACTGCTTGACGGCGAGGCTTGCTGCTAAAACGGGATCTTTGGCAATTCTAGAGGCGCCTTCGAGCTGAGAAGCAACGCCGTTTGGCTCTCGATGGCTCACAATCCCTGCCGGCGATCCTCCAGTGAACTCGATCCCCGACGAGCTACCCTCCTGGCCCTGTGGTGTTTCCGGAGCAAAAGGGGATCTTTCCAAGGCTGCACAGCCACATCCGCAGAAGGGCTGGTGGAAGGACGCCGGTAAGAAGCGGCGGGAAGCGGAGCTGGCTCTGTAGGGTTTGCCTGTATACCGCAAGTAGTCATCTTCAAACGTCTGTTGCAAGAGGTCTCGTCGAAAGACGACCTAGGCACAGCAAACAGCAAACGCAGCTTTCAAGGAGCCTCCCATCTTGAGGATCTCAGAAAAACGCCCGTCTCCTCCGTCGGGCTTCTTTCGCACCAACGCATCCTGGCTGCGTTGCTGCCGCAGGCGTGCCTGCCCCCTGCTTGCAGTTCGAGGCTTCCCACACGGATCTAGACTTTACCTGCTGAGTCTTGATCAGGTGCCTGAGTCTTTTGGATCGCTGCCACCGCTCCCGTTCTTGAGGTCCCCAGTGCCTCCTGCGCGTGAAGCTCTTCCTTTCCTTGAAGTCTAGTCCGAAGTATCGCAAGTGGTGCTTTTCTGCTGCGGTTAGGAGAGGCTGCCCAGGCCCCCTCAAGAACTCGTCTTCGCTTAAAGCCTCAAACGGCTCCAGCGGCAGAGACTCCCAAGGCTCACCCACAGAAGACGAAGCTCTGGAGGAAAGGGCCTCTCTACTCTGCAGCTCTTCCACGCGCTCCGCCTGACGCGTGAGCGCCTGCGAAGCTCTGTCTGGGAGCGAGGACGCCACGGCATTCATATTGAGAAGAGGCTTGGTTGGAGGGCGCTGCTTTCCGCGAGTCTTCGCCTGCCCTTCCCTACAAGCGGCCGCCCAAAGCTCCTCCAGGGCAGGTTCGAGCTTCTTCTGAGGGGCAGAGGTGCGAGGCATAGAAGCGGCAAGCACACGGGGGCAAGCAGTATACTTGGTCTGGACGCGGTGGGAAAACGTAGCTTTTTGGATGCAAGACGAAAACGGCAGGAAGCGGTAACAACGAGGCCAAGGAGGGTGGACAGATTTGTAGATGCGTCTCTTAGCTCGGCGTGCGCTTGTGTGTGGTTTGCTGCCGTTTCAAAGCCCCTTGCACACCCTCTCCTGCATGTCTGCAGCTAGTCGTATCTCTAGCTGCATGCGCGCTCTTGCCTATGCTAGCTCGTGGGTGCTTCCGCGGTCCCTCATTTTCCTTACCCTGGAACGTGTCTGTGAGCCTTCCTTCTTGAAGGGGCCATGCCCCCACCTCGGAGCAAATCCATGAGGCGTCAGGGGAGGGGCGGCCAAATAATCTCTTGCTCCTGGCTTGCGGACTGGGGTGTCTTCCTCCCTTAGCTTGTAGGCCCCTGGGGGATACTGATAAGCGTACCCGGGTGCCCTAGCGTGTGTCTCTACTCCGAATCTACGAATGTCTTCGTCTCTAGCCTCTTCCAGCAGCTTCCTAATACGCAGCACTGAACGCGCTGGACTGGCCTCTGCAGGTTCTCGCGGAGCTTCGCAAAGTTCCTTCATAAAGTCTCCCTTGAATTTCGAGGGGAGGGAAGAGAGTAAGGCGGACGACCCTAGAACCCCCCAGGAGGGCAACCAGGTTTCCTGTGGCATTTATGGCAAGGCGGAAAAATTAAGGGCCAGTTTTTGTTTTAGAAATTGCTCGGTCGCGTTGGTACTGGAGAAACTGGAGTCTCCAAGGACAGGGGTGACCAGTGGGCAGCAGCTCTTGAGCTCGCTCAGGTGAGGCGCCGAAGGCCATGGGGATAACAACGCACGAACCGCTGTCCTCTAAATCAAGTGAAACAATGAATTAATAAACTTTAAAAAGCAGACAAAAATCATGGAGTGAAATAACGCCGAAGAAAAGTGAGCGCTTGCCTTGAATCTCTGGCATGCGACAGTCATTTTCCGTGCAGGAGGCACCACGCCGCCCCCTCCTCACTAGCCATACTCGGCAGGCGGGCAGTACACGTAGCCTGATGAATTCCAATACGGTGCGCTTCTTTTTTCTTGTATCTGGTTGTTATGCTGGAGTTTGTCTTTCAGACAAACTCCAGGTGCGTTGCCGCCTTGAAGGGGCCACAGAAAACGAATCGATGCTTTGACTGACGCGCCGGGCGATCCAAGTAATCAGAAAGTGGGGAGTAGCGACGAGCCTGGAAAACAAGAGGCTACGCGGGTTTCCAGCTGCAGGCGCCGTAAAAGATTTCAAAAAGTGCTGCTGCGGTCATCTGCACGCTCTGGCAAGCCGCCCACGATCATGAACGAATCTACAAATGTTTCGCATTCTGCATCAGAAATTGCAATTAAAACACGCCAAATGAGTTCTTGCTTTGTATCCGCTTCACTCTGCGGTGGAGGTGTCTCGCGAACCACTCCTTACTCCTATCCTGTTCGCTCTTAAAATTGAAATCAGGCAGAGATGCCAGCTGCTCCGGAAGCTCTGGCGTTTGGGCCTGCAAACTCCCAAAGCACCCAAATGCTATCTGCTATGAAATACGGAGTGAGTCGCTTTGCAGCGGCGGCAGAAAACACACGGACGCGCTGCGCCCTTGCATCTCACCTCGTGCTGGGAATGCCCGGGAGGGTTTAGCCACATATGGGCAGTTTCCGTATTAAAATATTACTCATCTAGAAGCTAGTTGTATGTTCGACTTGAATGCTTGTGTTATTCGTTTTGATAGGGTGGAATCAACTTTTCTGTGCAGCCGCTAGAACAGATGTTCCAGGGCCCTTCGCCACTAGGTGGAGTTTTTCGCAGATGCTCAGAGAGCTCAAACGCCGCAGCACCCCGAAAAACCAGCATTGCTTTTTCGATAAATGTCTTAACCACACGAGTTGAGAGCGAGGAAAGAATGAAGCAGCTAAAATGAAAAAATGTAGCGGAGGGGCCTCATTAGCCTAGCCCACGAGGAAGCACACAGAGGGAATGAAAATTTTAATCTCCATGATTCCGCCTTAGGCAACAATGCATGGCGTTCTCAGCGAAAGATGGAGCGACACAGGTATGTCGCATGAGGTCTGTAAGGCCGAACCAGCAAGGAATGATAATCAACTCCAGAGCTAACAGTGAGAACAACGGGAAATCCTCTGGAGGCAGCTGCCTTGAGCGCACGTATTTCCTCAAAGTTTTCCCTCCTCAATGCGCTGCAGAGAACACCGCACGCCTCTCTCAGCACCAAACATCCCCTTATTTATTGGTGGAAAGAGCCATCTTCCATCGTTTGCTTCGCTTACCCACCACTGGTTCGTACCGAGCTTGCCCCAAAGTGCACTGCACCAATATCCGCTGTAGATTTCTGCAGCTGAGCAGAACCTTACTGTCGCGACGAGGCAGGCGCAATACCAGCAACGAATGTCTGCACTTTTACATTTGGGCAGTCCTTATGACATTTTTAATGTTGAGTTCCCAGTTCAGTCAATCTATCTAGTTCGGAAGGTGTATAGGGCTCTTCTTGACAAACGCTCGATTAAATTGAAGCCACTACACATGTATTCCCATTGTCAAGCCACACGCTGTGCACTGCAAAATACACTGATTGGAAGATAGCAGGAACACAGTCACACGCAGTGCTTCTATTGATGTAAAAGTCGGGGGGGAACTTTAAAAGCCAGCTTCAAAGGCAGATTTATTCCCTGAAGGAGTTACTTCAGATGGTCGAGTGCAATGTGCGTCTGTGACGAGGGTTGCTAGTTAGCACAAGCCTCTCCTGGATCGGCGGAGGGCTTCCAGGAGTACGGCAGCAGACTAGACCAACATGTGTCAGTAGGAGTTTCATTTGTTCGACGCAGAAGCTTGCAACGACCAGCTTGGAGAGCGAGCAATCAGGCTTCGTGCGGACTTACAACGATAGGAGCAGCGGTCCGAAGAGCGATTTAAGCACCGACTCCGTGCAAATGCGAGTCTGATAGTGCCATCTGTGGAAAAAGGTTACGAAATGAGATGAGCTGTTGGGTTCGGGTGGTAAAAGCCATGGATCCTACCGAACCTTCAATTACCTCAGGAGGTAAACTGACACTGTTACTGCGGCAGCAACAGCAGGAATATATGCTTGCTCAGTATGCAATGTCCTGTTGCGGTACTTTGAATTGCTCTGCCACCAAAAGAGTAGCGTGCATTTCATTTAGTACAGTGTTGTAGCTATTATGGGGTGCCAAATCTGGGTGCAGATGCATGTCGAGTGCAGACAATTCAAACATGTAGTACACTGGCTGTTAGCCGTATGAGCAGATGAGCTACATCGTGGACAGAGCTGGATTAGTGATAATGCAGCTATTTGCATTGACTGGCGTGAGACTACCGCCACCTGTAGCCTGGCTGACTAACATTGTGTGAAACTCGGTGAAGGGTCCCTTGGATTGGAGTGAAAATGATAAAAAGCGTATTCTTGTATCATCGCTGAGGAGCCTATTCCTATGACGATTTCTGGTGCCCGTAAGGCTACGTACAAGAGCTAGGCAACGATAAGTTTGCAGGAGCAAAAGCGGCAGCAGGGGCGGCGAAGGCCTACAAAAAGGCGGCGTGAAAAGGGCATCTTAGCATGTTTTCTTGTCAGACTTAAACCAAACGTCACTGCAGCAGTTAAAATTCGGATGTCAGGACTACTCTGGTTAGGTGTCTCGCGAATGGCACACTGAAGAGCACGAGGCATTCAACAGGCACTGGGAACAGGCATCTATGTCTGCGAGATTATCGATTTGCCGCTCGACTCTTTTGAGTGCAGTTTACACGGTTGGAGGCCTTTATTTTGAGATTCAGTCTGCGCTGTAACCTGCGAAGCCTGGAAGCTTCCTGAGATCTGCACGGTTCGGGGAGGCGGCTGCTTCTTTGGCAGGTTTCTGAATGTTTTAGCGGTGTAAATACTAGTGGGAAACAAATAAATGCAGAAGTAACAGAGGCTAATTCGAAGGTTTCCGCACCCATTACTCTGTTTTTCTCCCCAAGTTGCGGTACACCGACAAGTGTACAAGGAACAGTGCATACACTGAACTTCGTGGGAAATTGCGCAAATTTTCATTTCAGCACCCTTCACGACATAGTTACAATGCCTTTGTCAGAAGGCGCCGGTGCGTGGGATTGTTTCGGTTTTTAAAAGGAAGAACGAAGAATGAAGAGACGGCGGCACGAGTATCTGCCGGGGCATCGGCCAGAGTAGCAAGACACGAAGGATGTCACCAATATGGGCTTATATATGTAAGAATTTTCACATAAAGATTGTGTGAAAAAACAATTTCTTCAATTAATGTGGGCTATTTCAAGTGCCTGCTTCCCAGCACAGCTATTGTGTAGGTGTTGCCACTCTCTTGCCTTCCCTTGCTCCCTCGCTGCGGCTACGCGTAGAGGGCTACCAATTGCACCAAAATTCCTCGCTTTGTTCTCCTTTCATGTTTTCATGTGAGGAAGCGTAATTTCTCTTTTCCGTCATCTTTCTGCTCCTCTCCCACATCTGCGATTTCCTGCACAGCCCCCTGCACCACGCCTTCGCCTGGCCCACTCCATGTATACCTGCAGCTGCAACTCTGTAGCTCATAGTTGGTCTTCGTTTTGTTGTCTCGTTCGCGTATGGGGGAGAATCTTCTGAAGCAGATATCGGCCTAGTAGCTTTCGTTCAAGTACACTGCGCCGCACCGCCTTCTGCGAGTTGCTTGGGTTGCAGCAACTCTGCGCCGCTGCAGCAAGTTTGTACTGCAGTTTCAGCGGCCTCCCCCGTTTTTTGTTGTTGGAGTTCTCTGAAATCTGCACAAAGGGTCATAGCGACAGCTGTTGCACCCACGCTTTCCGTTCCGCATCCAGTTTTAACATTTCTCACGCTCCCCCTATCAGGAAGCACCAAGGGGTTCCGCTGGGTCTGCCGCTCTGCCGCTTGTTGCTCGACAGCTCTCAGCTGCCCGTTTCTGGAGTATTGCTCTTTCTTGTTGCTCGACAGCTCTCAGCTGCCCGTTTCTGGAGTATTGCTCTTTCTCGTGCTCGGCAGCTCCCAGCTGCCCGTTTCTGGTGTATACTACTCTCTCCGCAGTTCTGCTCTCTGCATTTCAGGATGCACGTGGGCTCCACAAAGCCTCCCTTGAAGGCTGCAGGCCCTGCAGCAGCCGTCACTGTCGCCGCAGTCGCCTGCGTTGTCGTTGCGTATCGACCCTTCTGCCGCTTCCTCTCCTGGATATTTCCGGAGGAGGCATGGTCGCCAGGGGTGGGTGTGAAGCTCGCAGTAGCCTATAGGTGGCCAATTATCGCGGCTTCCGTGCTGTACCTCCCCGCCGTCTATGCGTTGCAACGCTACATGAGGGATCGCCCTGCCTATTCGCTGCGATACGTCGCACTTCTTTGGAACGCCAGTCTCTCTTTGCTGTCGCTCTTGGGATTTCTGACCGTCCTGATCCAGCAGCCTTCCATGCTCCTCACGAGCATCAATCCCGAAAGACTCTTCTCGCCTCCGGTGAGGGCTGTGATCGCGCTCTTCACGCTCACCAAAGCCGTAGAGTTCGGGGATACGTTCCTGCTCGTGCTGAAGAAGAAGCCGCTCTCGTTTCTGCACCTCTATCACCACCTCACAGTCACGCTCTACTGCTGGCACGCCCAAAAGATCAACGCCGACTTCGCCCACGGCTTCGCGACCATGAATCTTGGCGTGCATGCGCTCATGTATCTGTACTTTGGACTTGCTTGCTGCGTATCGGTGCCTAGAGGAGGCGCAGCGGCAAGCAGCAGTCCTATAGTTAAGGGAACCTTGCACAAGGTGTTGCAGAAGTCACGACCGGTGATTACGCAGCTGCAGATCGCACAAATGCTAGTTGGTATCTACCTGGCGCTGCAAGGCGCCTTGTACCTCCAGGATGCCCAGCAGGTAGCAAATGCCAAGGTGGCTATTGGCATGTATGCGTCTTACGCCGTCCTCTTCATGAGGCTCTACTGCAGCAGCTACTTGCCGCATTTCAGCAGCAACAGAGTCTTGCTGCTGCTGCTGCTGCACGCGGTTGCTGCCGTCGGAGTGTACAAAATCTGCTGCACTACCAACAAGCTCATGGTGCTCGCCCACGTCGCTGCGGCGGCAGCAGTGTCTCTGGCGCTGACGTCGCTCAGCAGCAGCAAGAAGCACAGCGGCAGCAGATGGCTGCCGCTGTTGCTCGCTTTCAACTGGCTGTGTGGTCTTGCACAGGCTGTGCAGAAGGGCGAAGGCAAAGCGCAGAAACAGCCCGCCGCGGATAATAATAATCGTGTTGCTGCTGCAGATGCTGCTGCAGATGCTGCTGCTTCCGCCGCAAAGGCGGGTGTAGATACAGCCGCGCCGACGCCAACTCCTCCAGGGAGGAACGCCGTGTCTCCGAACAGCCCGCCAGCCCGCTGCCCCTCCGTGACTTCGACTGCCGCTGAAACTGCCACCATGGCTTCCCTCATTAGCAGCGGCGATGACTTCGACCAAACGTCGAGTCCGATGACGTCGAAGTTTGCCGACGCCGTCGCTCCTTGCGCACTTCCAGCGACAGCAGCCGCTGCAGCGAAGCTGCGGGGTGGACGGTCAAGGGGGGGAGAGGCGCTCACGATGCGTTCCTCCTCCCCCCCTGCGAGCATGCAAGCCGCGGAGCCACGCAGCTCGGGAGTTCTCTATCAGCTGATCAAGAAAGAGCCGATCCACTTGAGCTGGCTCGAGCTCGCGGCTGCAGCCGCTGGCGCAGGCTTTCCCGCGGTGTATGGCTACCTCGCTAACGGCGACTGGGGATTGGGGCTGTGCGTGTTTGGCGCCCTTCGATGGGCTCTCGAGTTGCATGCGGCAGAAAGAATACCGCTTCACACTTAGGAGGGGCAGACGGGGAGGGAGGGAGAGGAACGCTCTTGCATGCAGCGCTGCAAGCCGCGTCTCCTCCGCCTCCTTCCCTCCAGGCACCAGCACGCTTCTCTGCCGCCCCACAATCTTCGCTTTGCAGAGCGCACTAGGGCTCTTGCTGGCTCGCCAGCGAGGACCTATCCTTGCAGCCGCAGCTGCACAGCCAGGCAGTTGCGCAAAAATGCAGCACCGGGCAGAAAAAGTTGCGGAACCGCTTCTCTCGAGGAGCGTTCTTTCCCCGCCGCCCCTCTTCGGGGGCTCTAGCGGCTGCTCCGCTTCGTCATCAAAACATGCGCGTCTGCAGAGGCTTTTCCAGCGGTGCCGCAGCGCAGGCAGCCCACTGACACCTGCCGGAGCTGCTCGCCTGCGGCGCGCCTTCGGCACAACCCACACGCAGCAGCAGAGTGACCATGCAGCCTCTCCGGCGCTGCTGCTGCTGCCAATCTTACGACTGCAAGAACCCTCCATGAGCTGCGGCGGCAGCACACAGCACCTCTTTGTTAGATTCTCTGCAAGGCGCTTGTGGCTTCCCACCGGCAGCCTCACGAATGCGCTGGGGGGGTTGGCCACACTAGAGCAGCATGACAGAACGAGCTACTGAAGCTGCATCTGCAGCCATGTGCACCAAGCAGCTCCGGCTCGAAATAGCACTATGACTTTCCCGACAGAGCGCGAACAGACTCGTTGGAGCGTTTTTTCTTTTAGTCCAAATCCGAAGAGCCAGCAGGAGGGCGCCTGAAGCTTCTCGTGGGGCGGATGCCGCCAACTAAGGCTTGGCGAGAAGAGCTCCCGTAGCGATGCAGCCGCTCACGCAAGCCGCGCGAAAAAAACCCTTCGCGCGCCGCGCTCCTCTTTCGCCTCCCCTACGGCTGCTGCATTCGGTGCTGCTGATAGAGGGGAATGCCGATACGAAGTGGCGCAGCCCCTAAGATGCCTCCCCAGCCTTTAGGAGCACCCTTCCACCCCATAAATAGCTCTCGCTTGCGTTTAGCCACGCCGCAGAGCTCTATGACAAACGGTAGCGCCACGCAAAAGGAAGGCTTTGCGCGCAGGTTGCCGCCTCCTGCGAAAAGGACTGCTGCAGCAGCACTTATCGCAGTGCATGCGCAGCCGAGGCGAACGCGCTGCCTCTGGTGGCTGCCACACGACACTTCTACTGAAGGAAGAAGGGCCTCCTCGTGAAGAACACACGCATCTTCATGCAGCAGAACGGCCCCTCCCTCCCCACGCAATACTTCTTCTGCTCTTTTTTGCCGCTTGGCATGCGTTTGCTCGCCAGCTCCAGCGTCTGCTACCCATCTCTCCGACTCTAAACCGCTCTGCTCGTGCGTTTTTGCTGGGAGCCTTGAACCAACTGGCCATTGCTGCTGCAGGTATCCCCATATGCATGCACTTCTACCCTCTCTATCTGTATCTCTATCTGTATCTGTCTCTTTTTCTACCTGTTTGTATCTATGTGCATATGTCTGTCTGTCTCTGTATCTCTCCCTATGTCTCTCTCTGTCTCGCTCTCTCTTCATGTCTGCCCATGTGTGTGTCTCGACTTATCCAGCACGCCGCTCGCACGACTCACACTCCTAGCCCTCCACGCCACGAGGCGCTCCCATCTTTTCACCCCCGCATACGCCAGTCTCAACGAAAGCAGACACGAAACGCAAGCACGTGACAGAGACGGAAATACACTAAAAGGGGGAGTCTTAAGAGCTGCGCAGCAAAAACGCAGCAATTCTACAAGCTACACAAACAACCCCCTCCCTTCCTTCTCCCCGCCCTTAAAAGAAGGCCATACGCCTCACGTTGTGCACGCTGCCTCCTCCAACACGCGCTCAAAGCCTAAGCGCAAGATTGAGAATCAGAAATCGCAATAAACAAGTCAAAAAGCTCAAGCTCCTCCGGTTCCAAATTCGCATTGTGCCCAACACGCACCGGCAGCAGACTGCCGGACTGCAGGCTGCAGCACACAGACACATACATACAGACACATACACACACACATACAGACACATACATACAGACACATACACACACACATACAGACACATACATACAGACACATACACACACACATACAGACACATACATACAGACACATACAGACACATACAAACATACGGACACATGCATACAGACATATACACATACACACACCGACACACACATACAGACACATAGAGACGCACACATACACATACACACACACAGACACATACATACAGACACATACACACAGACACATACACAGACACATACACAGACACATACACAGACACACACAAAACAAAATAGAATTAAATAAATTAGATTCCTGGAGATAGATGGTCTCTGCGAGCCCGAAGAGACACATGCAAGGTGACAAGACACAGACGGTTCTACAGCGCCATCACGCCTTCGCTGAGAGCAACAGGGAAGTCTGCACCACTTGCGTCTCTTACTCTGCCAAGTCGCGCCAAGACGGAGAATTGAAAGCAAGGCCGAGCTTCTTCTCGCGAGACGTTGATGCACCGGATGACTCTGCAGTCGGTGCTTCGAACGAGAAGTACATCCTAAAACACAAACCGCCCAGAGAGCGCCTTAGACAAGCTTCTACTTCACAGACGGCTCGCTTGCTGCATGCAAGACGTTCCGAAACGCCACACACTGCACCCACTCCCAGACATCCTATCTCACCCCGCAATGACGCGCGCAAAATCCTTGAGGGCGGTGAAGTGCTGCATGAGACGCAGCAAAACGAATCTCTGGCAGATGCGCATGCCTTCTGCATCCTGTTGCACCGTTGGAAGGCTAATACCAGAGTCTCCTAGAGAAACTTCCACCCCTTCACGAACGCCGTAGAGCTCCTGCGAGGCGGGAATGTGATGGCGGTAGTGGTGCTGCTGCTGCTGCTCGTGGTGGCATCCTAGAGGTCCTCCCTTTGCCAGTTAGAAGCACAAGACAAGACGCCACAAGCACACGCATGCGCCTCTTGCTTTTTGCGCTTGCGTTTCGCTCTGCATACTCGCTTTGGCGCGCTGTTGTTGCTACGTTGGCAAGGAGAATTACCTGAGCCGCGCTGCCGGCTTGATGCTCCAAAAGGGCATCAACCCTGGAAGCTGCTGCTGCCGTCGCTGCAGTAACTCGGTGCAGCGTGACCAAAGACGCGAGGCAGCTAAGGAGTCTGCAGCACACAGCAGCAGCGGTGGAAAGAAAGAAAAAAAGAAAAAAATGGCTTCGTTTGCGCTTCTCTCACGCATCGTGGACGGCTCTCACACCGAAGCAGAGGTGGAGAAAGAGAGAAAGAGAGAAAGAAAGAAAGAGAAAGAAAGAAAAAAATGGCTTCGTTTGCGCTTCTCTCACGCATCGTGGACGTCTCGCACACCGCACGTGCCAACCTTCCTAAGCAACGCACCGCATCCAACAGCGAAGATGCAATGCCAGAGGTTCTTTCTGCTGCAGCTGCAGCTGCAGCAGCGTCTCTCGCGTGGTATCACCGAATTCCATCAGAAAGGTCGCCAGGAGGGAGGGTTCCTGACGCAAGCGCCGTCTTCTCTTGCCGCCTCTGCATGCGCTGCTGCTAGCTCGGCAGCTGGCTAGAGCTGCCTTTTCTGTGCCTTCCTCACGAGCACACAGCAGCAGCAGCTGCTGCTGCTCTTCGGTGAGAGAAAGGAGCTGCTCCGCAGCAGCTGCCGCTGGAAAAAGCCCCTCCGTTGCATGCAGATGCTGCAAGGCTTTTTCCGCTTGATCTACGACTGCCGCACACAGCTGCAGCATGCGCTGTCTTTGCTGCTGCTCCTTTTCACTTCTGCGCTCAAGCGGCTGCTGTTGCCTGATCTTCCAGTCCAACAGCTTCGCTTTCAAGGAAGACACCAGCAGCAAGTCTCTCAGCGTTTCACTCCGCAGATACGGCAAAAGCGGCTGCCACACAGCGAGTCGCAACAGCTGCTCGTGCTGCTTCTGCTGCTCGTGCTGCTCGTGCTGCTTCTGCTGCTCGTGCTGCTTCCGCTGCTCGTGCTGCTTCCGCTGCTCCAGGCCGGCTGCAGCAGCAGCCGTAGACAGCGCAGCTCCCACTGCCCCCTCCTCTTTCAAAGAAGCAGCAGCTGCAAGAATATCGGGAGTTGGCACGCATCCCCAAAGGGCGAGGTTGCAGCAGAAGTCTTTCAGACATTCTGCTGCAACAGCATGCTGCTCGCTGCTGGAGGCAGTCGCCATTGCCTGCTGCAGCGCAACTCCCAGAGAGAAACCGCCTGCATTAAGCCCTCCCCCAAGACTGCCTGCTGCCGCAAGCACGTGCTGCTCGAAGGATTGCAGCCACTGCAGCAGCTGCTGCCTCACTGCCGCCGCTGTGAAGGCTGCCCTCCCGCCGCTGGCATGCACGCCGTCGCTGCTTCGACGGCAAATGAGACCAGCAGCAGCAGCCTGCTTCCGCACCCACGAAACAAAGGGCTGCTGCTGCTGCTGTTGCTCGCAGAAGACTCCGGGGATGGGGGCGGCATGGCTCGCATTGCTGCCGCAGTCACTGCTGCTGCGAGGAGGCAGGGCTGTAGCATCCGTCTCGCAGCCTCGCGCAGACAAAGCGAAGACTTCTGTCTCTCGCAGAGGCTCGCGCGAGGTCGACAGCCGACAAACTCTCCGTGCAGCTCTTCGAAATACAGCGGCTAGCCGTTGCGGGAGTGGCAGCCGCTGCGCAGGATGCACCGAAGGCGCATGAAAGAACTCCTTTTCCTCCTTCGCCGCTGCCGCTTCCTCAGAAAGCTGGAGAATCGCATGGCAAAGACACGCATGCACACACACACACAGCAACACACACACACAGCATCGTCAGCCGTGCGTCTGCAGATACCCCCTCGCGCTGCTCGCTGCAGCGACAGCAGAGAAGCAACAGCAGAGAAGCAGCAGCACGGGCACCCGCAAACGTAAAAGCACAGCAGCAAAAACGCAAAGTAAAAGCGGCAATCGGTAAAGAAAACGGCAGCAAAATCGGAACCAGAAAACATAAGACAAAGCAGCAAAGACAAAAGTAAAAGCAGCAGAAACCAGCAGCAGCAAAGACAAAAGTAAAAGCAGCAAAAACCAGCAGCAGCAAAGACAAAAGTAAAAGCAGCAAAAGCCAGCAGCAGCAAAGACAAAAGTAAAAGCAGCAAAAACCAACAGCAGCAAAGACAAAAGTAAAAGCAGCAAAAGCCAGCAGCAGCAAAGACAAAAGTCAAAGCAGCCGAAGTAAATAAAGGAAAGAAAAAAGCAGCAAAGAAACAGCAGCACTTACCGCGTGGAGAAGGGGGTACTGTGCTGCGGCGACAGCGGGCTGCGGCGACATGGCGCTATCGTCTTCTGCCAAGGAAAAGTATTCTTTAAAGAACGCCCACGCGGTAATAATGCACGCAAAAAGTTTCTGCAGATTGCAAGACGAGGCACAGAGAGGCGCACGCGAAGAAGGAGGTTAGGCTGGGGGTAAATCATGCGAGCATAGGTCTTGCGCAGAGAAACAAGAGAAACTTGGAAGTGATAGACAGATCGACAGAGCGAAAGAAAGCAGGAGCAGGAAGTATCAAGTGAGAATGACGAAGGGTATGCGGCGAAGGGCGGGTGAGAAAGGCGTGAAAACTCAGAAAAAGAGGCTTCATGCGAGGAAAAGGCAGGTACTTCCCTCACCGCTTCAGCCCCTTCAATCAGCTGGGCACCAGCCACTCCCTCCCCGCTGTTTTTGTCTGCTGCAGCGGGAGAAGGAGACGGTGCCTGTTGGCTGCAGTTGCGCGGCAGCATCTCCCCACAGAGCTCTCGCTGAGACAGCCGCGCAAAGGGCAGTGGGGGGGCAGAAGAGCAGCCTCAAGAGACGTGTGTGAGTGTGTGTGTGTGTAGGTGTGCGTGTAGGTGTATATATATATATGTGCATATATACATATATATATATATATATGTGTACGTGTGTGTGTGTGTGTGTGTATGTGTGTGTGAGGCGGGAGGGGGGGGTGGTAAGCGAGAACACATGTGGAAATCTCAAAGGGACGGCAGCTCTGAACTTCTCGCAAACACGCGCAGCGTAATTTTTAATGCAGGCGGGAGGTTAAGTATTTACACGGAAAAGGCTGCGCATGAAGGCAAGCCAGGAAGTGGCTGCTCCGCCTTGAAAGACGCATACAGCTTACAAGGAGTTTTCTCGCCAAGTGTGGCGATCGCGTGGCGACTGCAACGTCGCTGCTGCAGCCGTCCGGAAGACTTCGTCTGCTCCTTGCGCTCCGAAGCAAATAAAACGGATATCGCTGATGCAGCGAACAGCTGAGAGACAGAGAGAAGAGCCAAGCTCCCCAACGCCGACCCATGGCGTTCTTCAAAGAAGCGCACTCCCCGATAATCTCATCATGCGGTGATGCAATAATCACTTTTCTGCAGCGAACAGCGTCAAAAGCCGAGGCTGAACACGCCCGTTGCATGCATTCTGCAGCAGCTGCAGCTGCAGCACTTGCAGTTGCTGCTGCAGTTGCAGTTGCAGTTGCTGCTACTTTGCCACAATGCCCAGCGCTGCTGCTGCTGCTGCTGCTGCTGCTGCTGCCTTCTTCTTTGAGCGTCAGTAGCAGCTCTCTGCAGACACTGCAGTGCACTTCGTTCCTTGCTTGTGTCAGCATGCCGCAGCTGCTGCAAAAGCTGTCGGACGTGCTGCTCCAAGAGTCAGACGCTAAGGCACTAACGCGCGCTGTTACACGAACTGCCAATGAAGCCTCCCACCCGAAAAGCGTCTCTGCTGCCTTGTCAAGGGAGGAAAAGCTCCTGTCAACGCATAAAAATTCTACAGGCGCAAGCGCCGCATCAGCGCGACTCATCGACCCCTCACTGCTGGGATCGGCTGTGCTGCAAGTCGTGCTGCTGCTGGAGGCGCTGACCTCCCGCGTCGCCACTGCGCAGCTCGGCAAAGCGATAGCAGCAGCAGCAGCAGCAGCAGCAACGCGCTGCTGTCGCTGCTGCAAAATTGAAGCCACACAGGCAGCGTAAGTCGCAGGGAGTCCACCAATAGAGCGACCATGAAGCGCTGTACGACGAGCACCTAGAAGAATGCATACACACAGAAGAATGCATACACACTATCTGCATACACACAATGTACATGCATTCTGCACACACACAATCTGCATACACACAATCTGCATACACACAATCTGCATACACGCAATGTACATGCATTCTGCATACACACAATGTACATGCATTCTCCATACACAATCTACATACACACAATCTGCATACACGCAATGTACATGCATTCTCCATACACAATCTGCATACACACAATCTGCATACACACAATCTGCATACACACAATCTGCATACACACAATCTGCATACACACAATCTGCATACACACAATCTGCGTACACACAATGCACATGCATTCTGCATACACAATCCGCATACACGCAATGTACATGCATTCTCCATACACAATCTACATACACACAATCTGCATACACGCAATGTACATGCATTCTCCATACACAATCTGCATACACACAATCTGCATACACACATTGTACATGCATTCTGCATACACACAATCTGCATACACACAATGCACATGCATTCTTCATACACGCAACCTGCATACACACAATTTGCACACTGCAGAACCTTCAAAGTGCTTTGCTCGTGCTCATGGCAGCAGGCTAGACAGCTCGTGCTTCTGCCTGTCCGTCTCAGAGCCTTCAAAGAATCAGCGCATCAGCAAGGAAAAGCAGCAGCAGCTGCCGCCACTCGCCATACCTATAAGTCCAGCAGCGAACTTATAAATTGAAACAGCGTCGTTGAGGACGCTGGGTAAAGAGATGCTGCCAGCAGAGGACGAGCATCCCCGGTAGTTCGAAATCAGCACACTAAAGCCCCTAAAACACAACACGCATGCATGCACACACACACACAGAGATCGACAGAGTTGCATGCACAGCCGCGTGGGCAGACTGACTGAGACTGACATACATATATACATATATATTCATGTAAACATGTTTTCATGTATTTGCATACACACACACATTCATGTACACAGGAATTCATGTACACATATACTCGTATACACGTATATTCATATACACACATACACCTATAGACATCTACGAACACATGCATACCGACAAACGTACATATACTCATATACAAATAAAATAGGAGCAGAATACAGAGAAAGATATCTTTGATAAGTGCGAGGTGAAAAATACTCGGTGGCTGCACTGCAGCTGCATTTGCACAAGGCTGCATGCATCGCCCTCTGCGGCATCGGTGAATATTGTGTTTAAGTCATGAGACGTGTTAGGAAGTTCGAGGCGTCACACATGTACATACACATATACACATATATACACATGTACATACACATATATACACATGTACATACACATATACACATATATGCACATGTACATACACATATACACATACACATATACACATATATACACATGTACATACACATATACACATATATACACATGTACATACACATATATACACATGTACATACACATACACACATATACACATACACATATATACACATATATACACATACACATATATACACATACACACATATACGCATACACATATATACACATATACACATATACACATACACATATATACACATACACATATATACACATACACATATATACACATACACATATATACACATACACATATGTACACATATATACACATACACATATAGACATATACACATATATACACATACACATATACACATATAGACATGTACGTACACACATTCACATATACACATTCACATATACACATATAGACACGCATGTATATACACATGTATATACATACACATATATATACACGTACATACACAAACCCACACACACACGCAGTGCTGCCCGGCCGTTCGTGGATGACGCCTACACGACGGCAGACTGCGCAGAAGAAGGAGAGAGGCGCGTGAAAAAATCCCTTCAAAGAATGCAGCTGCTCACTTTTTTAAATAGCTTTCCATCTCTGGACTTCCGCCAGCAAGAGCCATTTCAATAGATCCTGCGTTAGGATTGAATGCAATGACAATATCGCCTCCTATCGGTACATGTGCAGCCGCTGCAGCGGCTGCGCTGCTGATGCGAGGATGCTGGTTAGTGCTGCAGCCACACGTGAACCGCAGGGGGAGACGACAACTCCCCTCGTCTGAATTTTCTGCGTCTGCGAGGAGCCCTTCCGTCTCTGCTGCCGTTCTGTCTGCGCCTCGATGGTGCTGCTGGTGCTCGTGCAAGGGACTGATCGATCCGAGGAGGCGTTTAAATGGGCTGCTGCATGCGCTCCTGGCTGCTGCTAGGAGGGCAGTAGCGGCCTTTGCAAGTGCAGCAAAGGCTGTCAAGCGGTGCTGCTGCAGATTCTGTTGGTGCAGGAGGCGCAGCGAAGAGCCCCTGCTGCTGCCAGGCTGCTGCTGCAGATACGCTCCAGCGACGGCAGCAAGGAGCTGCTTGGCAAGAAACAGAAAGAGAAAAAGTGCAGCAGACGCAAGAGGCGTCTCCTCCACGAGACTGTCCAACGATCCCGCCTCCAGCGCTCCCCGCATCGCCATGCACCGCGTTACGCCACACGCGCGACTGCCCTCTTGTTGCTGTTTTTGTTGCTTGAACGGCGGAAATTCAGGAGATGCAAGATGGCTTGCTGCAGGCGCCACAGCTCCCGACTGGCGGGAGCAGCAGCAGCGGCTCGGGGGGTAGCAAAAGTCGTAAGGCGCCGCCTCCGCAGCAGCGGCTGCGACAGCAGGAGGGCAGCAGCAGCTGCTTGGCAGCAGCCAGTGACTGCCTGGAGCGGGAACGAACAAGCACTGTATGTACACCACTTTGGACGGAGGAGGCCAAAGCAGGCGCAGCGCCGGCGGCAGCAATCGGCGCAAGCGTGCAGCAGCAGCCGTGAATTTGCTGCTTTGCGGCGCTGGAGATACAGCAGCGCGAGCGACAGCATCAGCAGCATCCCTAGAGGCAGCGTCAGAAGCACCAGCACGGGGTGCTGGCGCTGCTGCCGGTTGGGGAGCTGCTGCTTCATCGGCGAGGTGTCTTCGCAGCAGAGTCGCGTGAGTGTGTTGCGAGGCGAAGCCTCTGCTTCGACAGCTGCAGCTGTCGAGCAAGTGCGCGAGTCGGCGCTTCGCCGCTACCCATGCCTTGCAGAAGGCAGCAGCAAGGCATGCTCGCCTGCGCTGCTGCAGCACAGGCAGCCACACTTCTACGCCTTCGGTGGCAGTTCCGAACGCGCCTCCGCGTGCAGCTTGCTGCTGCAGCAGAGGAGGCGAGACCAAAGGTTGAGCGGCTAGAAAGCGGAAGAGCAGCAGCAGCACGCGCGCAACAAAGGGCTTTTTCTGCAGCAGCAGCTGCTGCTGCTGCGAAGAGCCTCCTGTCTGCTGCTGAGTGCTCTGGAAGGGCAGCAGCAGCAGCGCGACAGCCTGCAAGTGGTTCAAAGCGGCGGCGCAAGACAGAATGTCGGCAGGCGTGGCTAGCCGCAGAGCGGCCAGGGGGGGGGGAGAAAGAGCAGCGCTTGCGCCTCCCCGAGAACGAGGCGCTGACGCCTTGCTGGGAGCTTCCAGGAGGCAGGAGGCGTCTTCTGCGGATGGAGGAGACTGCCCTCCGAGAATGTCGACCAGAAGGAGAGCTTCTTCGACTCCAGAGGCTGCTGCGGAGACGCCAGCCGCGGCAAGCGCAGCAGCAGCATCACCCCCTCCAGCTCCCCCCTCTGGCAGGGGGAGGGAGGGTGACTTCGCCTGCGTCAGGGAGATCGCAGCAAGGTGAGACAGGAGAGACGCGACTGAGAAGGCAAGAGCCTCCTGCAGCCATGACAGGGCGGTTCGAGCTTTTTGCTGCTCGATCCAGCCAGGCGTGCCGCTGGAGGCTGCTGCGTCTCCTGCCCCTGCTGCGGCATCCTGCTGCTGGCGCTGCTGCTGGAGCCGCAGCAGCGCGTCGGCTTTGAGATGCAGCTCTTGGAGCGACAAGAGGTGCGAGGCAAGGAAGAGGTAGCACTCGGAGAGGCTTGCTCTGGAGGCAGCAGCATCGCTTACAGCGAAAGCGACGCTTTCGCGAGCGGCCCCTGGAAAGCTGAGCAGCGGCAAGACGCCGCGGCGGGTGCAGACGATGGGAGTTGCAAGATAGCGTGCGAGGCAGGATTTCGAGGCTGAGAGAATGACGTCTTTTTTTTGCTTCTCCGAAATGCCTGGAAAGGGCAAGGAGAGAAGGTAGAGCAGATACAGCTCGAGCGAGCGAAGGCGGCTGAGCAGCTCGCTCGCCGCCTCCGATCCCAGCTGCTGCTGCGTGTGCCACTGGAAAATGGCGTTGCTGCCTGGGAACACAAGCGCCAGGGTGAGGCAGTAGAGCGTGAAAAGGAGCAGTGCAAGCCCGAGAACTGCGCTCAGAAAGAAGGATTTAAGGAGACATTGCAGCCCCAAGATCAGTGCGACGATGACGAAGGATGCGATGAACGCGAAGAAGAGTTTCAGACAGGCGGCGCGACGCGCCGATCTCCTCTCCTCCCTGAACCAGGCAGGAGATACGTGGGGAGGCGGAGCCGCCAAGTTCGACAGCAAGGGCGTCATGGGGACGGGAGTTGTTGTCGTCGCTGTAAAATGTGGACTTGCAGATATTCCAGCTTTACCCTAGTGGCGGGAAGGGCAGGCAGGAAGTTGTGTGCGCTTGTCGGCGGCTGGGCACCTTCTTCCCTCTGCAGTTGCGGAGAACTCAGAGAGACGGCTTTTGCTTTTGCGCCGTTTGCTGACGCTTGTGAGGCGCCGGAGAGGAAGCCTTCGAGGGAGCGAGCGGACGACTTTGAGCTGGCGAGCGGCGGGACGGAAAGGGGGAAGAGGGGGAGACGACGGCGAGAAGGGAGAGGGGGAGGCGCCAAGGGGCAGCGAGAGAGGCATGCGGTGGGAAGACGGCAACTCCGAGCTGCAGCTCTGCGTCTCGGAAGCCTTAAGAGGCCCCCTTTCGCTCCTGTTTCGACCACATGGAAGGCGAGGAGGCTTGGGGGGAAGAAACCGCTGGAGGCAGGGGACTCTTAGGTCGGCAAGTCTGCGGCAAGTCGCGGAAATTGCGTGGCTTTAAGCCGCCTACGCATCCCTGCCGCCAGAGCGACGCTGCTATCAGAGGGTAGAAAAATAAAGGATTATCCAGAGGTCTCACAGGCCCCTTGGCTGCTGCATGCAGCAGATCGCCTGTCGCCTGCGGTAGGGCAGAGGGCCCCGTTCCACGCAGCTGTGATCCCGACATTTGTTAAGGAAGAGGAGGATAAATCACGGAAACGATCAAAAAATTGGCAGCAGTAAAGAAATATGTACCGGCACACCGCATGTTCACTAATAAAATATCATAAATTCGGCAGTTTTTCGTCTGGGCGTCCATGACCAAATCTGCGCTGCCCTTGTACACTGGTCCACGGGTTCTTCCGTTCGCAGGCCGCGCGCGAGGAAGGAGAGATTCACAGGGGCGCCCTTCAAGCCTAGCAGCTCCAACTTTTCGCTCTAAGACGGCCTGCCATCATTAAAAAGGGTTGATTCTTGTCTCTTTCGAGCTCGTTTGCTCATTTTTGCTGCAGGGTATCCGCTTTGTGCGCCTCCGCACCAGCCAGGACGCGTGCGCTCGAGTCTGATGACCGATTGTTTCCACTGCCTTACCTGTCGCCTTTTGGCTGCGATAATTCAAGATATTCTTTGAGAGTGCTGTAGGGGCGGCCTAGATGGGGAGGTGAACGCGCAGACATTTAGCAGCCGCAATGACTCGATGGAGAGCACCATGAACCAAGGCTGCGCTTCGCCTCTCCCGCGGCGACTGCTGGACGCACCCCTCCTTGCGGCCTCTCTTCAGAGTTTTGCGTGCAGATCACGTTCCAGAATGGACTTTGTCGACGGAAGCGGATGCACGGGTGACCCGGCCCGCGCAGTCCACATTCAAAATGCAAAGCTGAAGGCACCGCCGACGGCCCTGCTGCGCGGGGGAGATGGCGTAAGACTACGCCTCTTGCTTTTTTCCCTCAGCTATCTTTGCTGCACCTTTTTATTTTCCGCTTCTTTCTGCCAGGGGGAATTCTTGCAGGCAGCCAGTAGAGAGCAAGGCTTGCGGCACCACCAGTTCGATGCAGATTCCAGTACCTCCGATGCAAGGGTTGCTAGAGAGCAACCAAAACACGATCTTGCGCAAAGTCTTGGCTTGCTGAAATCTGAAGAGGGACTTTCGATGGAGGAAGGCACTGAAAGTGCCGGCAAAAACAATTGGCACCACTCACCAGAGGCGTATGCTGACGTTCTCGAGAAGCTCGATAGGATCACACGACACGAAGACGCAGGAAACCAATGGATAAACATAAAGCTAGACCCAGTTTCAGCCTACCATGAGGACAGGGCTCCTGGCAATACATGGATTACCGACGGGGTCAATGACGGCGTGCCTGGCTCCGGCATTTCGATGCACGGCGATACGTTTGCGATGTCTGCCCTGCAGATTTCATCCGTGGAGGCTCAAGAAAACGGCGCTACCTCTAAAACAGCAGCATTGGAAAATTCTGCAAGCACTCCTGCTGAAAAGTCGCACAAAGGGTCCGCAGATCTTAGTGCCGAGGATTCAAGTTCGCATGCGACATCGGGGCCAGTGGACTTCGTGACGATGCCGGGTGGGACGGCTTTCTCGAAGGCTGTAAGGGAATTTCAGGTTATTGAGGAGAATAATGAGCTTGACAGCGAATCCTTCGTAACCGTTGTGTACAACTTTCCACTCCAGACCATGGAGAGTCGGCAGATCGCCTTCATAGTGGTTGCCCTTCCGCCGCAGTACACGGCGAGGGAGGACGGCCCCCTGTGCCACTCCTTGGATTCCAGCATGCCGCCTTTAAAATGCTCAACCCGCAGTGCGTACATGAGGAATAGGCCAGGCAGTTTGAGCACATTCGTTACGCTTTCGAGTTCGCAGAGTGGAAGAAGTTTGCCCCTGGGTCGGCACTCGTTTCGGCTCGCTGTGCGGACACCCTCTGAAGCGCTGTCTATTGAGAATCCCTCGAATTGGTGGTTTTCTACATTTCGATTTACCGGCGGCCATGCGATAACGAAACACTGGGAGAACCGGAAGCTCATCAGCAAGCGCGACTGCATTTGGGGTGAGTGGCGTCAGGAAACTCCGTGCAGCACGACGTGCGGAGGGGGTTTCGAGGTGTGGACGCGCACCTTGTTTTCTGGGGAGAGCGAAGAGGCATGTGGAGGGGCCCTCATGAAGAGGCGGTGTCAGGTGGAGGAGTGCAGCTTGAATTGTCAGCTGAGTGAGTGGGAAACGATGGCGGACTGCACGAAGAGTTGCGGAGCAACAAACGAGGATGCGTTCAAGATTCGTATCCGAAAGGTGCTGGTGCACAAGCGCGGATGGGGCCAAGCGTGTGCGGAAATGCATCCATGGGATCCAGAGCTCGGCGTGGGTTGGAGCGAAAAGATGCAGGCAGTTGTCAGCATTTCTCCTTGCGACGACAAATTCAAGGAGCACTGCCCTGCGGTGCTGGGGTGTCGCGTGGAGGAGTCGAACACGCGCACGATCCCAGACGTCTTTCCTTGGGGTGCCTGCCCCTTTCCGTGCGGAGGCTTTGGCCGCATAACGTCGATCGTGCAAGTAGCCAACGGCATCCCTCGGTGGATCGGGGAGCAGCACTTTCCAGAGAGCTTTCAGATCCCCTGCCGAGCCGACACGGAGCCGCTCGTGACGACTCGCAGCTGCAACACTGATGCCTGCGAAGACTGCTCGGTGTACATTGAGAACCCCATCTTCGGGAGAGCCACTCGGGCGTGGTTCTTCTTTCTTCCGACGGCGGAGGCTGACCACATGGAAATCACAGCTCCTCGAGGAGTCGGCATTGTGGACGACACGTTCGCAAGCACCAGCAGCAGCCCTCCTGGCACTAGGCCGCCTTTCAAGGTGTCTGCACTGTCTAGCGTTCTGCCTCCCGCCGCTCACCTCGCGAAAGCGCTCCCCGAACTGACGCCGGAAGCGGAGGTACTGACGGACGCAGAAGAGCTTGGCACGTGTGCGCGGATGGCAACGTCTTTTGGAGCCATTGCGTCGTGCGCTGTGTCTCGATCGCGTCACTACAGCGGATCGCAGGCTGCTCATCTGCATCTGGCTTCACTCATAGAGCCTTCGATCGCAGCGACGGGCACTCCGGGAGAAAAATCCAAGAAGGCGCGACCTCAATGGTTTGCACTGCCGGTGCTGCTAGGCAAGCGAGAAGAAATGGAGGATGCTGGAAACTTCTACTTGTGGCTCACGAGGAGCAAGTATCCGAACGACCCCGAAGTATTCAAGTGTCACTTGCGAACGAAGCTGGCGCTGCCGAAACGCTGCAAATTCGCCTACACGCCAAAAAACCCCGAAGACTGCAAGCGCTGCACTTCGGAGTCAACGCCTTCCATTGAAACATGGCGTCGGTTCCTCCCTAGCGCCAACGGGGGCTCCTGCGAAATTCCACACGCGCTGAGGCATCCACGAGAAACGCTCGTGCAAACGAGCTGCGTCAAGAGCTGCAGCCAGCTGCGGAGTCGCAACACCACCGCCCCCAGCGAAGCCAAAACTGAGGAGCGCCATGCGCATGCGTCTCCGCATGCGGAGACGCATGCGGAGACGCACACGGGGGAAAGTCTCAACATGCCTTCCAGCCTGAGGCGCCTTTCAAGGAGAGAACTTCAAAGCCTCCTCCTGAGGAAGAAGAAGGAGGCAGCTGCGCAGAAGACTTCTTCTTCTGGCCGTAAGGCCGATGTCGAAGAAGGCGCGTTCAGTGCTGTCTTGCTGCCTGTCGACGATGTATCCATGCCACTTCTCGGAGGTGCGCGACTGTACCTTCGAGATGCACAGGAGGCAGCCGAGCAACTCACGGAAGTGGCCTCTCAAAACGAGCCAGAATCAGCGAGCAAAAAGGCAGCTGACGGCAGTTCCACACGCAACACGCAGCCTGCATCCACAGCAGATCTCGAGAAACGAGAAAGTGGAAAGGAGACTGCCGCGCAAGGAGGCACGGTGCCAGCGACACAGGCCGCATCGGGAGATTCGTCTGCGGCAGGAGCAGAGCAACAAAATGCTGCAGAGCGAACGGGAGCTGGCGTCGAGGCTCACGCAGCGTCGGCTGCAGCTACAAGCAGTGCTGCCGCTGCGCGTCGAGCGGAAGAAGAGGGGAAAGCCGAAGGCTCAGCGCCAGCGGCAGCGCCTGGCGAAGAAGAACCCCGTAAGTTCGTTGAGGGCCTAGGAAGCAAAGAGCCAGACGCAAAGAAAGACGAGAAATCGGCACTCCCCTCACAGGAAATCGGGGAACACAATAAGGAAGGAGCTGAAGAAAAAGGAGGAGACAGCCGCAGCCAGAAGGAAGAGGGCAGCCGGGAAGAAGGGAAAGAAGAGAGCAGTGACAAAAAAGAGAGGGAGGAGAGCAGCGAGAAAGAACAGAAGGAGGAGAGCAGCGAGAAAGAAGAGAAGCAGGAGAGGAGCGAGAAAGAAGAGAAGGAGGAGAGCAGCGAGAAAGAAGAGAAGGAGGAGAGCAGCGACAAAGAAAAGAAGCAGGAGAGCAGCGACAAAGAAGAGAAGCAGGAGAGGAGCGAGAAAGAAGAGAAGGAGGAGAGCAGCGAGAAAGAAGAGAAGGAGGAGAGCAGCGAGAAAGAAGAGAAGCAGGAGAGCAGCGAGAAAGAAGAGAAGGAGGAGAGCAGCGAGAAAGAAAAGAAGCAGGAGAGCAGCGACAAAGAAGAGAAGGAGGAGGGCAGCGAGAAGGAAGAGGAAGAAGACACAAGCAGCCAGAATGAAGCGGAGTCGTAGCAGAAGGAAGGGCATAGAACCACGGAGTAGAGACATGCTGATTCCGAGAGGAAGGATAATTATTTGCAGCCGAAACTGTGACCTTTTCCTTTGCGCCCTCTCCCCCAGATGCATGCGCGCTAAAAATCACAGCACGTCTATCCCTCACGGATAGATGCCTGTGTGAAAATTCGGCACCGAAGGGCTCTGCGGTCCTTTAGAATATTGGACGGTGCTTCTCTTCTTCTCTGCTGCATGCGTTGATGCGCATGCGCTTTTTTGGAGGTGTGCGTGTGTGTGAGCTGGCTATCTTTTGCGCCTTTGGCTGGCACCCCTCTGCCTCTTGATTGGGAGCCCCTTAGAGTGGCCTCCTGCGCACCGCCGTAGCCTTTTTTGCGACTCTGAACAAATGATTTTTATGCCTTTACTTAGTGTGAAAAAGCCACCACTACGGCTAGCCTATATCCCCTCAGGGAGCATTCTGCTGCCGAGACGGTGTTACATACGCGGTGCCGCTGTGAGAATCAGCGCTGCATCTTTGCCTAAATCGCAACCTAACTCCCCCGTTAGGGGTCTTAGGTTGCGTTTTAGGCAAAGATGCAGCGCTGATGAGGAAGGCGCAGTACAAAGCCCGCACAGAGCACATCATCCGCAGCAACCTCTGAGTCTAGCCTCGCGCAGCCTCGAGTTTTGGCAGCCTAACCGCCTTCGTTCACACGTAGAAGGTGCACTAAGCGACGCAACACTACAAGTGCGACAAGAGCACCCCGCTCTGCATGCAGCCCCTATTCTTGGGAATCTGCTAACACGCAGGGTGGGAGGGTGCATTAAGCGACGCAACACTACAAATGCGACAAGAGCACCCCGCTCTGCATGCAGCCCCTATTCTTGGGAATCTGCTAAGCCGCAGGGTGGGAGGGTGCATTAAGCGACGCAACACTACAAGTGCGACAAGAGCACCACGCTCTGCATGCAGCCCCTATTCTTGGGAATCTGCTAACACGCAGGGTGGGAGGGTGCATTAAGCGACGCAACACTACAAGCGCGACAAGAGCACCACGCTCTGCATGCAGCCCCTATTCTTGGGAATCTGCTAACACGCAGGGTGGGAGGGTGCACTAAGCGATGCAACACTACAAGTGCGACAAGAGCACCACGCTCTGCATGCAGCCCCTATTCTTGGGAATCTGCTAACACGCAGGGTGGGAGGGTGCATTAAGCGACGCAACACTACAAGCGCGACAAGAGCACCCCGCTCTGCATGCAGCCCCTATTCTTGGGAATCTGCTGAAGCGGAGGTGTCTCCCTGTGCAGGCTTTTTTCCCCGCAAGCCAAGGTCCTCTCCCTCTCCACTGCTGCGTCGCCTCTACCCCGCACGCGAAAAAAACGAATGCCTTATATGAGAGGGAACGACATAAAGAGGAGCGTTGCCATTCCATCCGGCGAAACCTCCTTGCCTCTGCGCCGCAGCCTGTTAAGCAGACGGGCAAGGCCTTTTTCTCTGTGTAAGTGTGGGGTGCCTTACCCATGGCAACAAGCGCGCGCGGGAAAGTCGAGGTGAAGGAAGGCTCTACTACAAAGCCGAGATCGCAAGGCTACTACGTTTTGCTCTATAGTTTAGAGTTGACGTGTTACAGCAGGTGCAAGACGTGTGTATCGCCCTTTCCGCCTTGCGGCGCAGGCAGCGGCAGCGATTCTTTGGCAGTTCGATCCAAAGCCAGGTCGTACAGGGGGAAGCTCAAGCCTTGCTGCGACGGCTGTATTTCTGGCAGCTGCTTCGCTTTGCTTTCTGTTCCCAGGGAGTGCGTAGTTGGCCTCTCGAGGGGGGTCTGCTGCATCTCGGTGGGTGCTGCTGGTAGCTGCTTGCGTTTTTGATCGCTGCTGCGTTTCCAACGGTTGTCTGCGCCTGTGTGGGCTCCTTTCAAGCGCTTGGCAGCTCTGCACAGCGGACTGTTGGGGGAAGTTGTGGCTGCGGGGACGGCTTGCGGCAGCGGCACTGACAGCACCTGCGGCTGAGGGGGGGGTTGTTGTTGCTGCTGCTGCAGCAGGAGCTGCTGCTGTGGCGTGTCCTCTCCTGCAGACGCGAGAGAGATTGGCGGCAGCTCCACTTGCCCCTCTGGCTCGTAGGATGACGCCACAGCGGAGGGCGTGTAGGTGTGGAAGGGTAGCAGGTGCTGCTGCTGCTGCTGCTGCGACTGCTGCTGCGACTGCGACTGCTGCGAGTGCTGCGACTGCTGCTGCTGCGACTGCTGCCGCTGCTGCGACTGTTGCGACTGCTGCTGAAGGCTTCGTTTTTTCGATGAATGCTGGGAAAAGCTTACTGCGGCAGCTGACAGCAGAGCGCCTTCGTGTGTGCCTGCCGGAGGGACTGCGTCTGGTGCCTGTTGAGCCAGCGCTAGAAGCTCCTCCGCGGAGAGAGACAGCGCGAACTCCATGTCGGCTTCCGTATGTGCGGGTGCCTCGTTCAAGCCTAGCTCTACACGTTTGGCCTCGTACCTGTGGATTCGAATCACACACAGCGCATGCGGGGAAAGGCGGAGTGCGGAAGACGTCGATCGCTTTTTTTCTGTGCGTGCCTTGCTGCGCCCGTGTTGCGCGCGTCTTCGGAAAGGCCAGCGCCGCTTCGCCACCTCCTGCTGCAGAAGGGGGAAAAGGAAAGGAGGGGAACAAGAAGGGGGGAGAAGGCGCACATCTGCACAGGAGCGCCTCGCCACAGGCAGCGCAGACAGCAGGCGGGAGCACGCGACGCCTTTCGCACGAAAACGAGACGCGCGAGGAGCGACGCAAGGAAGGGTGCCAGCTGTCCGCTCCACACCTACCAGTCCAGAGCCTTATGGTGAGCCCCTTCGAAGCCGAATTTCTTCACCGAAAAGGAGGCTCGATGACGCCCATTGTGCCGCGTCACACACACACTCCATTTCCGACTGCGACTGTCATACACGACTCCTGGAGGACGCTGCCCAATCTGCAGAGAAGCCGCAAACACGGCAGCGCAAAGTGAACCACGAGAGGAGCCCTTCAAAGGGCGAGCACTGCGCCGAGACACGTGCGCATGCAAATGCGCGAGGCGCCAGCTCGCCAACAAAACACCCCTTCCGCCTTTTTAGGGGCCGGCTCAGCTGCACGAGAGACGCCACACACACCAGCATGAGGGTTTGGACGGCTTGTCGATGCGCCTCCCTTGCACCGAGTACGTGAATGGAGCACCTTCGCCGCTGCAGCACGCCGTCGCGTAGTCTCCACAATGCGTAAAAGCAGAAGCGAGCCTTGTCATAAACCACTGAGGGGCAGTGAGGCAGGTGCTGCTGTTGAATCAACTGCTCGACGTCTTCTGCCGTCAAGGGGGGGATTTCTCTGGGCTGCGGCACTTCCCACCACTTCGCCGCGATCCTCGGAGGAGATGCATGCGACGCGACAGAGCCGCCGACAGCGGACGGCGCGGATTCAGCAGACGACGAAGAAGAAGGCGACGCACTAAGGCTCCTTTTACTCGGAATCGCTGCTGCCGTCGGACGGCGAGACTTCGGGGTGCTGCCTGCACGCTGCGCCCGTTGCCGTGAAGGCTGTTGTTGTTGTTGCTTGTCTTGTTGCTGCTGTTTCTGGTGCTGGTCTTGTTGCTGCTGTTTCTGGTGCTTGTCTTGTTGCTGCTCTTGCTGATGGTGCGAGAGGACGAAGCCTTGAGGCACTCCTGAAAAGGGAGGCGACAGGCGCTGGGGGGAGGAGGTCTGCGCGCAGGGAGAGGCACCTCCTCCCCCCGCGAATTGCGCGTAGCATGCAGCCGCAGCCTGCGTGTTTGCGGGTAATTGAGCGAGCCACTGAGGCTGCTGGGGGAGGCGATTCTGCACGCAAGAAGATGGCGCCACTGGGGAGGCTGGCGAAGGGGGCATCTGGATAGGCGCTCTGAACAGCGTCTCTGAGGAGGAGGGAGGCGACTCCTGAGTGCTTCCGTTGCCTCGAGACACAACCTGCGGCATGTCTTGCAGCAGCAGCGCGGCAGCTGAGCAGCTGCTGCTGCCAACGTTCCACCCGAGAAAGTCGTTTCCACCCGCTGAGCCGTGATCTACGTCTGCAAAGGAAAGCCAAGACTCTGGAGTCTTTGACAAAGCTGCAGCTGCTGACTCCTCTGCAGCAGCCGCAGAGGGGGAGGATGCAGCGGCTGACAGGCAGCTCTTGATGAAGCAAGCACTTTCTGTGTCTTCCTCTCCCGTGCAGCAGCGCCAGTCTGCCGCCGACGCCGATGCCTCTGCATGCGTTTCAACGGCAGCAGACGTCAGCACAGAAGCACAGCGCCCTCCGGCTGGCGGATCGCGCGACACGTGTCTGCTGCTGCTGCTGCTGCTGTTGTTGCTGCTGCTGTTGCTGCTGCTGTTGTTGCTGTTGTTGTTGCTGCAGCTGCTGCTGCAGCTGCTGCTGCGCGTTCCCAGTGGGTAGGTGCTCGTGTCTGCGGAGTCTGCGGCGAGAATGCGCGCGGCTTCAGGTGCCATCTCGGCTCGACATCGATGCCGCGTCTGTGCATGCAGATTTAAGGGTCGGAGCTTGAATAGGTGCATGCCTTTTCTGCCGCCGCTGCTTCTGGCAGAGCCCTCTGCAGCGGCTCCGCAGTCGCGCTTGGACGCGGGGTGCGGCTCATCGAGCACCAAGTGAGAAACAGGAGGATCGGGGGAGAGGGCGTGGCACTGCCGCATTGACTGCGCATACAGCTCATCGAGCTGCGAGCAGATCTCATCGATGAGGCTTTGGCCCCTCGTCAGAGCGCCTCCTGCGTCTGCCGCTCCCCCCCGCACAGCTGCTCCCTCGCCGTCGCAGAAGGCGGCAGCCTCCTGCAAATCTGCGCGCCGCTCGGGAAGGCAGCAGCGGCGAAGCACCTCCTCGACAGCGCCCTTCAGCGCAGTGCAGCTGCTGATGGTAGAGCCTCCCGCAAGAAAAAGCGGCTCTAGAGCTTCCACGTAGGGAGCCAGCGACGCAAAGGAAGTCGCAGCCGCAATTAGATGGATGTGGCGGTAATACCGCAAACCCTCAACACCCTCGGAAACCCCACACCGCCATTGTGGTCTTAAGGCACCCAAGGCTTCTAACGCCAAGCGGCAGATATCTCTTTGCTGGAAAAGTGTGTTGCACCACACGACTTCGCTCTCTCCTGCCGCCGCGACGGCTGCTGCCGTCGCGGCGTATCCGTCAGGAGGCACCGACACCCAGTCTTCGCTCGAGCTCAGCAGGGGGGGGCCCCCTTCGAGGGGGCCCTCCCCCGGAAGGGCCCCCCCTCCTGCCCCGTCCAACTCGGCTTCCCGGGTGAGGGGGGCCCCCTGCCCTACGGGGAGGGGGGCCCCCTCTTCAGAAAGGGGGGTTTCCCCCTCCAGGCAGGGGGGCCCCAGGGGGCGGCAGCCCCCGTCGCAAGAGGAGGAAGGCAGCGGAGGCGAGGGAAGAAAAGACAAACTAGAGCCTAAACAGAGGGGCAGCACGTCAGCGGATGGCGTGTGCATGCATCCGTCCTACAAAAGCAGCAAGCAAGACAAGCAAGCAAGCAAGCAAGACTAGCAAGCAAGCAAGCAAGCATTTAGCGGCAGAAGACTGCATGCGACTTGCTACATATGTATATATATGTATATTCGTGTATATATGTACGTATCAGGGTGCTCTACAAAGCCGAGCACACAAAGTGCTGTCTGTCTGTGCGAAACGGGGGGCAGCGGCAAAAAAACGGCAAAAAGGTATCACCAGCAGAGCGAGGCTTTGGTGGAGAGGCACTCGCGGCTTACAGCGTTGAGGCATGCTTCTGGAGATGCCGTGCGGGAGCGCGCATGCGCCTCTAAGGTGCCTCGCGAATCGCTCGAAGTCTCCAGGTGACCCCCCAAGGGGCCCCCCCCCCCGCCCATCCCTGTAGAAGGCGCCAGGATCAAGGCAGCTGCATTGGTGGGGGAAGGCTCGCTCGCGAAAGAAGTAGATGGCGTCGATGCTCCCCAGTGAACGCGTGGATTCAATACATCATTGGGCAACAAAAACGACCCGTCGCCTTGCTTCTCCGTTTCGCTTAGCGGCTGCATAGCTGCTGTCGCCGCGTCTGCGAGCGCTGCTGTCTTTCACGCTGCCGCTCCTGGCAGAAATGGGGGGAGAAGGCGGTGCTCGCTGCTGGAAGGCTTAGCCTGCTGTCTCAGCAGGGGCCGCATGCTCTCTCCCTAGGAGCAGCGTAGGGAAACAAAATGACGAAAATAGTCTATCAGTGGGAAGCTATTTGCCACTGCACTAAAGATCTAGCTGCAAAATCCATTCACCACTTCTCTAAGGCCATCTGGCTGCGTATAGAGCAGCACAACCTGTTTTCTGGCAGGTAGAACGCAGTTTCCCCTGCAAGGCAAGCCTCTCTCGAAGGATCAACGAAGGCAGCGGCAACGCCTGCGGCTCGCAGGAGCCGCCAGCAGCTCCGGCGCAAGGCTGCAAGAGTTTCAGCAGACAGTAATGGTTGCTGCAGACAGCAGCAACACTCCTACCTACTGCACGATACCCCGCTGGCTCGGTTGTTTTACACCGATGCCGACGTTCGCAGGTTGCGTTGAGAGCAAGGAAGGGGTCGGCCTGCCCTGTAAGTCCTTCTTTCTAAAAGGCCCCTGTTTTCTTCGCTTTCTCCTCCGTTACACACACAGCGCGAGCAGAAGTTGCTGCCTTTTTTCGCTCTGGCACCTGCGTCGAGGCGAGCGCCACGCAACGGGTAGAGCAAAAGCGGGGGTGCGGCTGTTGAGGGGGCCCCCCAGGGCACGCAGAGTCGTGTCTTGGCTATCTTTAATCCGCAAGTGGCCCCGATTCTCGAAACAATGTAAAAGTCGCGCTTAAAGAGCCTTTAGGCCATACGCGGGGAGCTAGCCGATGGGCGCAGCGGCTACCGGGGAGTAGCGAGCCTGCTCATCCTATATCCTCAGAAAATGGTAAATAAAGAAAGGTGCCTGAAGAAAGGAGTCGTTATTGCTTGGAGATCCCTCCGGATCGGTGCCAGTTGCTTTGAAGATGGCAGATCATTGCGCAGGGAACTTCACGCAGTGGTAAGCGCGGCAACCATGGGTTAAGGGGCAGTCTAAGGGTATCCCCGCCAGAGCTATGGCATTAACAGAGAAGGAAACGCAGATAAACGGTGCAAGAAGGGCAGAAAGAAGCAGGCATTCCTGATCGATCGGCTGCTGGGATTCGGGTGCACGGGCAGCTCAGTTTGGGCACTTCTCATGAACGCAGAGGATCGGGTTCGTCTATATGATAAAGAAACGAGCCGCGGAAGCATTTGCACGATGCACGAAACCTCCAACACGCGTAAAACGTGCATGCGCACGGGCGCCATCGCACGGCGCCGCGGCCGCTCCCGATGAAAAAATGCCGGTATGCCTTCACTTGAGAAAGCCAAGGAAAGAGCCACCCTTAGTTGTTGCCATTGGTGTTTCTTAGAGATGTTTCTGATGCTTCGCGCATAAACATAGCCAACAACTTATTTTTGAGGCGTTTTGCACTTACACCCGACCGGCTCGTCCTGCTGGACTGACACCCCGATAACAGGGTAGAGAGACCTCCATCTTTCTGCCAGCTGGGCGTCTCTTTCGAACGCCTAAAACCAAATGCACTTATCAGGCATATTTGCTGTCAAGCCCGGCACAGAACAGGCTTCGCTAGTGCTTAAAAATCATCAGCGTTTGCCGCTCTGAGTTGTGTATCGAAGTTGCTTACCGCCTGTGCTTCACCTAGAAACTTCTGTGTAAGTACACAAAATTCCCATCGTGCGTATTAATTACACGAGCTTAACTGCGGTGACAGTTGCATCAAAAACCGTCATTACAGTCGTACCGCACTACCGGCTACGCTGGAAGCGCGATGCTGGCAGTAGGCACTTCGTACTACAGCAGTTACACTTCGTCAATAATTGACTATTTGATATGGCTCTTCGCACATAAGGTATCTGTTGAAGAGTAGAGCCTGCTCAATTCTACAGAAATCACCGCTGTGAACGTGTGCGCCAGTTGCCCAAACGTGCAACGCAGTGCTCATGAATCGTAGAAGTGCTTGTACAGGGTTCACAGCAACATCTATGCGCCCCAGAAAAGTTTCTCTCGCGCTCCATATATACAGGAGCCCCGGGAGTTTAGGGCGCTCAGCGGGGTAAACAGAGTTAACGGGGAGGATATTTAAGAATGTACCATTAGACAGTACTGGCGTTGGGGGAAACGAACTGTCTTCCTGCGCAAATCCAAGAGGTGCACTACATGTGCATCCCAATCATAGGCCTATGCAGCGGGATTAACAATATCCCAACACTCCCCGCCAGACGAGCCAGCCAGAATGAAAATACATGTCAATGGGCATGAAGCAAGTAGCACGAAGTATACATGGGTAGCTTGGCCTACTAAAACCGATGCAGCCCTAAGCCTAAGCGGCGCAAGGAACCACAACTACACTCCCCTAACTGAGAACCGCCAACGCGTACGCCGATCTCGGCGCTCCCGCAACTCGGTTCGACACTTGCCCCTTTAACTCCGTCGGCTCAGGCTGCGCTAGAGACCGTGGACGCCCTCGCGCAGACGCAGCTGCATTCTAAGTGACCGTTTAGAGGGTCGCAAACTCAACAAGATCTGGCTTAGGTGCAGGGTGCACATAGCCCGGATAAGAGCCCTTGCTGCCGTGATTACAACAACGGTTCCTCGCTACGCAAGTATTTCGGCACATGCAGCTAGGCAGGTATCCAGACTACGCCCCTAGCCTGGTCGAAATGATACAAAATAGCCACAGGGCACTGCATAATACGCCTTTACTCCCAATCGAGCGAGCAGCTGTGGTGTACCAAAGAATCCCGAAGATGCAGGGGCAGAGGACTCAGTCGGTGCGAACGCTACAGATGGAGAGCCAGGAACCCCGTGCGCTCATGCTCGATCTCCCTCCCTCGCCCCCTACAACACCTCCCTACACACAACTCCTATCCGTTCCCCACTCTCTACGCCTCCTGGAGTTCAAAACCAGTGTCGTCTACATGGCCAGCCCACGAGCACTGCTTGCACGCTCCTACCGTGCACACGAAAGTAGGAAAGGCCAAAGCAGCAAAGCTCAAGCTCAGTAGAGGACTCCATGAACTAAAAAAGGAAAAAAGGGCCTCAACTAGCCTTGCGCCTCCAGTTGCCGCTTCTTCCACATTTTTGCCGCCTGCAGGATCTTCAGATTCTGCAGCCCCCACATCGCAGACATCCCCAGCCCGAACGCGCGAATGCCATGCCGTCCACGCACACGTACATTACCATCGCCATGCGATGCTGCGGAGCAAGCAGAGACTCACCCACCTACCCACCCACCCAACCACGCAACAGAGAGCCGAAACAGAACGCGGAGCAGGCGCATCAAGGGATGTGCAGACACGCTAGAGGACACCCACGAACCCTCCCACCAACTTGGCATAAATCACGTACTGCTGCAGATCCTTCGTCATCGGGAAACACATATGTGAGAGTCTCCGTGACCTCCTCAACTCCATTCACGTTCTTTTGAGTTTTCCGCTTTTTGATTTTTTTCGGCAGCAGTCGGAACACCCGCTGAATTGCCTGCGCATCACCCCCCTCTCTCTCCAGAGCCAGCCAGTGCTGCACACATGCATACGTAGATCAAAGTTGAGCCAGACCCTAAAACGAGACTTCAAGAATGACCAAACCTCCTATGCACATTCGGGGAGGCAAGAGGGAGAAGGGAGAGGGAGCCTGCACTCGCAAAAGGAGACGAACAACATAAATACACACGGGCAGGCAGCCAAGCTCGCCTCACTTCTAGAAGAGCAGCTCGTTCTTCATCCCACCCGTTCGTCTTGCAAACGTCCAGCCCGCGGTTCAGCACCTAACATGCAAAACGAGGCGTAAAATAAAGGAGAGGGAGGAAAGATGAAAAAAGGCTCAAATCCAATCCATAAACGCTGATGCGCGCCAGGAGCGCCTCATTATCTAGAAATTATACAAATCTACAGAGATGCACCCACACACAGCGGTATTCTGCATGCGAAACACACATAGAGCGTCCTAGATAACTCTCACTCGACGATACCATGGACGGATTTCAAAGCACTTTAAAGGTCAAGAATGTGCCTCTGTACGTGCATTCATATCTAGAAAAAACATATGGCCCTCCGGCATTGCACATGAGTGCGTGGAGGAGCCCATCTACGCATGCATGATTTCCACGCACATACCCAAGAGCCAAGTAAGCACACGGAAGAGGATGCATGTATATATATATATATATATATATATATATCTGGAAACAAATACCGAGAGAGATTCACTCCTTTGTATGCACGCCCCCTCTGCCAGCACCCCAGACACCACTTTGCAACCGTGCAGCTCCCTTGTTCTGTATGTGTCTAAAACAGAATATGTATAGCCGTTGGTGTGTTGAAGGGCCTGCGTATTCGCGTTGCCTCCACAGCCTCCCCTTCCCTCCCCCCAAAACCTTCATAGCAGCAAGTTGCTGTTGCGTCTCACCTGTCTAGATCTGTCCTTTTGTTCGGCTTTCTTCCATTCAAAGGTGGCGTATCCCTTAAAGGCATTCACGTGTTGCGTCTTATCCAGCAGCCGCTCGTACAGCGCGCGGGCACGATCAAAGGCTCCCCAATTTACTTCCATGTCGATATACGTCTTCCATATCTGCAAAATGCACCAAAATCAAGCACGCCCAGATTGCCAAGACGCCATGCAGTACGAACGCCCGGATATCAAACACAGCACGGTGTGTGTAGGTGTGTATGCGTGTGTGTGTGTAGGTGCAGGTGTATGTCGGTGTATGCGTGTGTGTAGAATGTAGGTGTAGGTGTGTGCATGCCCGAAGCACCTGCAGAAGAAGACTCGATGCGTGTATTTTCATCAGCGAATCAGCATGACTAAAGTAGAGGCAGAAAGGAAGCGCGCAATCGTACACGGCGCGAACACAGCTGCGTGTCTGCATTCACCAGTTCTGGCATCTCCATTTGTTCCATGGAAACGGCTAACTCGCAGAGGGCTCTTGCGCGCTCCGTTTCTTCTGCAAGTATTTCGAGTTCGATCATGTTGATCCACGCCTGAACGTCACTCCCGCACACACACAAAAGTAGGAGTCCGCAAGGTGAGGAGTTCAGTGTAGAAACTCTGGGAAAGCCTCGATGCAGCAGCACACAGCACGCCGCTCGAAAGAATTGCGCCGACCCCACATCAACGAAGCAGTGCGTAGTACACCCCACCGACAACCACAAATGGACGCCGGCGGAAACAGTCGCTGTGCAAAAAGCCGAAGCAGCAACATTTTCACGAAACAAACATTGGTCGCACTCTTGGGTTCAAGGGATACGTTTCAATGAACTTCGCGTGGATCTGTCGGCATCGATCGATGTTGCCCAGGCGCAGCTCGAGTTGCGAATACGCTTGAAAGATTTTTTCCTTTCCACATTTCGCAATCGCCATTCCAAATATCTTCCGTGCCCTCTCCAGGTTCAGTTGGCGAATCTGCGTTTTCTCGCAGCACAGGAACTGGGGTGTCTGCCGTTTCTTGCACAAGTGAGGCACACCCGAAGCGATGCATGCGCAGAGAGGACGGCAGAGGCAAGCCCCAATTAACCCTTCGCGCGCAACTCGCAGCTAAGTAACACTATAACCCCATTAACCCCTTCCTGGCCGTCTGTTTTCCCCCCGCACGCCGGGTGTCTAGACACCGGAGTGCGCATCGCCCCTCCACGCACCTCAAAGGCGACAAACAGCGTCCACAGCTTTGCAAAGGAAAAAAGTTTGTGCGGAACTGCCTCAAGCGCCTTTTCGTAAACTGCACGGCACCGATCCACATCCTTCGCCACCAACTCCTCAAACAGCGCATACGATATCCAGATGTATATATACCTGAGGAGGAGAAGAAGCGAAACCACTGACTCCTTTGCAGTAAAAAACGCGCTGCACGCCAAGTTGCCGGCTGCGGAGGCCGTGCAAGCAAATAAGGTAGAATAATTTTGAAATTAATGCACACTTTTTTACTGCCACTCGGCACTGATCGACCGGACTGTCTGCCTATCGCTACGCAGATACAGCTATTCTTGCACCAAAGCCCCGGCGCGTAGGTACATGCACAGATATGTACAGGTGCATATGAATAGGTCTGGAGATATGTATATATATATATACGTGTATTCATATGCATATTCATATGCATATGAATACACACATGTATATAAATACACGCATATGTGTATAGGCATATACGCATGCATACGAATATGTACATGTACATGGCCATGTTCGGGGACCGCAAGACAAGGATTTTCGAAAAAAAGAGACGGAGCCTTTAAAAAGGGAGCTAGCTGCTGCCTAATGGGGAGGTGGGGTGTAGCAGCTCTCTTACCGCGTCCAGTATCTCTTTTCTAAAATGGGGGGGGTATTGGCGACCGCCCTTTCGTATACATTTCGCGTGCGTTCGATGTTGCCTGTGGATTCCTCCAAGCGAATGTAGTCAATCCAGCCGTCATAATTGCATTTGTTCTTGTGAAGCGCCTCCTCGTATACAAAGCGGCGCTTGGACAGAACTGTTTCCTCCAGACCCTCTCTGGATTGCAAACGCCACAGCGCAAAGCGGGGATGCTCCAGTGAAGAAGAAGGATGGAGGAGGTGCGTGTGCCTTCATAGGTGTATACACGACTCGCAACCACCACTTCCCCAAGCCCACCACCACCACCACTCTCGCCCCTCTTCCCCCAAGACCCCTCTCCTACAGCACCTGTCTCCGAACTGCTTCTGAAAAGCCACGTATTTGTTGTACAGCTCCTCCGCCTTGCCCCTTGGAACGCGTTGCAAGGCCGCTTCATAGATTGCCTTAGCCCTGCGAGAGAATCGCAAAACGCAGAGTCGCTCGACAGCTAGCCATGTCTGCCTCAAGCCTTTTTACGTCACTCAGAGCATCGGCTTCCACGTCAGCCCTTGACGAGCCGCTTTGCGAGCGGCTTCCCCCGCCAAGACAGCCACCAGCAAACGACAAACACACGAGGCATCAGACGCCTTCTCCCCTTCCCCCTGACGTGCGTAGGATGAGAACATGCGCTTTCTCGACAGCTCCAACGCTTGCCTACGCCGCAGGCAGCCTCTCCGCGTTTCCCCGGATGCTTTTCCCCCTCTCTGTAGAGAGGGGGAAAAGCATCCGGGAGGATTCGAAAAAAGACCAGTCCTACCTGGCCTGCTCGTGATGGCGCTCCTCAAACGCCGCAAACTTCATGTAAAAGTGCTCGTCGAGCATGTCTTCAGGCAGCAACTCGATCTGCACATGGGCACATAGACACCCCAATAGCGCAAGCGACCATCAGCTGTAGCAAGCAGCTAGTGACCCCCCGCAACCCTCCGTGTTAAAACGCTTGCCAAACGCTGCACAGGCAGGCAGGTAGGTAAACAGGCAGGTAGGCAGGTAAAAAGACAGAATATCCTTCTGCTTGCACGTTTGTAAGAGGTCTCAAACAACCTAAGGAGGAGAGGCATTGAAGCGCTAATGCTCAATACACCCGTACAGCACCGCCACCCCTCCCCCTCCTCTCCCACCCCCTCTCGTCCTGCCCCTCAACAAAGACCAACCGACGACACACACACCCCCTTCGCCACCCCCCCCCATTTCTCCTCGTGGCTCCACTCTGCCTTACTGCCTTCTCAAACCCAGCACGGGCTCTAGGCACATTCTTGTGCCTTTCCTCGAACTTGCAAAAGCGCAAGAAAGACTCCTGTGCTGGTCGGTTGCTCAGATACCTGCGCCAAACGCACTCCAAATCACAAGCCGCAAACTTTGAGCAGGGACGAGGCAGCAGCAGCAGCAGCAGCACCGTTTTTGGCTTCAAAGCCTCAGAAATGGTGCACACACACAAATGCATACATATATATATACACACTTCCATCGCTCCAAAGGCCAGAATCAATGCGCTCGATGCCATTCACAAAGCAGTTTTTTCACAAGCACCTACCGTTCAAACACGCGTCTTGCCCTCTCGAGCTCTTTGCACCGCTCCTCAAAATGAATATACACAAGCCATCCCTTGTCGGAAGGATTCCACTCCATCCAGCGTTCATACACCGCACGGGCACCTGCACCTCACACATGCCACAACACCTGCCACGTCTTCTCCTTTGCGAAACTCTCTCTGTATCTCCCTATATATCTCTGATACCTCTCTATATCTTCCTACATACATATATAGATATGCATATCTCTATCTATATATATCTATATATAAACATATATCTCCGTTGCCTCGAGGTGTCAAAGATTGGATGTTTTCCTCTTGAAACTTCTTTGTCTGCCGCGGCGCCAGCCTCCTATCACCTTCCCCCCAGCATGCTGCCTACTGTAAAACATCGGTGCATGCATGCATGCATGCCTCTCTAAAGAAGGTCCCCTTCCGTGCATCTTAGTCTGCCTACTCAAAAGAGACATGTAAGAAGGGCGATATGCACATCTGATCGCATCTGCTCTGCAGTAAGCAGCACAAAGCCGCCGTCACACTCCTGCAGCGCCCCCTCCTACACTCGTACATACCGGCATAGTTGCCGAGCAGCTCCTCCATATGCGCGTATTTAAACCAAAACTGCTCAACTCGCGGCAAGAGCTGGCAAGCCCGCTCATACAGGTTCCTGCAGCTCATCACGAATTTATTCTTCGCCTCCATCTCGATGTATTTCAGCCAAAGGCTGACATTCTGATAGTCCACCAGGAGTGCGCGCTCAAACACGCTGCGCGCGCTGAGGGAACCCGGCCATGGCAGACGCAAAGACGCAAGGAAGCATGCAAGGATGCAATAAAGTATGCACACGGAGCATAATAGGCTTCTTCAATCATTGAAAATGGCACGTACAAACAAATATACATATATGCATGCGCGCGAAGCAGAGTCTGGGATGCGCTACAGCTCGAAAAAGGCGGCTGGTGGGGGAAAGATAGAGCTTAGCCGTTAACGGGGAGCTGTTGCCACCGGTAATTAGGACCTGCGGTTTATAGAATAAGGCCCACGTATACATCAACAGATAAATAGAAATTTAGATTCTTACCGTCGAAATTCTTTTTGGGCAGCTTCCCATTCCGCATATTTGATCCAGGTGCCAATATGATGCCTCTGCCTTCGAAGGGTGTCTTCAAATTCCTTTCTCTTGTTGAGCCTGTACTCGTTCAGCTCTTCCTCGTCAACGATTCTTTGCTGAGGCTTGTGCGCAAGCGCATCGTCTAGCTGCCTGTCCACAGCCTCCCGCAGCAGCTGCTCTGCGGTAATTTGCACGGGAGCTGGCATTTTGTTCTTGACTTCCATTTGCTTCGCTGTTGCGTTCAGCGGGTAGTTCTTGTTGGGGATTTTGAAAGAGGAGGTCCCCCCTCCCGTGAGTTCGGAAGCCATTTTGCGCAAAGAAAGGCGGTGTACGTACAGCGGGCTAGGAGCCAAGAGACACAGGGAGCAGCGGTGCGATTGGCGGCCGGCAGACAAAAGGCGCAGGCCCTTTCGATGAGCGGCGGCGCATGCAGAGAGGATCGGCGACAAAGAATTATGCAGCAGGGGGCGAGGAAAAGGCGGATGGACCCCAAGCCAAGAAGCGCAGTCCGAAGGCAACGCGAGCGCCGTGCAGCACGAGGTGCGAAGCAGGAGGAGGGGGCACCGAGCACAGGAGCCCAATTACGCTCAGAATGCGGAAGAAAGCTATTTACAACTCCCTCCCCCCCTCCTCCTTATTGCTCCCTCTCCGCATGCGCTCTTTCTATGCCTTCGGGGCCCTGTAAGTACACTACCCCTTCTGTGGAAGCGACCGTGAAAGGCATGCGAGGAGGCGGAAATCCAGCGCCGGCAGAAAGCTGCATGAAAAAAGCCCCCTTCTATCCTCACAGAAGAAATCAACAAAGTACCCGCAACCTTTAAAGCGCCTGAGGCGCAGCAGGTGTTTCCCAGAGGGCCCCCTCCCCGTGGCAGTCCCAGCAACGAGAACGGGCTGCATGCGCTGCTCGCGAGTGTTTTTGTGCGGCGGCCGATATTCGTCTTCTGATTGTTATTTGTACTGCGTTGGAACCAGCCGTGCTTGTTAGCTCGTGATGAGTTTGTGCGATTCTGCTTCCTGCGACAGCGGCGGAGGGGCCAGCACAGTCATGGTATCACCGGGGTTCCCCGCCGCCTCTTTGCCTTCTGGTCCTGTTTGCAGCTCCATCCTCTGCAAATTCGAGACATTGTGCAGTGTATCCGTGTAGGAAGGCAGAAGCCCCTTCTTAGCTGCAGAAACGTAACTTTGAACACACGGTGTAACGCCTTGTCTAGCCTTCTACACGCCTGGAAGGGGGCAGCCCTCTGCGCCGTCCGGCCGCAGCCTCCAAAGGGCCCTATGCCCCCGCGAAAGAGTTAACAGCTTCTCCAGACTTGTCGAGGAAGCAAACCGTGCTCGAAAAAGTGCCCCTTTTCTCTCGCCCTTAGAGGGTGACAAATCGAGAAAACATGCAACAAGGCAGGGAGGGGCGCGCGCAGAGCGAAAATAAAAGCCTCAAGAACGGCGATCACACTTCTTGGCGGCAGCGTCGAACATACATGCATATACATATATATACATATATATACATCTGTCTCGCTTAGCCCGAGTCTTTTGACAACGCAACCCCCACACGGCCGCCGATTGGTGAATACATGGTGACCATAAGAGGCAGTGTTCCTCCCCAGAGGGGCCCCTCAGAATTCGGGTGCTCGTGCAAGCGCGCATGCATGCCATACATACAGAGCTTCCTGCCCTGCGGCGAGCACCTTGTGCCCTTCCTTGCAAGCGCATGCAGGGGTTCACGCAATGTAACGGAAAGAGCAGCAGCGGCGGCACCAACTGTAGGGGTAGCGCTCAGAACAGGAAAGCAACTAGAAGTGCGCTCATATGGGCTCTCGCTCTAGCTGGGAAGGGGTGTGTTGCGATGACAGTACGGGCAGCCAGCGTTGCGCGGCAGGCGTGGTGAGGGGCTTTCTGCGTTCGTACGCCTCGCACAGCGCCATCACTAGCAAGTTCACCTAGCCCTTCTTCCCCCGCATCTTTTCTCCACAAGAGAACCTCCTCCCCCTTCCCGGTAAAGCGTTCGCTGCAGCTCCGACGGGGTCGTTTGTAGGCTTGGCCTTCTCTACTCTGCAGTGCGTGCAGTGCAGCCCAAGAGAGCTGCAGCTTTGTGTACTATCTCCGCTGCGCAGCTGTGCGTTTTGATCAAGTTCCTCTGTGCACAAAGTCTGCAAACTAGGGTTCTCCAATGCGCAGCGCCAGAGCCTGCTGGTGCTGCGCCTTTGCAGTCTGTGCTCGCGTAGCTGGATGTGGCTTTGCTGAAAGAGAGAGGGCTTTCTGACTCTATACTTGTGAAAACACAAACAGTGTGCGGCACGCTGGGAGTGCAGCCCGCAGCCACGCGCTTCATGACCCCCCTTTCTACCCCTCAAGGGGGAAGGGAAGAGTGAGGGGTCGTGAGTGACACCCCTACAGGAGGTGAGCGTGGCATGCATGCGTTACAACAGTTGAAGGACTGACGTCCTTGCGACACTCCTGTCAGTCAAATGGCTCTTGCCATTCTGCTTTCCATGGGCTTATTTGAAGGCGCTCTAGAACGCTTGGCGCTCCCTGTGTGTGCATGCATGCATGCATGGGGGGTGTGCACGTGTTGATGTGGCGGGGGGCGGTGCAAACGGCCTTGCTTTTGCGCCCTTGCCGCTTAGCCGGTTAGAGGCTCAGCCGACTGGCGACTTCGCGCTCTCTATCCGTATTTTGATTTGCTGAGGGAGTATAAAAGCGTGCCGAGGATAGCGACTGCGCTGCCTGCTGCACCGAGGAGGGTTACTGGGGTGCTGAACACGAAGACGGAGGCGACAATGATGACGACCCTCTTGAGGGTGTTTGCGACGGCGTGTGTGACTTGATTCACGCGTTCGAGGCAGAGATACGCCACTTCATTGTAGGTGTAGTACCAAAGCGCGCTTTCGCTCATTTTGAGCAGGATCGCCGCTGAAGTGACCCCAGTTTCCGCTCTGGTTGCCTGCTGCCACACGGAGACAACAACCCCCCCTTCGAACAGGAGGGCTAGCGGCAGCGAGATGAGCGTCGCTACAATGGTGAGGAGGGCGTACATATTTGGACTTGTGAGGTTTTCTCCGACGGCAGCGCGGTCTGCCATGACCTTTTTGGCGAAGATGGCGCGGCTGCTGCTTCCCAGATTGCTGATCATGGCGCACGCGAAGGAAGCCCACGTGAAGGAAAGCTCCGTGAGGGAGGCGAGAGCCACACCGGCGACTACGGGGACGAGTGCCGTGTACGTCTGCCACGAGAAGTACTGATGCAGGAACGCTGCAGAGAGCAGCGCGGTTAAGACGGGCTCGCCAGCTTTTACGATGTGCGTGAAGGAGACTGCCCCGATTGACATGGATACCACCGCTCCAAAGTGGACGAGGAAGTGACAGGCGCCTTGAGGAACAACCGCTCTCAGAAAGAGGGCTTTCGAGTAGCACCGCGGTATAGGGCGCAAGCCAAACAGCCACGCCGACACGAAGAAGATCCAGCCGAAGAGCAGCTGGTACGTCGAGACCATCCACGGCAGCGGCAGGAGCGAGAGCGCCCTCTTGTTGTCGATGTTGTACAGCACATTCAGCACATACCAGACGGCGAAAAGACTTGCGAGTTGCGCTGTCTCGGCGATGGACTGCCACGTCGAGATCGCCGCCGTTCCTGCACCTCCGCACGTCCCCTTCTCTAGGTCCTTCGCGAGCGGAATAGAGCCGTAGCCGCCTCCGCCCCCCCCAGCCGCCAGCGCGTGCTTCAGACGCTGCGTTTCGCTGCTGGGCGCTGCAGCCACCATCTTCGCCGACGCCCCTGGTGAGGGCAGGCAGTTCCCTTGAATGCAGGCTGCAGCGGCTCAGGCAGCCAAACGCGCGGCGGAGAGCCTCCAGAGAAGCGCGCAGAGGTACCCAAGAATCACGCAGATGTGGCCGAGGAAGCGTCTGGCTAGAGACACCTCATGGAGGCGAGCCGTATCGAAGCCTTGGGAGGGAAGAGAGCGGAAGAAGGGGGCGGGAGAAGTTTCCCTTGGCGGCGTTGGAGAGTAGAATACGAACCGGCAAAAAAATAGAGAAGGGACTTAAAGCAACTGGCTAAGACCCTCTCCAGAAAACCCCCGGAGTGCACGCCCAAGACGAGTAACCCCCACCGCTCACTCGCCCTTTTCCTAGCGGCGAGCGACAGACAGACTAAATGCTATGAAGAATGCGGAGGGAAAAGCAAAGCTATCCAAACATACACACGTCTACCGGCCTGCCACACCCGTTTCCACCCGAGAAGTCGCTGTCTCCTTCACGACACAAACGGCAACCCCTTGATGATGCCGCCCCCCCTCTCCCACGATCACGAGCTCCCGCCGCCCCTTCCCACGGCGCAGCCTGCCCCACACTGCGGAAACGCACTTCAAATTTCCTCGTAAAATTGCGCAAAGTGCATCTTCTTCAGTGGAAACTCGTTTCAAACGCGGCTGCACGCAGAGACACGCCGCTTTCGCCGCGTTCAAAAACCAACCGACGCAGCCACCCCACACCCACCGCCCCGCCTCTACCCCCGAGGCGTAATAAAGAGACACACACTCAGGAAAAGGTCCTCTTTTCCACTGATCCTGCGTTTTCGAACCCTTTAAATCATAGAAGGACGCAGGAAGAGCTGCTGCGGACATCCAGATGCCTTCTAGACATGACAGCGGGAGATCTCGGCGCTCCCCCGCTCGTAACTCTGCGTGTCTCTGTGCAACTTCGCCATAAATGCTTTCTCCCCTCCCTTGAAATACCTTCTGCTCTGCGGGTTTCATCCATCCATTCACCCTCCTAGCTCGCTCTCGGGTGTGTAACAAAGCAACGCTCTAGAGTGCCTCTCTGGCTGGCAACTTTTTAGAATGAGACGCGTCAGTGCCGGTTGCGCCCACAAAGTCCTGAAGAGGCGCGAAAACAGCGAAAAAACCCTTAAGTGATACGTGTATACCGCTCAGCACGCACAGACTGGCACACACAAGAGCACGCGCGAAGTGCTCAAGTGTACAGTAGACACTCAAAGAGGGAGGGAGGGGGGCCAATGGGCAGTGTGTTGCGCGGGCACGGCGGTGAGAAGAGTGCTCGAATGACCCCTTTCTCTAGCCCGTCGTTGTTTTTGCCAAATCGGCTATGTGCCTGAGAATCAAGTGGCGCCTGTGCTCCTCCGCCTGCAGCACGCTGGCTCCCCCTGCCGCTATATCTGCCCGAGGCCCCTCCCCCCCTTTGATGCGCCTCTGGCTGTCCATTGCCTCTGCAGCCCTCCAGTCAGCCTCCCTGATGCAGATCACTGCCCACCCCCACCGCCTAAGAGCGTTGAGCCTTGCCTTCGTTAGACTGCAAAGGAGGGCCTCTCGCTTCCGATGCACGCCGAGGCGTTGGCTGTTGGGAGGTGCCGCCACGAAGTCAAAGCACTCTAATAGAACGCACACAAGCAAATGTGACGCGGCGTTGATATTCGGACTTGCCGAGGGTAGGCCGTCATCTGTGCGCCACGTGTAACAGGAGGGGCTAGGCAGGGAAGGAGAGTGCGCCGCTTCTGCTCGTGCTTGGCGCATGTTGGCAGCCTGTAGCACGCGGGAGGTATCCGGGCCCCCCTGACTGCAGGCAGTGAAGAATTGCCTCCTTCCCCCATCCTCTAGGGTGTCGGTTGCGTCTGGCTCCTCTTGCGCTGGCTCCTCTTGCGCTGCAGGGGAAGGCGGGGGGGAAGCGGCACTACTCTCTGCCCTCTCCTGAAGGTGCCCTCCTTCTGCTTCGCACTGCTGCATGTGAGATGCGAGGGACTGCAAGTCGATGGCAAGGTCTGCAAAAGCCCAGCTGCCTACACACACACTGGGCTGCACAGAGAGCGCCTTCCACTGCTCCAAATACTGCTGAATCCTCCTTTGGACTGGCACGCCTCTCTCCGTATCCCCCCTATCCGATACGTCGCCCTTGGCTGCGCCTCCTTGGCGCTTGATCCGATCCAAGATGTCCAAAGAAGACTGCCTGGCAAAGGCTCCCCCCCCTCGAGCCAGCGGGAGCGGCGACAACGACCCCAACGAGAGAAGAAAGCTCCCCAACGGATCGGGGAGGGAGGTGAGCAAGGGGGAAGCCGCAAGAAATCCAAGAACGGGGGCGAGAGAAGGCCTCTTCAGCGCGTCACGCTGCACCGCAAAAACAGGCAGGCGCATGGGGAGGCGAGCAGGCAAGCATTCTGCACGCATCGAACCTCGCGAAGACGGATCGAGGGCAGTATGCGTCTCTAGAAGCGACCAGCGTGCTACGCGAAGGGCGAGGAGGGAGCAGCAAGCCAGCAAGAACCAGCGAGACAAGATGAGGGGGCCCAAGGAAGCGATTTTCGTGTGCGACAGCAGCAGCGGCACCAACAGCAAGCAACAGAGGCACACACGAGTGGAAACGAAAGAGATTCAAACTGGCGTAGACTACGCCTGGGAGATCGTGCATGCCGTTCCCCAAAAGCCACCAGCGCGCTTCTCTTCCTCCTCTCGCCCACCTCCCTCTCGCTGAACCCCCCCCTTTTCCCTCCCTGCAAGTGTGACAACAAATTCTACGACACATAGAGCGTTTGCAGAGGCCTACGTTTTCATACAGAGCCGCTGCAGCCGCGCTTATGTCATCGGGAACGAGGGTGCGAGGTCTGGCCGTCAAATCGAATAGGGCGGCAGCCTGCAGCAACGCAAGAGGCCCCTCAGGCTGCAAAACACGGCAGTCACACATTCACATTCACACATTCACATTCATACATTTACATTCACACATTCACATTCACACTCACAAACACATTCACAAACACATTCACATTCACACATTCACATTCATACATTCACATTCATACATTCACATTCATACATTCACACTCATACATTCACATTCACACATTCACATTCACACACACATTCACACATTCACATTCACACATTTACATTCATATATTCACACATTTCACACATTCACATTCATATATTCACACATTTCACACACATTCACATTCATATATTCACACATTTCACACATTCACATTCATATATTCACACATTTCACACATTCACACATTTACATTCACACACATTCACATTCATATATTCACACATTTCACACATTCACATTCATATATTCACATTCACACACATTCACATTCATATATTCACACATTTCACACATTCACATTCATATATTCACACATTCCACACATTCACACATTTACATTCACACATTTACATTCACAAACACATTCACAAACACATTCACATTCACGAATTCACACAAACAAACACTCCCACGCAGCTGGGAAAGGACGGCACCACAAAGGAGGCCTCGCCAGGAGGCGGGGCAGGTGCGCAAACTCTGCATTACCCCATAATGTGTGCGCGCGCTGTCGAGACAGCGGGGGAGGCCGAAAAGGCAGCACAGGCAAAGGGTCAAATGCATTGCTACGGTAGACAGGAAAGGGAGTCGCAATCAAGCGGGCGGTGCAGAAGCTCCGTGCACCCTTACGGTAGGCCACTGCGTTCGAGAGGCGAGGAGGGGGAAAAGAGACAACGCGTCTGTCTCCTTCGGCATCCCCAGTGCCGCGAGAGCCGCTGTCAGTCGAGCTAACCACACAGCTGAGGACGGACTGCAACTCCTCGCGAATTGCGCCGCTAGTCGCTGCAACGTAAAGGCCCACCGTGCATCTCGCACCTGGAGGAGAGACAGCAGGCAGCTCACCTCGCTTGCCGTCTGCGCACATGCACATGCACACACACACACCAGCATGCAAACAAACAAATGCACAGCCACGGTTCCGCCACAGACCCTTTCCCTTCGCTTTTCCCGATGGCACTCAGTCTGCTGCCGGATTGGGGCCCCTTGGAGGGGCCCCTAGACGCCAGAGGCTTTGACGCTAACCTGCGTAGGCATTTCCTTGGCGCGCAAAGAAGCTACAAAGGGAACTGCAACAGCAGAGGCAGCGGGAAGGCGAAAGAGCGTTCTTGTGCTCTTCTCCGCTGCAATGTCATCCACGGGCGCTGTTGCGAAAGTTGCTCCCGTTTGCGAAGCCTCCCAAAGATTCCCTCTGCCCTCCGGCTGCTGCGCCTCGGCCCTCTGCTGCTGCCGCTGCTCTTGCTGCTGCTGCTGCTCTTGCTGCTGCTGCTTGCCTGCCTCTGCAAGCGCAGCAGCAGCAGTGGCGATCCTGGGCTGTGCCCACTCCTGTTGCTCGCGAAACGTTTCTGCGCTTGCGCCACTCCAGCTGTTGTTGTCGCTGATACTGCAGCTGCTAATGGCAGGAACTATGGACGGGTAGAAGAGCTGTACAGACAGCGAGGAGGGCAGCGCAACCCGCTGGGCTACTTGCTGCAGCAGTGGGAGGTGTCGAGACGCCGCAAACGACGCGTGCAGACTCGAGAGCGCCTTCTCCATACGGACCAGCAGGGCAGCTTCCGTCACGTAAGCGGGCTGCGGCAGAGGCAATGAAGACAAAGACGCACACGAAGGACGAGTAAGCAGGGGCGAGGCAAGTTCGAGCGTTCGAACGCCACGTGTCTAGACAGCGTATCCCTCCCCACTCGCTGTAGCAACGCCCTCCCTCTGCTCTCTGAAGAAGCGGACGAAGCCTTAAACATGGTTCTGCTACGGCGTCGTTACTTTTCTCCCTCTTTCGCCCCCAAGGCGTTCCCACAGAGATACCTCTCTAAGGAGATGCATGTGTCTCAGAGCTTCCGCCGCTGTTTCGGCGGTGAAGCGCTCAGCCCTTGCGCCTATCTCCTCCAGTATCCGGTAAAGTGCTCGCTGAAGCAAAGGGTTTATTGCACTTTGCTGCAAGTGCTTAGTAGGGGCCCCCGGGAGGTGCAGCAGTGCGGGCAGGAGCTGTGACAGCTCCCACGGCGAGAACTCATGCATTACATCCAAGACTCGCCGCAACACAGACTGCACGAATGCTTCCGGAGTCGCTGGCAACGACACCGGCGGCGCGGCAGCAGCATCCGCAGTTGCTGCTGCAGCTGCAGCCGCGGATTCAGCTCTATTCAAATTCACTGCTGCGATGCAGAGATGCATGCAGTCTGTGGCATGCATCTGTCGCACCACTTTGCTGCTCCCCGACGCCTCTAGCAGCAACTCAATAAAAGGCCTAAAGGGCACTACTACTGCCGACTCCTCCCCCTTCCCGTGAAGCCCCCAAAAGTCGACGTCTTCCTCGGGGGGCCCCTCCTCTGGAGGGGGCCCCTCCGAGAGCGGAGGGACCCCCGCCACGTTGCATGCGTAGCGCGTGTAAGCGGAGAGCAGCAGGGAAAGGGTCTGCGTCTCCTGCTTCTGCTTCACGCGGGCAGCCATAGAGACAAACACTTTTTGCAGCACCTGGCGCAGACAGGGGATTCTTCCCTTGACAGCGGTGTGCGCGAGTAGAGCCAGGAGAGGAGGGGGTGTTGTTGCTGACAGACGTTTGAGGCAGAGAGGCGTCAACGCCCTCAACAGCAGCTCGTCCTTTAGGCGGAGCCGCTGCAGCGCCGCCATCAGCAGCACTGCGTCTGCAAGCCGAAGCTGGTGCAGCTGCATGCGGAGGCCTTCGAGGATATAATTCAGAAAATCCCATTCTCTGCGGTGTACAGACGCAAAGATGCGCACGATCTGCACCTGCTGCTGCGCGGAGAAGGCCCCACGCAACACGCAGCAGCGATACATCATCGCTTCCCACACCGAACGCATGAACAAGCGACGAGAGGCACAAGTCTGCATGCTCTCCAGCAGCTCCGTGGGGTTCATGGAGTAAACGCGGCGCACGCGAGGCAGCTGCGAACAGCGCGGCTTGGCCTCCAGGAAGCCTCGCCTGGAAGCCTTTTGCCAGTCTGAGGAGCCGCAGGAAACAGCTGCTGCCTCCCCCGCGCGCATGCGCGTGCAGCCTGCCGCAGCGTGCAAGCAGCGTAGGTACGGTGCAGGTGGCATGCGGCGTGAGGGGTGTGAAGGCAGGCTCAAGGCGGCAGGAGGCTGCGGGGAGGCCCCGCATGCGCATGGGGGCCCTTCAACCCTCCTTGCGCTAAACGCCCCTAGAGGAACGGCTGTAGAGGCGTTCAGCAAACGCCACAGAGTTCCCTCCACAGCTTTTCCCTTGAGGGTGCCCATTGGCGTGAGCGTCCTCAGGGGAAAAGCTCGGTGATGCGCCATATGCCGATCCTATATGCTCCGCTTGCACGCATGGGAAAACGAGAACTGCTCGATAGAATAAGGCGTGTTGCTTCACGCATGCTTCAGCGATAAGTCCATATACGCCTCACATATACGCGAATGAGAGGGGCGTGTAAGTCGCCTCAGGAGACTCCGGCTTGGGGGGGGCAACGCTTTCCTGATATACCTTGGCGAGCTCCTCTCCGACCAGCTTGTGAGTTTGAAGGTGCTTGCTGACGCAGCGATCGCTGCAGGATTTCTCCCAAATTTGAAGATTTGGCTCGCTGTGAGCTTTCGTCTTCGTCTCCCCGGTGTCTGCTATGCGGCAACAGCACCGATAAAAACAATTTCGCTGGATACGGCTAAGACTATCCGTCACCCCCGTCACCTCCGCCAAAAGCACCTCAGTTGCGCTGAAGAAGGAAGTTCCCTCTGATGCATTCGAAGCTGACGGCACAGACGGAGTTGCCATTGTTTGCACTCACCCTTGGCCCTAGAGCTTATCACTCTTTCGAATGCTTGATCCTCTACTCCATAACGAGAAATGGCTAATTTGAACCTCAAACACCCTATATTGATGCGAATATGGCTTAAAACACTCCCAAGCACGCAGTCGGCGCGGCGAGCACGCCCGGCCTGTATCCTTAATTTCCCCTCTGCCCACTGGCTGCTTTCCACAAACAGGCTCTGCTTGCAAGTGACGCATGGAAAGTTTTTCTTCAAGCACTTGGCATTTCGTGCTTGGGGCTGCAGCGCGATTCATTAGGAATGGGAGGCAAGGTCCTGGGGGGGCCCCCCGCCTTTACCCCCTGAAGACTGTCGGCGGCGAGTTGTGCCAACACTCGAAGTGTTGCTCTGCACTTGTATCCGGGAAAACGCTTTCCATTATCAGATCTCATTGGAAGCTCTGCTCTACTCTGAGTGACGCGAAGGAAAGGCGCATACATCAGCGCACATCTTCCCCACAAAGTCGTTCGCTGGCCCCTCAATTCAATGTGCTGCGGCCTTTCCGTGTTCATAAAAATCGCAGCTTAAGTTCTCGTTCATTTCTTCTTTGATTTTGCCTTCACAAAAAGCTTGGGAGCATGAGAAGGGAAGCAGCGGCGGCGAGTGACTGACAATTCTGTACGAAATCGGGAGAATAACAGTTATGACGAGCCACGACCATCATGAGCATCGTTCAACTCGAGGTGTCTGGACAGCTGAACTTAACCCATCACTGTCAGCGAGAGCGTACAAGGCGTCACGAATGAGTCATTTTTCATCGTAACGCGGCCGAACAGACCCCTGAATGTCGGAAGTCTTGTTGCTTCTATTATTTTCCGGCGCAGCAAGAGGAAGCACGGAGAAAACTTGTCAATGCGAGGCGAGCGCCTCCTCTGTCATTCGGGTGTCTCGTGCCCTTGTTCCCTGCGTCCTTTCAGTTCCCGAGTCATTCATGTGGGCCCCAGTTGGTCAAGCCAAAACAGCGGCGCAAAGAAAGGCCGCAGGGATTACTCCTCTTTCAATTGTATACCACCACGGCTCCCTCCAACACCTCTTCTGCTTCCTCAAACCGTGACGGAGGGTTCCTCCGTGAGAGCTCAGGCGTCACCCGTATCACCTTTTTCGGTGCCTCCATTATTGGGGAAGATCCGGCTGCTCTCGGGCATCCCGCTTCCTGGCAGTCTAGAATGCCATTCTCTCTCAGAGTTCACCCCCCTGCGCCGCATGAGGAGCTCTGTGCCCTTCATGAGGATCGCCGCCTCTGTGAAGCCGCCTTGCCTACGGCACCCCGCAAGGGAATTCGCGTCTAAGACTAGTGCTAGCTCGACTGACGCCGCCATTAACGGGGAGGCCGATGAGGCCACCAGAAGCTGTCGCAGGCGCATGTCTGGCTCCTGTGCGTCTTGTGCCACTCCTTGCAGCGAAAGGAATAGCGCTAGCAGCAGCAGCACGAGCAGCAGCAGCAGCACGAGCAGATCACGTGAGGACCCCCCGCACCGCGGATTTCTGTTTGATCGCATGTTGGAATCCCCCCGTCCGGATGCGGAGTCTGTTGCTGCCCTCGACTCGGTGTCTCTATGCACGCTCAAGACTGTGGAGCTGCCCGCCCCAGTGCTGCAGAAGTTGCATTTGCTGCTGAAGCACGTAGGAAGGAAAAGAGACTTGGAGAAGACGGGGAGGCTCATTGCGGACAAGACTACTGCCCGAACATCCGTAGAGCTGCCTAGGGTGCTCCCTTCCCAGCTCCTGCCGGAGGCTCAGCAGGTGCTTGCCGACGCTGCTGCCAGGGAGGCATTTCTAGAAAAGCAGCACCAAGAAGAGCACGCCGAGGAGTTCCCTGGGGCAGCCGCCGATGCGGCCGCTGTTACGCAGTCGCGCCGTCAAGAGCCCACCGCAAGCACTCTCTTGTTGAAATCCCGAGATGCGCATCTGTTGCGATCTCTGCCGGAGGCTACGGATGCCTTGCTTTCTGCGTTGCCTGCGGAAGGGCTCGAGGCGCAAGAGGCCCTTGCTGCAGCGGAAGACGCGCGTCATCCGCTGTACAGACACCTTACACTAGGCCATTCGCCTCTGACGGCTGCAGCCTGGACGGCTCACCGCTTTGCTGGCGTGTATGCCTCGCTGCTCCGAATTCTCGTAGAAGTGAAGGGCCGCTGCTCCGACTTTTTCCCCAAGCGCGTCCTTGAAATGCATGCTGGGTTTGCTGCGGGGCTCCTAGCAGTTGACGCGGTGTACGGACAGCAGCAGCAGCAGCAGCTGCTGCAGCAGCTGCACAAGGAGGACGCAGCGGCTCCCCGAAAGCAGGGGAAAGCCTTCGGGGATGTCGACGCTATCGGCGCGACGGTTTCGACCGCCTCAGCAGCATCCTTGGGCTCCTCCTTCAGTCATTCCGGCGAAAGCAGTCTTGAGCTGTTGATGGCTGTGGAGCCGTCGGCTCACTTGGCGAGTGTGGGTCGGTATTTGACTGCAGATCTCGTGCCGACTGTGCAGTGGCAGTTGGCTTTGTACGACGAGGGGCTGCGGCGGAGGTTGGGGTCAGATGGGGAGCCTGAAGACGATCGCTTTGACTTGGTGATGTATCCGCATGGCCTTTTGCGTTCTGTGGAGGGGCAGCCGAGTCGCCACGCCATGATTCGCACTCTGTGGAACCGCTTGCGTCCAGGGGGCTTGTTGTTGTTGGTGGAGAGGGGTACGGTGAGTGGCTTTCGCGTCTTGGGGAGCGTGCGGGAACTCTTTATTGCCGAGCTGTCTAAGGGCAGCTTCCACTTTGTTGCTCCTTGTTCCCACGAGTCGGTATGCCCCCTTGCGCTTACAGGCCGGGACTGGTGCCACTTTGGTCAGCGCGTGCGTCGTCTGCCGCATCATTTGTACTGCAAAGGCTCCCGCGCAAAGGCTGTAGAGGAGGAAAAGTTTAGTTTCCTCGCCGTTAGAAAGGGGCAGGGGCCTAGAAGTCGGTACCGCACTCTCGCGGCAGCCGAAACGGCGGGAGCTTCCCCCGCAGAGCTGTCCTTTTTCTGGCCGCGACTCGTTGCACCGCCGCTGAAAGGGAGGGAGCACGTGCTGTTAGATGTTTGCGCGCCTCCCCATAGATTTGAGCGCGTTGCTGTGAGCAAACACATGCCTCACGCTGCCGGCTACAAGGCTGCGAGGCATGCGGCCTGGGGAGACCTGTGGAGACACCCCAGAAGAATCGTTAGACCTGATGCCAGGGCGTACATGGAGCAAGATCTTCGGGAGGCGGCAGACAGACGACATGCGCGAAAAGCCGAAACAAACGCTCGCCAAGATGTCGGAGAGCGAGAAGAAGAGCTGCACGACACGCTTGTCAAGCACTGTGGAGCGTGAAAGGAAGCCTCCACACGCCTTTGTAGGGTATGCGGGTGCTGCAGCTGTCGCTTGCGCGAAGACTTCCTTCCTTGGGCCTAAGAGCTTCGGATGCAGAAGGTTTGTGGATTGAGAATGCCGTCGACGAGGAAGGCCGCTGCAGGATCCTGGATGGCTGAGCAACAGCGTCTCCTCAGTGGGCACGTGCGGCAACTGACTTGACGGCTGACTTTCGAAGCTCGCGGGAGCAAGATCGCCTCTTTCTCAAGGAAATACGCGGCAGTATGCACTCAATGCGCAGAGTTTCAAAGGGATGTGTAGGTGTAGGTGCGTGTGTGTGGTCTTGCCTGCTTCAACGAGCTCACGAAGTCTTGCTTGCTGAAACTCGGGAGCTTCGTGGTATAGAATTCCGAGAAAAACGGATAGATAGGTTGAAGCATCGGGTGTCCTTTGAACGCGGGTACAATTTTAAGGGCACCAGGAGCGCGAGCTGCTCTTGCCCTTGCCGAATGAATAGGAGGCGCGTTTAAAGTTTCTGCTTTTCCTGAACACGTGCATGGGCTTGGTATGCTGTGGTACACTCTGCATGGGCCGCCATGAGGTTTCGGTCTTATGAAGCATGAAAGTCTAGCTGGAAGCTCGCGATTATGACTTTCTGCCTACGCTGGCCTCAATTTTAGGCGAGTCGTCACCTGAAGCCTCGATTAACTGGGCTCTCCAAATAGCAGTATTGCCGAATGCGCACGAGACGCAGACCTAGTGATCAGGAAGGCAGCCACCAGCTCTCCCATGCAGAATCGCAGTAATGCCTTTTACCACGCTTGGTCTAGAATAGCCAATAGTTGAGATCTGTGAACGCCAGTAGGGCACTGGAAGCTGGAAGGCTTAATTCGAAGCCATTTACTTCTTGCCGTTGCATTCTAGATTTTGGTCTGGACTGACACCCTCCGAGTTCTTGTGACGCTAGCTACACCCACCAACCACGCGGTTCTTAATCCACAGCATAGCCTCGGAAAATGCCAGCTCTGCATTCCATCGCTCAAGTTCATATTGACTTGCGGGCGTTGCATCCCCCTGTTTGAGTGAGCATGGGCCTACGATTCTCCCATCTCCCGTAGAAGCCAATTCATCACTAGTTTCTCCTGCCATTGTGCTTTATCTTCTCTCCGGTTATCGGTCTTTGTCTTTTGATCAGTTATGGCTCTGTTCAAGATCTTGCTGATGGCTCCAGTGCAGCCATCAGCAAAACGGTTCTGCCCCCTTTTTATCTATTTCTTTGCACCCGTTCTTCCTTCCAATCTATTTCTCAAGCTTGTAAATATCTCAGGGTTCCTTATCTGTCAGTCGGGTTGAACTGGGCTGTTTCGGTTTCCTCGTTGCGGTCAACGTATACGGCAGCACTCTTCAATGCCCAACACAAAAAGGGCCGCAGCAGATGAGTTCAACTCCCTTAAAGCGTCCAGTCCCTAAATGAACAGAGCAACGGCGCTAGACTGGCTGAGGGTAAAAAAAATGGAAAAACGGCACAGGTCTAAAGCGCATCTAGACTGCTAATAATGGCCTTTAAGGTCCAGCAAACCTGCCAACCTCTCTGATTCTAGGCAGCTCGTAAGAAACTCGCCGGTGTTTTTTGCAGTAGCGAGTACCCTGCAGAGACGGTTCACACCGAAGCACAAGGCCTCTACGTCTCCAACAAGAAAATGACCTTTTATCTGCGTAAATTGGTAAAAGCTTTGTTGCTTTGCGAATGCTGTTTTTAGTAGAGGGCTTGATTCCGCTAATGTGAAGTGAGGGACAGCCATAGCACTAATATATCCTGAACATAGTGTCCCCTGGAAAGCTACATAGCTCAAAAAGCCAGTTCTTTATCTGGATCTGGATGTCGGGAGAATCCTGTGTGGTCATACAAAATGAAACCGGTAGAAGGAAACTGCGGAGCGGGGGCTGGCGACACCAATCTGGCATTGTAGCGCTGGCAGTACCATATAATATGCGAATAAAATATGCCTCACAGCTTCTCAATAATAAGCTAAGCTTTATTAAGGCGCAGTCAACAACACCAGCTTTATCATCGAGGAATTCGTAAAGAGCTGATCACTTTTGATTGTATATTCGCGTATCTTACATGTGTGAGACTAATGCTACGTCAGCACAAGAAGACACAATACTGTGTGTGCCTGTGTGCTAGAGCCAGTATATGTCTAGCTGTAAATGCTAGGAATGCTGAGATGGCGCAGCTAAAGGCAGCCTAGGTTTCTTTCTTGCCTCAAGTTAAGAGCTCTCAGGGGCCAGGGCAGGTGAAAGCGAGATTCTTTTTAGAGAAACACTCAATAACTTTGTGTTGTTTTGTATTCGGTCCGAAATAGAGGGTCTCCCGTAGGTAAATCTCGGACTGGGTGCTACCATCAGTAGCACCCCATAATTAGATACAGTTGTTCCCTCAACCGGGATGCAGTGGAATATTAGGTAACCCTACAACAGCCCTTTTGTTTTGATTATACAGCCATCTTCGTATTTCAGTTGGCAGTAATCTGGTAAATAAGCCTCTGTCAGGGCAAACAGACAGTGCCGCAACCCCTGCTGGGGCGGGAGGGGGCGGGCTGCAAGCTGGCGTGAATGCATTCGTTCCACACCTGGTACAGAGGCATGAGTATCAGTCGATAAGATGGGCATGGATTTGTCGATGAGGCTATGCCGAGCCAAAACCTATGGTGGTTGTACGGGTGGGCGAGAACTCGAATGTTGTTAATCACCCGGTTGGAGTTACACTTCAATTCGTTTCCCACAGATGAGGAGGAACGAGTGCTCTGTGTGTCAGACTGATTGGAGGGATGAGCACATTTATTGATGGCTTTATACACGAAGAGGAGCTTTCCTGCTTAGGGGGAACACTGCACTTCCAGTCTTCACGCTCGCCAGCTGTCAGGTTATGCCGAGATTCGCTCAGCATTAAGCTTCGAATGCTTCGAAATCAAGACAGCTGAAGCAAGTGTACCTATCGATTGATCGGTATATCGAGGAATGCAACGCTTTGGTTTGCAGAAGTCACAATTCGAACGAATAGCTGCTTTGTCAGTGGTTGCTGCAGGCCTACCAGAAGTGTCACATCAACTGGTCAGAGAATGGGTAGCAAATTTATGATCAGATGACCAACAGATCAAACTATCACAAATGGTGAACACCTTAAGTTTCCACGGAAAAGGAGTGTAACTGCCATTTTTTGTCTACAGGTAAACAAGAAAGGACTGTCACAGAGAACTCGGAGGCAGCCCCCAATAACGCATCTGCTTCTACTTAAAAGATACGGTCTTTTAATACAGAACCGCAAGTGTATGCAAAAGCCAATGAGTCAGACAGCTTGACCAGGCAAATGGGAAAAAGCTGCTGGGCAAGCAAAGAAGGCGCATCAGGGAGAACGAATGCCTTCACGTAGGCTGCCCTGTAGTGAAGTGAGCTACAAAGGATTGAGCAGTTGAAAACCCAAGAAGGGTCAATTCCACGCAGATGCAATTTTGCAGTAATGACCAAGAATTGCTAGCTTTACGTGACCCTGGATGTCACGTGAATCTGTTATCTGAGGAGAAGTCGCAAAAGTGCTTGCTACCTGTTCACTAGTTAGTGCAGAGACTATGACCCAGGATTGTTGACAGGCGGCCAAGCACAAGGATTTGCAACTGTGATCTGGCACTCAGATGCCGTTTCAAATTGAAATTGGGTCCTCCCAACATGGCCAGGTCTTTTGCCAAATCCTCTAGGCTCCTGAAAGTATGTGGATTTATCAGACCTCAAACTTTATTGTTAGACCGTCAGAGGTCAAGGTACAAGGTAGCATCAGCGTCGCCGTTGACAAGAATACCAATCCATGAGGACCACTCAGGGACGAGCTCCTCAGTGTCATTCACCATCGTCTGACGTATCACTACCCTTTCTTTGCCGATCAGTCTAAAATTTGGAGGCAAAAGAAGCTTCAAAGCCTCCTGATCTATTCGCGGACTTTTACATTCAGGTAAGTGACCCATGTGGAGGCAGATGCCCACAGTGAGCCAGGTGAATGCCGGGATCTGAGACTATTGAGCACCGAATATCTAGCGCACGAGAGCCCCTGATGAACTTGAAAATGGAATGGTAGCCGCAGTGCCTGACGGAGGAGTGACTGCGGACTTCACTGCCTGCAGAAAAATGTTTGGCTTTGTTTTACAAGCTACGCTGATTGCCATGAACGATATTCTTCGCCTTCCTTGATCATTCTCCTTTCCCAGACCAAGCTCTGTGTTAAATTGATACCTTCGTCCACGGATACTGCTCGAAAAAAAATCCCTGATTACTGTTCTCCAGGGGTTCTAGACACTCCTATGCATGTGAACACACTTGCGGGTATGCTGTCTCGAATTCTTATGTATGTGACTTGTGAAGACTTGCAGTCCATTATACTGCGTGCAGCGGCTGAATGTGGCATGCAGATATTGTTCTGCGAGGAGCGGAGGCAGTATTGAGCTGGTGTATAGCTCACAACTCGATTCGCGTTACACGTTTACCTCAGTCTCTCTCGTAGCAGAAGGCTCAGGTGTTCCCGTGCTGTAGAGAAAAGCGGGCCATCGCTCCACCGCGGTAGTGCTGCTTGGTCCCTCGTTTAATGATAGCTTCTCTTCTCCTTGCGACTTTCCTCCAGCGGTTGATGCAGACCGTTTGCTTGGCTTTTGCCTTTTTTTCCGTGCTTCTGCCTGCCTGTGAAGTAGCGACAGCGTGGGAACACTATCGCAGCCCTGCGTGTCGCTGCTCTTGACGGACAGGTATGCAATGCGAGGGCGTAGACTCTTTAGAATCCCGGGGGTGGAGGCATGATGTAGTGGCTAGGCTACACATTAAATACTTGCCACTAAACTGCTTATCTCTATCTGTGTATTAGTGGAGAATTGACTACTTGGTTTAGCTGCTGGTATTTTCTTTACTTCAGAGTTCTGTTACCTCGGCACAAGACGGTACAAAGGTGCGTGCCTGTGCACAAGATACTAGGTGAAACTAGCTGCGAATTCTTGTAATGCTTAAAGAGTGCAGCTACGCGCACTCTTTGCAGTCCCTCTCATGGGCGCACACGGGGGAAAGCGAGAGTGGCTTTCCCTGAAGGATACACGATAAGTTAAGTATCTCAACTTATTGAGCATCCATCGACTTTGGAGTGAAGTGCGTCTCCATTGAAATCTTCGTGCTCTAGAGTAGCCCATTCGCTAAAATCCAAATTGGACAGACAGACAGCCTTTAACCTCACGCGCAGCTCCCCATTCTTAGTACTATTCATTAGTGGCTCCTGAAAAGACGAGAGAGGAGGGAAATTACTAAGAAGCGCATTGTGACGGCTCTCTGTGCAATGCTCTAGCGGATTCGGATGCTGGGTATCGCGGTTTTGTGCCACCACAAAAGGATGTGGGTTCATAGAAGGAGACAGTGCGCGGTTTTTGGTAACCCACACTTGTTACCATTTGGTTGAAAGATTTTAGTCTAAACAATTTCCCATTTTTCCGCGGGCGAAACTTCGCTCAGCTGTGAAGTGTTCGGCTCGGCTGCCTCGGGAAGATCTCGCAGCAGCGCCGCGAATATAGTTGTTTTTTCCTCTAGTCGCTCATTTCTGCGCATTATTACACATAAATGACAGGAAAAGCACTAAAATAGTGAATCGATGAACATGTTCTCACAATTAAGTTTAGACAGAGGAAATGCTATTTAGGCGGAGGGCCCCGCGAGGTGCATGTACACCTCAAACTAACGACGTGTGTTCCTTCTGATCCAACAAAAAAATAAGTATTACCGTCCTTTTAAATATATTGGGGTCACATACGATTTTATTCATCTCAATTTCCAGCTGACGACCCCCAGCCAGCTACTGTAAGGATACCCTCCTCTGCTCTGGTACCTAAAGTGGCGCCGCCCTCCTCTCCCTTCAAAACCCCAGAGACACACCGCCCTTCGCGCAACTCGATAAGTAAAACGACAACGCGCTTGGTAATGACCATCAGACAAGGCTAGCTGCAGTCTCTTGCCCTCATTTTTATTCGGGCCAGCCGTCCTCCCCTGCCTGTCCACTGCTCGCCCCGCCCCTTCATCCTTCTCTTGTTATGTATATTTACCTCTGGATTGTGCTCCGATGCCTGCACATAATTTGGGTTGTCGAAGACAAAATGAGTTTCGTCATGTGTGCATTTAGCCCACCAAGGCGCACAGCGCAGGTTTGATTGTTGGTCGAGAAACGGCGTCGCCACACAGGATCTGGAGGCAAGGGCTCTCTTGGATTGCCTTTTTCTCTCCTTTTACTCATCCCCTTTAAGCAGGTGGTGAAAAGCCAGGGCTAGAAAAAAAACTGACTGCTACTGCTCTCCTCCAGGCGCCTCCCTCGGTACCACGACAGCAACTTGCAGAGCCTCGGTCGGGAGCTGCGCGCACCTGCAGCTGCACGCGCGGGGTTGGCTCACCCTGACTTTACTTGGAAGCGTCACTAAGCGTTTCGCCTGGCCTCTGCCTCCCACTTTGATTCCCTCGCATTTGCGTCGTCGCTCGCAACCATGGCGGCCAGCCCTCAGCGAAGCCCCTTCACATCTGCAGATGATACAGCAGAAACGCCAGAGCAGGCGGGATGTTCAGCGGACTCGAAGGAAAAGGAGATAATTGTCATCAAAGATGACGATGACACATCCAGTAGTGACTCGGAAGCGATAGACATCAGTGATCTGCACTTTGGCAGAAGGTCACAGCCCCTCCGTTACTCAAGAGCAACGAGGTGAGGCGCTGCTGGTAGGCTGTGCATCAGCCTTTTTGCTCTGTATACGTGTGTGCACTGTGCTGTCACCGGTGTCGGCTACACGCGTTTCTGCATGACACGAGGCGTGAAACTGACAAGTCCTTGCAGAACACAAGCTGCGAGAGGGTCTGATGACACGCGAGCATTTCTGAGCTCCTTCCTAAAATTGCGGAGCTGAATATGTGCACTTCGCTTGCACCACTTTTCCTGTGAATCAAGCAGCCTTCTTGCGTCACGCTTCTTGTTGCTCGGGCGCTGGCATAGGGGGAAAGGAAAGCTTGAAGGGGGTGCATAAGCGTAGTGTGGGTCCCTGCCAGGCCACTAGGAGGGCGAGGTAGGGAGTAGTCGCATGCATTTATTTTCTCTGTAGGGCGCCTGCTTGTAGCTATGTATGTATATACATATATGTATATGTATCCGTGTTCACGTTTCTCGTTTGTGATTCGTAACTCTATGCGGCGTCGCATTCGCGGTGGCTGGTTGGGTGCTGCTCAGATACCACTTGCTGTTGGAAGTTGCTTTGGAACGGAAGCGGCAGAAGGAGGAGGACTGCCGCACGCTGAAGGCCCCTTGCAAGGAGAAGGTTCAGGAGAAGCCTGATGCAACGAAGGAGCGGGCATCTCAAGGCAGCCGCAAGAGTTGCAGCGCAAAGAAGGACAAGGGCGGTGGCAGTGCATGCGCCTTGCTGTACACTACGGATCCATTTGCGTCGAGCAGCGAAGAGAGCGACGGCGACTGGGAACCACTTGCAGTGTATGGGGAAGCGGCGCGAAGGCGGCTGCGGAGCAGGCATTCGGAGACGGAGTCTGACTCGAATGCAGAAACTGACGGCGAGGAGTGGGGCGATGACAGTAGCGGAGACGACAAGACAGGAGCAGAGGCAAGTGGCGGCAAAGGAGCCACGAGCGCTGCCAAGGAGGTGAATGCGGACGCAGAGGCCCCCGTTGTTGCTGCCAGCGAGGAGAATGGAGCGGCTGAAATGGGCTCTGGGGGGTGGCGAGGCGACAGGAAGAACCAAGCTGGAGGCAGAGAAGCGGCAAAGGAGGGGAGTCGCGAAACAGGGGCATACAGGCATGCCCAGGAGGAGGCAGGAGCTGCAATTCAAGCCACGCCAAGAGGACGGGGTGCTCGAGGGGGGCGTGGACGAAAAGGTGGGGAGGGTGAGGCAGAAGAAACGGATGTCGCAAGTGCGCAAAAGATCCCGAGACGGGTATTAGTTCGCAAAGTTTCCAAAGCAGAAGGATACGCTCAAGGGAATAGCGCTGAAGACGGCTTAGCAGCTGCAGAGTTTGGGTGTAGTCCCAAGCAGGGCAGCTCGCATTTGAAAGCGAAACGGGTGCACCCTATCAGCAGCAGCCGGAGCACCAGCGCCGGCGATGCGCATGAATCAACAATGCAGGAAAAGTCAAAACATGAGGCAACGGAGGAAAGAAAGCAAAGGAGAAAAGGCGAGGCCCCAGAACGGTCCAGAACAGCGAGAGCCAAAGCTGCACTCGCGGAGCTCGAAGAAGCTGCAGTGTAGATACACCCGAGCACCTTATGTCTTGACTGTCGTCACACCTCATTTGTCACGCGGTATATATATACACGGCGACTAAACTAAACATACAGAGGAGGCACGAGGCCGCTCACGCTCATGCAACGGCAACGCGATTACGGAGGAAGCGAAAAACGCATTACGAAGTGGACAGCGGGCACTGAATTGTTGCATTGCATTGTGTGCGGCAGTCACAGTTCTCTTTGTGCGTGTCTTAAGAACGCGTTGGTGTTGGATCGTGTAGACAGGGTATTAGCTGCTGAGTGAATACACACCAGAGTACTGCCCCGTGTGCAAAAACCTCGGACTTGCATCCTCCTGACGCAGCTCGGGCCGGCTGGGCCTGGCCGTCTTTTTCTCAGTGTCTGTGTGGGCCCAGGTCGGCTGCGAGGCTCTAGAATTAGTCTCTGCGGTTATGACTTAGTTCGACGTGCGTGGCGTCTATATATATATATATATATATATATCTTTATTTATGTCTGTGGGTGATAGGTAATGTAGCCGTGCTGTTTGAACAAGAGGCGTTTGCTTGCGGGCCCACTCTGTCTTCTTCGTCTCTCCTCAAAGCGGGGAGAAGAACGACCTTTGGAAAAAATGCTAGCTGCAGGAGGGAATCTCATTGCAGTGGCCGGCGGCGAAGAATCGCATGCGTGGAAAGAAGGCAGGCACGCCATTAAACCTTTAAGTGGTTGATCTATTGGGGAAACGCATAAAGCCGCTTTTAATAGGAGTATTGAGGCAAAAGAGGCCACTGGGTGGCTCCTTTGGGGCGGCCACGCTGCGGGTGCAGGGAGCTACAAAAACAATCGGCTCTGCATCCGCTTTGTGTGTTGAGCTCTAACTGAATCGTCACCCCGCGCAGGCTTTCGGCTCTCTTCTTCCCGTTCTGTATTTCGTGGTAGATCCTCGTCACTTTGTCTTGCTCGTGCTTCTCGCTAGAGAAGAAAGGTGTGCCTTGTTGTGAGGCCCGCTGCCCCCGCCGTACATGTTTGGAAACGACACCAAAAAGTGCATCCCTGGCTCAAAGTCGCCGAAGCCAGTGCAGCCGCCTGAGCAAAAGACACACAGTGAACAGTCACAGCAGGTAAAAGATGCAACGCACCGACTATAAGATGCTACGGCACAGGCGCATGCGAGACGCGCGGCACGCACGCAGCCTCTTTCCACATCGAACACTATCCTGCACCTGCCCGCAGTATCCAAGGCATTAAGTGAAGGCTCCTCCTTAACCCACCGGAGTAGAGCCGTCTATCCCACATATGGTAACCAAGGAGCTCTTCTTCTTCCTGCAGCTGAAACTTGGCTTCCTCGACATACGGCGCTAAGTAGGGAATGAAGGGATCATAGTTCTGTTCTGCGAAAAAACGCATGTTTGAATGAGGAGACACTGGCACTGACGGGGGTGAGCGCCATTCCCTTGGTTGTTAAGTACGCACAGATGCACACATGCAAGTTTTGCTTCCTGAGAAACGAGACTTTCTTGAGTTGTTCGCTGCAAACACGTCAGCCGTGTGCAGCCCCTCCGCTGCTGTCCCCCGCCGCCTGCTCCTCTCCCGTGTGTGTTGTTGCATCTTACCGTGCGGTGGGAGGTACAGCCGGATATGGTTCAGATGAGTGGCTCGCATGATTCTCCTGTACCTTGCAGTGGCAATATCTTCGGGTAAGAGCTCCAAAGCCCTCTCAATCACGGGTTCCTTGTCAGAGTACAAGTCGTCGTACATGAGCCCTGAACACGGAAAAGTTGAAGGAGGTTTCCGCCCAGCGAGAATTGGCACTACTTAGGCGAAACTGACATCACGTAGACATTACGAGCCGTTTTGGCTGGAGAGAGGGGTGAGCAAGCTGCATAAATTGTTTGCGGACGAAAGAGTGCGAACTTGGATGAAAGCGAGCGTGGCAGGGGTCGAAGAATGGGAAACAATGAACACGAAATTGAGACATGCACATAACATCGTTATACTAAGCTTTACGCATGCTTTGCAACTCGCGAGCTGGCGCGCAAACAGAGCCCACGATCTGAATAGGCCAGCAGCACTCGAGAAACATGCGCGGACGCGGTCAGCTCCCTTGATTGATTCTTCCCGAACCCCCTATAGTGTGCATGCGCTTTTTCATTGCTTCTACTGGCAAATACTCTCAGTCCAACTAAAGGCACCAGCAACTTCTGCATTTATTCGTTCTACAACCTAAACTGCCCGCACCTTGTTCTCGTAAGTACTTGCCGATGGCGGCCTGGTTCCACCTGTCGAGCGGTCCTCTGAAGAATCTAAACCAAATGGGAGAGAAAACTTCTCCCAAGGCGGTCCTAAAGCGAGAAGGAGCCGGTGCTGCCGGAGTAAATGCCATGAGGCTCGTGCTGGTGCTGCCTGGAGTCGAGGCGGCGTATTTGGCGAAGTACTTCGCCACTTCTCTGTGAAATGCCGCCATTGTCCGAGGATAAACGAGAGGAGCGACAGATTTTTGCCTCGAGAGCAGAGAAAGAGACGGGTTCACGCAAACGCTGGCGGACAGTACAGCACACAGACGGCGGTGAACGACATAGGCGAGGATCTCGCGAGAAGCCCCTCTCTTCACACCGCGAATCACCTCGAACGGCAACTACAATGAAGTCGTCCAATATCTTTTCTTTTGGAATGCAGCAGAAGAAAGGGGACGGAAAATAGAATTCGCAGGAACGAACGATGGGGCTGACAGCCGATCAAGTGCATGCACTAGCACGGCAACAAGTAACAGAATGTATAAATCCTTTGTACTTTCCTTAACAAGAGCAATGTGTGGTGTTCTTATTTAGCAATATGAAAAACAAGGCATAAGACCTTCTGTTGCTCTCTCTGTTTTTGAGTAAGAAGTGCATTGGTATTCTATGGCATACTTCCGCTGCCAAGTTCAGCAACACTTGCACTTTTTTCGTTAAAAGTGTTTGTTTCCAAAGGGGATGATAACACAGATATCTATTTCGGTGTTTCTTTATCGGGTGTAAAGATTTTACTGTCGAATTCAGCATAGCGGTAGTAGCAATAAACGATGTGTGTTTGGCCACGTTGTGTGTGAGCCGCAGTGCATTTTCGTGGCCCAACAGCCATGCTTATTTGCATCTAACCAGTGTAGTAGAACATTTCTGAGAGCTACTGAATATGTGAGTTTTTGATGTGGCACTTTGCATTCTCGATTGGCGAAAATTGGAGTTAGCTCATTTCAAAAAGCATGCCCAATCAAGAAGCACCAAATAGGTCTGGTGTAATCATTCACTCTCAAAGCAACAGCTTCTCAGCTGAAAAAAAACAAGTGCTACCTGTAGCCTAGTCCCCTCCGATTTTCCTTCACCAATTGATGCGCACATCTGTCTTATCTTTCACCCTGCTTTTGTTGTGTTTTTGCATGTTTATGAAGTGGCGAGAGGGGCGATAGCACCCATCTGTTCTCGAAAGTCAGCTACGGAGCACGAGATAGTGTGCTTGAATTACGGAGGGGATGATAAGTTCATTCTTTCTACTACACCACTTATATTTATCGAAGAATGAGTAAAGGGTAGGCTATTGGTTTCGGTGTTTCGTACATCTTGTTTATCGAAGAGAGGTAGCTCACTACGTTAACAAGAAGTGTCGTGTCTACGCTCTAACGCTCCATATATGGACTTCGCATGCAGACATTCTATTCCGGACACAATGCAAACTGATTTGAAGGACACTGAGTGATTCTAAAGAGAACTTACATCTTCCCGTCACTCCACCCCTCAAAGCCCCCGACATGAAGGTTGAGCGATGGCTATGGTAAGCGTAGTTTCAGCCTGCAAGCATGAAACACTCACAGCTGAATGCACATCGCCTGTAGCGCTCAGCTACACGACATGGCCCTCTCGTTAATGCAGCTAGCAGTACTGTGCAAAAAGCAAGATCTACAACCAGACAACTAAGCAGCCAGCTCTTTACCACTCCTTCAATATGATAATAGCTAGTGTAAGAGAAAGCGCCTAAACGTGGCCTCGCCGGCTACATCATCCCTTGCTAGATTAAAACATAAGCCCTCGTGGCCCGAACCTGCCCATCCAGAAGAAATAGGCGTAAGAGAGAAGAATTACGTCTTTTCGCCACTCCCAAAACGGGCAAAAACACGAAAACAGGGCAAAAGAGAAAAAAAGATGTGGGAATTAGCCCGTAAAGAAAAACCCGAGGGGACTACTCCACAGGCAACATATGCGTTTTTTTGTTGAGAAGTGTTGTTTCTAAAGGAAATGTGGAGGGAACAAAGATGCATACACACGTCAACAATTAAAGAGGGCCCAAACCAGCACAACTGCTGCGATGGGCTGGTAGCCTTTTCTTGAAGCGCTAAACTGTGTGAACCTTGCCAGACCAGCCTCGTCTGTCCAGGTCGCGTACTGTGCGCTTTCAAGTAAATGAGTGCAAAGGTCAGCGATCTGGTAATAAGATGCAAGCTCATAGAACTTCGCGAAGCCATTGCGGGTTCGCAAAGCTAAGGACCACGTCTATATTGCTCCGGTTTTAGGCTGATTTGGCTTAATTTCCGTAGCCAAAATACAGAATCCCGAAAAGTCAGTTGCTTTAAGCCAAACCCAAAAGTTAGATGCCTGCATACACCACTGCTTGACTTTAAAAACAGCTGAAGCGCACTCCGTAGAAGCTTGTGAACATTCAGGTGAAGAAAAAGATGTGTCCATGCAGACAGCCATCCACCTCTCCCTGTTAGGCGCATTGAAATCCCAACTACCTAGCCAGTTCAGCTCAGCTGAGGTATCAAGAGGACCAGGGGTACACCCGAGTCTGCCTGCAGAACGTTTTTTGTGCCTGCCTTCTGTTTAGATGAGAATCTGTAAGAAGACGTATGTGAAACGAATGCCCAGTAGACGATTGACCCTTGTAGTCTATCAAGCAACTCGCGAGTCCGCGATAGCGGAAAGTTCTCATTTACGGTGATTTTGTTTTGGGGCTGATGGTTAACGCTCACAAGCGACATTCTGTCCTTTTTGCGCACCGAAATCGGGTAATGCTCAACAGTGTCTGTCAGCTATTGTAAATTGCCTTCTTCCAACAATTCATTCGCCTGCCATCAGTCTCCTGTCCATGCTGTGGAGGTTTTTGATACCGCAGAACGCAGCTTGCGACTGATTGGGGGATTAGCATAATGCGATGCGCTGGAAGACCAGCAGGTGGACTGCCTGCTGGCAGCTCGCCATTATTACCAGATCCATGAATTCTTCCTTGATATTTGCCCGATATCACTGTTCCTCGGCAACAACTTCAGTCCGATTTAGTCAAATAAAAGCAGCCACATAGTCAGGAAGACAGGGATACATGCTCAAAACTGCATTCTCTCCCTGCGCTACACCGCCGTCCGCATGAACACTTCACCTCACCTTGTGAAGCTACCGACTCTATCCCGATCATCAAAAATGAATTGAGCCTTGCTAAGAAGACCAGCAGTTGTTTTTCCCAGCGCTTTAGATCACTAAGCTTCACAGCGCGCAGGTGTGGCAACATGCGGGCCCTACTTTGGGTCATCTATGGATGCCTAGGACTACGCCTCGGTGCACGGGTCCACTGTCGGAGTCACAGGGCATGTTTAGAGGCTCCAATATTGATTTGAATCGGCATCTGAGTGGTACATCATAGCTGCAGATCCTTGTGCTTTGCTGCCCATCAGCAATCTTGAGTCATAGTCCCCGCTCTAACTAGTGAACAGGTAGCGAGCACTTCTGGGACTTCTACTGAGATAACAGATTCATGTGACATCCAGGGTCGAGTAACGCTAGCAATTCTTGGTCATTCTTGCGAAATTGCATCAGCGCAGAATCGACCCTTCGTGGGTCTTCAACTGCTCAATCCTTTGTCGCTCACTTCACTACAGGGCATCGTGCGTGGGAGCATTCCGCTTCTCTAATGCGCCTTCTTTGCTTGCCCAGCAGCTTTTTCCCCTTTGCCCAGGCACGTTGTTCAAGATATTTGGCTCTTTGCCTACGCTTGCGGTTTTGTATCAAATGACCCTGTTTCCCATAGTAGGAGCAGATGCATTACTGTGAAGCTGCCTGGATTCTCTTAGGGGTGCCAGTCCTCTGTGGCTTTCTTTTCTCGTTCATCTTACACTGCAACTGAGGGCCGGTTGGCACATCCTTATCATCCATAGGCTCTGAATGCCGATATGGCTGCCTCTTTCCATGCAAAGGTGCTGGCGTTGCACATCTATTCTCCTGAAGCCTCAGGGAGTCCATCATTTGCGCAAGATCCACGGCTCAATCAGTGGTTAATAGCTGAGTCGCTGCCTTCCCTGCAACGGCCTGACGTGACACTGAGGGGAGACATGAAAACAACCATTGATAAAGCAGCTGTTTGTCTGAACTAAGGTTTTTGCGAATTCAAGCTTTGCATTTCTCGATATACCGCTCCATCGGTTTTCCTACCTCAGGTGTCTCGATTCTCCCAAAGCTTGCCGCAGAGCGGGTCGAGGTATAAACCGATTAGGCAGGGTTCGTACGAAGCTGTCGATTGTAGCTATTCCTGCAGGTGGCCTTCTTCGTCTTCGTATAGAGCCACCATTGGAGTTATTCTCTTTCCGAACAACAGGGCGCACGAAACACTAGTTTTTCTTCATATAGGGGGATATAGATTGAAGTAAGTCTCTAACTAGCTGATTAAATCTTCGAGTTTTCACCCATTCTTACGACCATTTTATGCTGGTGGGTGTAAATCATCGACGCATGCATTACCTTTTTATTGACCGGCGCGTATGCCTCTCTCCGAGCTCTGGAAACATATTGACATAGGCTTGCAGTCTTTGTCTCAGCCGCCGCAGCAGGGGTTTTCGCACCGTGTGCTTCCGTCGTCAGAGGGATTTTTTCTCTTAGCATGATGCCATTAATTCCCAAGTGATTGAATTGCCGAGAGAACTTGCTTGAAACCGGTGAGCTGTTGTGGGAAAATATGGCAGACTTTTGTACTTGCAGTACATGGATGAGCGGAGACCAGCTGCAGTCAACCATGAGGTAACTAACGCTCCATCTAAATTCTTCGTACGGAGGAATCGAACCCCCGCGGAGTTAATCCAAATCCAATGAAAAGTTCTGAAGCGCTCTTTCTCTGACCCGCGCCACTTGAAATTCCTCACATGATACACTACGGTGCACATAGCTACCCTTCTTGAACACCGAGAGTTTACAGCTATTGCACGTAGCATCGAGCTCACACGCACATACCGCTGTGCCTTTTTGTATCGAACAAACATTACTGTGCGCTTAACAGTATATACAAACAAAAGCGCCGAGTCGTGAATCCTTCACAAATTGTTTGTTACAAATTGCTAGATTGGTAGAAAGTTCTTACGTGAGGGTAATATCGCCACGGAGACAGTGTATAGCCGATATACTGCCGCTTCTTCCCCTCAGCTCGGAAGCTCCTGCTCAGGAGTCTAGCAAAACAGCAAAATTTCTGAGACATGCGACTCATAAACACAAAGAAAAGGTAGTGGGATGAGGCTAAGGGGATGCCTTAATTGCCCACAAGCACACAGGAGCATTTACGGAAGGACACTGGCCCTATTGGGCTAAGTTGCAGCTAAACGGCCACCATATTGGTTATGTGTAATAAAGAAATGATAAATTGACTACGTAGTTTGACTGTTCGCATATCTCATTCATTGCAGTTTGCTAGCGTAAGGATCAATGTTGTGTGCCTCTGCGCTAGATGCTATATGCAAGTAGCTGGAATCCTCGGAACACTTATGCAGTGCAGCCACGCACACGCTAGATCTCCCTCTCCCTTCATGCCAGAAACTTTTTAAGGCATGTCCGTGAAGCGAAACGTGAGAGTTTTACTGAAAGATTTACGACAACCCTGTATTGGGTTTGTTCTGAGTCTGCATTTAAGCGGTTCCTTACAAAGACCTTAGACGGAGCGCTACGGTGGCAGAGTAGGCTGGTTGGGGCAAAATGAAAAGTCGGCTTCCCTTAGTGCTTGCAGTAGTGACCCACTTCTTGCTACCCAGGTGTCTGCATTACGCCTTCAGCTACAAAAGATATCGCGTTTTGGGGATGCAGCGAACAGGAAGAACCAGGTTTTTCGAACTAAATGCAATTAGGTCCACACTTGCAGCGCACGCCATAAAAGCGCATGAGCTAGCTGTGGTGCCTAGAAGGCCTCGGCCCACCTTAACAAGAGTGAACCAGGAATCTCCTACTGATCAGGAAAGAATTAGGTTGGAGCAAGCAGGAGGCAAGGGAGCGCTGTCTCTCTCCTTGTGGTGCATCGTTCCAGGTCGGTACAAGGCACGCGGGTTTAGCCTTTAAAGATCTGTAACAACGTGTCAGTTGCTGTGCACTGACAGCGAAGGAAAGTGACAAGGGCAGTCATTCTTTTGAACGAGGCAACACCTCATTGCATATCCTGTTTGAAAGGTAGGTCATGTGCATACTGGAACTAGCGGGTGCATAGTAAGCATAGGATGGGAAAAGCTGTTTATAGCTAGTGCACTTGATAATGCCGAAATGTGGCTTACCCCGCTGCAGCTCTCATCAACTTCCATGAAATTGCGCGAGTAAACTCGAACTAATTTATGCAACTGTTAAGCTTTGTTCTGGTGGTGCTGCTATGTGTACATCCTATTCGAACATAGTTGGCTCCATGATACATGAATTAAGGCTATGCGCCGGTACGCTAGGCTGCTATGTGCAACAGCAATGGGTGCACGGACGACAAAACTGCGCGCATCCCACCTGGCTTTTCCCCCCCTTCAGCACTTCTCTACGGAGCCCGCAAGAACAACAGAGAACTCCTAGGAAGAGACACTATCTATTTTTAAATTTAGTGTGGATATGGTACTTGTGACTTACTTCGTAAATAATGAAATTTGCATGCTGGTATGTAGTACTGAAATGTACCTTTTTAAAACTCTGAACATTGGACCTTTAGGGTATCAGGAAAGAGAAGACACAGTGTCGTCCAGTGAAGGGTCTGTAGCTTTCATGGGGGCACGGTGTATGACTCTGCGTAATATTCTGTTTCCTAACCCATGGAGGAGTATGTGTAGTAGAAAGCCTATCTGCAGGACTCAGTAAGCAGAAAATGCACTGCAGAGTCGATACATAAAAGTTATCATGAGCATTTTAAAAACAGTGCAGCATCCCCTTTGCCCGCGCCCCTGAGAGTCCTCGGCATGAGGCGAGAGGGACAATCAAGTTCAGCGTAGCTGTACCCCCCAGAGACTCCAGAGCATTTACAGCTACGGTTTCCAGCGCACAGGCACACACAGTTGAAACTTGTTACATCAAGTACCTGTACTCTGTAATAAACAAGATATACGAACAGACAAACCAAATAGTGAAATCTTCATTAGTGTCCATTTGAATATAACTCGTGTAGTGGAAGTGTGTTTGTGTAGCTCGCCACAGGAATATTCGCGAAAGCAGAGAGAGCTACCCAATCTGTTGCTCGCTGAATATTGTTTGCTGAATATTATTACCCTAATGCGAATGCTTCCCCCTACAGCCTGAGGCATCCGCCCTGGCGCACAGCCGCATGTGTAAGGAAGACGCTTGTGGTGCAACAAATGTTGGCGGCAGAAAAGGTAGAGTTCGCTCTGCTCACCAAGCCCTGTTCAGCTGCAGCCGTGTAAGCTAGTGCAACGATGACGCGGGGGTGTCGTTTCAGTTGTAGCTTCCTAGGTCGCTATGTATTAAGTGCTGCAAGTGTCTTGCACAGTTGCACCGGAGTGTAATGTGTTTCGCCGCGGTATTTTATCTTTGACTGGTGCGAACTCTAAGCTTTCGGAAAGTTGTGCGAAGAGTTTCAAGGCGACGCAACGGCTCTCCTGTGCCATTGAAGTCCGCGGTTTCCCGCTTGCTCGTAGGCGAGGAGGGAAACGGGTACGCAAATATATCGGTTGGTCCAAGCTTATAAATATTTGACTCCCTGCTTTCAGTCAAGTCCTGTGCATGAATTAAATGAAGCAAATAAATCCTTGAGCAAATTAATGTTGGGCTCGCGGGGCAGACGCCGAGGGCGAGCCCCCGCGAGCCGCGCAGCAGCCGTTCTTGGGTTGTTCGTGTCATGGAGCAAACGCGATTCAAAAATGCGAAACACCCATTTTCTCTTGTTCTTTTTTGTTTAACTCGCTTGTCTCTCCATGAAGACTGCGCCACTACGTAACATAGACCCTCCGACGCGTTGGTTGCGTGCTTCCTTGCCGTGATCCCTCTTCTTTGCTGTGTCTGGTGGTTTGCCGGTTTGCTCCAAACAAGTCTGACAGCCTCCGCCGTCTGCGCGCGCGGAGACCCCACCCCCGCTCTCCAAGCCCTTAATTTGCCTGCAGAAGAACGATGGCGAGGCCTCGGGAACACGCGAGGCTGGAAAAGGTAATGAGGCGTGCTGCTGTGCTGCATTTCATGCCCCTCATAAGAGTGCAGATTGATGCTGCTCGCGCGGGTATCAATCAGCAGCTTTCGTGTTCGTCCCCTTGGACCGTCCAGTCATTCAGCGAGCAGAGTAGCCTGCCGCAGTCCAGCCCCAGGCAAATAGGTGGAAAGCGAGGGAATCAGAGGAGGGCAGACGCGGCACAGGAAAGAGGAGGAGCAAAAGATATGAAGAGTTAGAGCCATGCATAGTCAGCAGGGGCTTTCAAGGCATCTCGTGCCGTAGGCCTCTCGAAAGCCACCCACCCCATAGCTTTGTTGGAGGAGCAAATATTTTGGTTTGTGGCATAGGAACTGCTTGGGCTACAACAGGAGCGGGACGGGAAGGCTAACGAGGACGAACAAGAGGTATTCGCTGAGAAGTGGAATGGCGATATCTCGCACTGGAGGGGATGGATCAAGGGTCCAGTAAGCACACGATGAATCGTTTTGCCAGAGCGCATGCATGCTGCTACGTATGCCCATATGTACATATATATATGTATGTGTGTATATTCATCGACAACTTTAACGAATGACATGCGATAGCGTCTGTATAGAGGCACACATAACGTACCTGCAGAGATTCCAGTCTGCTTGCGTGCGTATGGATATCTTCCGCGTAGATACACTGATTCGCCTTCTCCACAATTAGCCTTTTGCATGTAATTTACCAGCAGTGGTCGCAAGGTCACGAATGTGCTGTCTTCTTGCCCTCCATCGTTTCATGAAGCCATTCAGAATTGGGTGTAGATGCGCATCCCTGGCGGAACTGTTTGTACTTCCCATCATGCTACCTACTTCCGCCTTCCTGCGTATGCGTATACCTTCTGTGCTCATCCCTCGCTGCCAGTTCATATCGCATTTTTTCTGACGGTGCCTTTGTTGCTCACAGCTGGACACACCTTACGAGGGCGGCGTCTTTTACTTGGATATTGTCATTCCGGGAGATTATCCGTATAACCCCCCAAAGGTCCTCTGAAAGCTCCCTCCAAACTTACAAAACGGGTTCCCCTGGGTTTTCGCTCTCTTCTTTCGCGCCTCGCGATTTGTATTTTCACGACGACGACGCTCTGTCGGTAGTGTCTGTGTGGGGTTCTGCTTTCTGCGCATGGCGCTTCAGACACTCCCGACAAGCAGTGCAGTGCCCTCTACCCATAACCGGCCTGCATGTGCGTCTCTTCTCCGCTGTGTGTAATTCAGATTAGCTTTTTAACAAAAGTCTGGCATCCAAATGTCTCCTCGCAAACGGGTGCGCCACCGTTGACAGCTACTCCTATGCAAGTCTGGTCGCTTCGTGCTGGGCACGACGGCAGTGGGCAAAATGACAGCAGCAGCAGCCCGGTGGAGTGTGCAACTTGACGCATTACTAATCTCCGTCCAACAGAGAGTGAACGAGCAGATCTTTTCATTCCCTGCCTACCCAGGCACCCCACGTTTCTCTCTGGGTTTCGCTTTTTGGGTGCTGCGCAGGCGCTATTTGCCTCGATATCTTAAAGCATGAATGGTCACCAGCCCTCTCTATAAGAACCGCATTGCTCTCAATTCAGGCAATGCTCGCAGATCCGGTGCCTGCGGTGCGTTTATGACGTGCTCCCCCCCCCCCCCCCACAGAGAAGGGCTCTGTGCTTATTAGATGGCGTCGCTGCTGCGGGAGGGGCATAGAGGAGGGAGAGCAGATTCAAGTTGCAGCACACGCGTTCTAGTGTGTGCTGTTGCGAGGTTTTATGCCATGGGCAGTGTTACCGTGAGCAAGGCGCTTGCCTGTATTGCAGTCGAATGCGTTAGAGTGCCAAAACAGAGGCCTGTCAAGTAACAGCACCCCCCCGCGGCTAGCCGAGATCAGCACGGGTTGAATGCCCCTCCAGGTGAAGGTTGTTGTTCTCTTTCGCCTGTAGTTTGGCTTTCCTGCAGGATCCTCAGGATGCAGAAGTCGCAAAGATGCTTATCGAGAACCCCGACCTCTTTCATAAGACTGCCAAGTACTCTCGACACTGCTTTCGTGGCCACTAGCTATCGACGGCCGCATTTTGCGGACGTAAAAAAAAATTGCATGTCGGATGTGCAGTTCGAGTTGGAGCTCGCCGATGCAGGTTGCTGCTGAGCGACGGGGGCTTCTGTGCATTTTCTCTCTGTGCTTTATCTTCCAGGCATTGGACCGAAACGTTCGCGATGCAGTCCAGCGAGTCGCAAGAAGACAAAGTGCGTGGCGTGCTCGAGAGCTCTCAGGGCTCTTCGTTCGTGCGGGATGCGTCTGCTTCCGTCGTATTGGGGGGAGTGAGGGGGTGGGAGGCGGGAGGCTTTTCTGCTGTGCGCGCTGATTCACGTTACCTGGGGGGCTTGTGGCACTCCCAGAGCCGCTTCAGGAAGATTTCGACGCATCACATGACAGGGTGCTTGTAGCGTTGCGTTCCCTGCATGTGCTGTGCCGTTCGCCTTAGGTTAAAAAACTGACAGACATGGGTTTCGACTCCGAAACCGCCAGGGTGAGTGCACAGCCACTGTCCATACACACTAACTGCAGGCAGGGCGATAGCAAGAGGGCTGTTTGGCGGGTGGCGTGCTCGTTCGTTTGCTTGCTTGTTTGCTTGCTTGCTTGCCTGCTTGTTTGCTTGTTTGTCTGTTTGTTTGCTGGTTTGCTTGCTTGTTTGTCTGTTTGTTTGCTGGTTTGCTTGCTTGTTTGTTTGTCTGTTTGTTTGCTGGTTTGCTTGCTTTTTTGTCTGTTTGTTTGCTGGTTTGCTTGTTTGCTTGCCTGCTTGTTTGCTTGTTTGTTTGTCTGTTTGTTTGCTTGCTTGTTTGTCTGTTTGTGTGTTTGTTTGCTTGCTTATGAGTTACGCCGTACAGCTAGTGTGTACAGGCTTTAGAGCGGATGTCAGGTTCTTGGCGTGCAAACTTGATAGAAGCTGCGACATGGTTCGCGCGGCACTGCTCTCCCTCCGTTGTATTGGTCCGTCGGTTCGATTTTCAGCCGATCCATGAGGCCTCTTTTCCTGCGTCACTGTGCGATGCAGACGGCCCTCAAGAACCACAACTGGGATGAGACATCCGCACTCAACTCGCTCCTTGGCTAATGGGGTGGATGTCTTTCTCGGTTTCTTTGTTGCTTTTCCGATCACGCGATGTCTTCTCTAGGCAGAGGTGCAGCAGCGGCAGTACGCAATTCGGAAAAGGGGAGAAGCGATGGAGTACAAGCAGGAGACGCATGGCGTGGCCAAGACTTGAAGGGGCCTCTGATGAACCAGGAAAGGGAGAGCGACGGAAACGTCTAAGAGGCTGGCATCTATCCAGTAGGCGTCGTGGAGTGACTCACTCTCTCTCATTGTCTGGCTCCTTGCCGTCCTACGGAGGCGGATGCCTCTGTAGAGGGCGGTGGCTGCAGCTGTGGTTGCCTGTATGGGGATGAGGATTTTCATCCTTCGATCCTTCTCCCCTCCCCTCCCCCACTGTCTTCAGAGGGTCTCATTTCGGTTTGGTCTTGTATCCAGATGCAGCAGAAGTCATATCCAGCGCCGCGGATATGCATTCGCGTATCTCTCTGCCGCTGCGGGGGCAGGTACATGGCACCGGAGAGGCCCTTTAAGGGGTTTGCAGACGCAACACAGAGGGGGCTGAGAAGGAGGCTCTACACACCAGGGGTAGATGCCGTTTGGATCGCTAAAGAGGAGCTCAGCAAGCAGGGAGCCTTTTGATGCCGTTACAGACCATATGTAGAGGCCTGTGCCCTGAGTGCCGGTGTCTCTTCGCTCTGTCTGCTTTCTCTCTGACTTCCCCAAGGCCTAGCTATCAGCGTTTGCGTGTTCGATCTGGACGACTGTCGGCTCGATGGGACCATCTTTGGCCTCCCCTTGATTCTCCGGGAAGCAAAGCAGCCTAGCACCCGTACCACATAACAATGCATGATCAGATGGGGGGACGGGATACTTTTCCTGCCTCCCTGGGGACTGACAGCGTTCGTCTTTGTCTATATGTGGGTGTTGCTCTGAGCCCTTTTCATGCCGAGGGCTAAGGGAGTCGTCGTTGCTGCGCTTGTTCATGCACACCTACTGTCGGGCGCGGGTTTTGACGGCACTGGATTGGCAGCGGCAGCCGCCGCCAGCGATTAGGAAGATGCGTCTGGATGTACGGTGTATAGGCAGGTCCCTTTTTCTTCATCCCGCAGTTTGTGTATTTGCAACGGAAAGGGAGGAAGGATGACGATCAGAAGTTTCAATCCTTTTTGCCTCATCATCGTGGCCTTATCGCTTATGCATAGGGCAGACTATATCTGGGACAGGTGAAGCTGCACGCGGCTCGCCTGGTCACCCGAGTCGCAAACAACACTGAACTTTGGAATATTTATTTGGCTATCTTAATTGTTCATATGACTGTTTTCTGTCAATATACTGTATGCCTCAAGGCGTCTCGTGAAATCGACAAAGCATCGTACACCCGGTGAGCAGGCGAAAATCCGAAAACTAGTTGAATCAAACGTTCCGATAAAAGGCACTTTAAAACGGCACCTAGTGGAGCCATAGGCCTATCGGCAGAGAAAGGCGGATTTAAACTTGGAGATAAAGACGTGCTATCAAAAGGGCACTCTGTGAGCACCCGTGAACGCTGCCACAAGACGTGAAGGCGTCGCTGGCACTTCGTGCGCCGCTGATATTGATGCACATTCTTAGAGTGGAAACTTTCATGATTGTTCCACGATGCGCACATATTTTGATACTGCATTTACCTCAAAGAAGCTCGCTCGAGTCCTCTAGGTGTCAGAGCAAGTCTCCTTGGGGTTGTGGGGGCTCGTGAAGCTCCCTCGTTGGAGTAGTCAAGCTTCGTAAGCGCAGGAGGGGATGCCGCAGCTCCATTTCCTGTTTTCTGCGCCAGGGAAATCGGTGCAGTTGAGCTGCACCGGCTTGAACCGGCGGCATTACGGGGGCTTAGGCTGGTCTGGCACTGTCCTGACGTTGTCGTCCGTGTCTTCACCTGTCTTACACGGGCAGAGGGGATATGCGTACTCCCTTGTTTTAACAGCGTAAGGCGATCATTCTGAGCCAGAAGTTCGTTGGCGCGTTCTTCCTGGCGACTCAGCTCCAGCAACAACTCCGAATTCCTGTCCCGCAAATGTGTAATTTCGGCCTTGTTCTCTGCGACCGTCTGTGGAGTGAGACATCGACAACCAAGACCGAAGGAAATATAGAAACGTATTTTCATCCAATATGCTTAACAAAAAAGAGACTAAAGATGCACAATAGAGAAAGATGACGACAGAGAAACGAGGCAAAATCGCGCATTCAGAACAATTTTCCTAAAGAGACAGTGCAAAACCATGTAGAGGCAAAAATCGAAACACATCTGTCCCGTGACTCCCTGATGGATAAAAGAAAGAGTAAACAGAAGACTGACCATCTTGGCTATCGAAAGCTGTGTCTCGAGACTTTCAATCTTGTCGCGGGTCTTGGAGCCAATGACAGCCTTTTCCTGAAGATAAGCGAAGGATGACAGGAATACAGAATAAGCAAGAATTTTCTTGTTGGGCATTCCAGCTGCTTAGTGTGCGCAAAATCATACAACGCTTCATTTCTGTGCAAAATCATACAACGCTTCATTTCTGTGCAAAATCATACAACGCTTCATTTCTGTGCAAAATCATTCATGAAAATTAGTGGTGATATACTACGAGGAAAATCCATTGTCTGTCGTGGTGAAATGAAAAACAAGTGATTCACCTTTTCCATTTTCCTCATCATTTCCACTTTTTCGCCAAACTCTTTTTCCAGTGCCTCGATTTGCAACTGCACTTCTTTTGCTTTTGCCAGGGAGCTGCATATTCAAAGAGGATGCAAAATATAAGAGTCAGGACGTCAAAGCAAAACTGCCGAGATGCCGATACTAACAACTTCGAGCAGTCGAGTAGAGACAGTCTTTCTTGAACACCTGCGTTGCCGGTATTTGCCTAAAGCGAATTTTTCGCTTTTCCCCCTCGATTTCGGGAAGGAAGCAAAAGGGCAAAATGCAAAAGTGCCACTTCAGCGTTATTCCTCGCCAACCCAACAAACGAATACAGGACTCCGCCCCCTCATGGCGACCTAGGCTGTACCGATTCAAAAGATAATGAGCTACGGCTTTTGCAATGCAAGTGCGAATATACCAAATGGGAGTTCTAGGTCTCAGATTTCCTGCGTGCTGTTCTTACGCGTTTACGGCGGTAAGCTCATGCGTCTTCTCTTTCAGCTCCTCCTGGGCTTCTGAAAGCTTCTCTTCGATAGCAGCCGCATCCGTGGCATTTTTCTCAAGAACTTCCTCGCAGACCTGCGCCAGTCTTAGATCGGCCAAGGGCTGTACGGCAAGGCAAACCTGTGTCCACGCTTCTTCCGCTGCCTCCTCGTTGTGCCCTCCGATTTCGAGTTTTGCAGCGTTAAAATCCATCGCGGAAGGAATGGCCAAAGACAGGAAGCCGCGGCGAGAGAAGACACCACTGCAGGCAACCAGCTAAAGAGCATAGCGCACAGCAGCAGAAAGAGCAGAGCAAGTGAGTGGAAGAAGGCAGAGGCGGCGGGAGCAAGATCAGGAGGTGAAAATGGAGAAAACAAGTGAACTGCGAGGCAGCAGGCGGAGGACACAAGCAGCACGAAGCAGCAAGCACAAGAGTGCGCTTTCACTGAATATTTGAAGGCAGATTGAGCGATCTAGCACTTACGTGTCCAGCCATTTCACATAGTGCCAGGCGGATTTGGGTCTTTTGTTGTCGCTCGCCATAGACTGCTTCCTCGAATTCCCGTAACTTTGTTTCTAGAGCTGCAGAAAAGGCGGAATTCAAAGTGCATGCATGACTCGAAATGCAGCTTACATGCTTTTATTCATGCTGAACCGCCTTCGGCCGGGTGCAATGCGTGATGGAGGAAGCAAAAGAAACGCTCTTGCTAGGGACCTTCACTCCGATAGCAGACTCTTAATCCTGAGCACTCCACGGCGATTACCTTTGTTTGTGCTTTTAAGGGATTCGGAAAGTGCACTCAATTGCTCATTCTGTAGCACAAGAAGAAACAGTGAAGCAGACACCGAAAATGAGAGGTATACTCGTTGAAAGCAAGCTTCCCAAGGGAAACACAGGCCATCGGTGGAGCATACCTGCTGTTCCAGCCGTGTGATTTCGGCCTTTGAACTGTTTTGCAATTCATCAAATTTCTTTTGCATCCAGTTCATCGTCTCCGTTGCCTCTTCAGCTTTTTCTTGAAGCAGTGATATCGATTGTTGCGCCTCCCGCAAATGCGCCGTCGTCTGCACGCCACGTCCAAGTTTGTGCAAGTATCATGAGTAGCCACGAACAAACAGCACAGCGTTTCTTATTATGCGCTTTGTTGATAAAGCCTATCGCGGGAGACAGATGCCTGCGGGAAAGGCGGCTCGAAAAAGAATACGGGTGCCTTTTATCTACTAGCCTATAGGCTAAGGAGGAAGGCGTTCTGCACATAACAGGGATGTCTGCTCTCCCTTCCATGCTGGCCATGCACGCCGTGGATTCTTAAACGCATTGAATTCAGAAACAACACCAGAGTATACGAAGCAGGCAACAGTTTTCTTATTCGTTCTAGCCCCTCCTCACCCTCGACTCGTTTTCTCGCGAAATCGACAGTTCCTGCGTCATATCTTCGAGCTGCCCTTGCAAAACTGCTGAAGTATTTGCTCTGTTTTTTTCTTCGGAAATCTGCAGAGCAAAAGAGCAATTTCTTTGTCATTTTACAGGAGCGTCAATGTGCAGAGGCGACATTTGAGGGAGGTGCAGAAAATCTGGTGAGTCATGTGGAGAGTAGACCGGCACTCAGAAGAGCTGCGTATGTGCCGTATTCTACGCCTGCATCTATCAAACGAGGCTCAAGACGACCAGGCTGACGAGCCAGGTGCTCATTGATTTGCTGTTTGTGGACACAATCTGTTCGAAAATTCGAAGCCAGCGCTTTCCCGTTCACGTGTTTTAATTTGCTTGACTCTCGGCATCTAGAGAGAAATCATGCAAGCAGAAGTCTTCTGTTGACGGATACCTGTTCTTCGTGTCGTTTGATTGTTTCATCCTTCAACTTGAGTGCCCGCTTGAGACTGCAGAATACATTGAGCAAGACGCACCACAGATATGTGGTGGCAGAATTCCTCCTCGGTACATAATTTTGCACACGCGTTGGGCTTCAAGCACAGTATCTGAGAAGCACGTGCCAATAGTGGCTCTAAAATATTGAAAGCAATTGTGTGAATATATAGCTCTGTTCTTTATACATATTGCAGTCGGCTTACCTGTCGATTTCGAGCTGTAGCTCGCCTTCTGCTTCTTTTAACGTGTGTACTTCTATCACACTCCTGAGCAAAAACACACGAATAAGCACTGCATGTAGAATTATCGCTCCCTTTGTTCCGCTGCCATACTCTGCAAAGCCGATGTGAATTTCTCCTATTCCAATTGGCACAATCAATTCGTAAACTTGTCATGTTAAAATTAGGTGCTACGTGAGGCTGCTGCTTACTGCTCTTGGGCTACACACAAACGGCTCGTTTCCTCTTCACGACTGCGCGAAAAGCTCGGCAGAACACAGCAGCTAGATACTTCGGAATACCGCGTGGCGGCAGCATACGTGAGCGGAGCAGCTCCCCTATTCGCGCGCGAGGTTTCTCCAGGGAAGCAGTCACTGGCTACCACTAATGATAAGGGGCTTTCCACCCATCGTTCTTGCATCCGAAAGGCAGGCAGCCATAGGCTTTGTAGATATAAAATCAAAGAGCGAAGCGAGAGAGGGGGGAAGAGCGAGAAAGAAAGGAGCTGATAGAGAGAGGAAGAGTTGCGAAGAGAGCGACAAGCAAAGGCCTTACTCCAGGAGTTTGTGTTGAAGCTCTTCGATGGTTTCCTGCCTTGCGGTAATTTCCTTCGAAAGTCTGCGGAAAGTACAGGCGATAAGCCCATATAAAATCTAGCTTTTCCTCTCTTTAGCCGCGTCAGACATCCTTGTTTTCTGAGTGTCGTATTTACTCGGGGAGTGTGCCACCACATCTACCCACAGTTCAAGCCCTGCACAAAGTGGCGCCGAATTAGGTGGAGGCCTCTTTCCGCAAGGCATGCATGCATCCCGAGAATCGTTTACTGCGTACTTTTCAACTTCACCCTGCAGCTTGGCAATGTAGACTTGGGCGTTTGCACGCTCATCCTTCAGCCTGCGGAGATTGCACCCGACCACCCCCACGCTTTTTCTTGACTGAAACGGCATGTGAGGCACGGGCTTCTTCTTGCTACAGCGAACGCTGTGGGCAAATAGCCCACACAGAGGGTACACAGCAGCTTGTAGGCTTTACTCGTCGAGGTCTCTCCTCAGCCTCTGCTCCGCGCGTTTGAGCGTGGCCAGCTCGCCGGATTGCTCTTCGCAGTTCTTCCGAAAATTCTCGTTCTGCTCCTTCAAAGCCTTGACGGCCTGGCGCTCTGCGCGAACAGCCCATTGCCGCAGACAGCAGCAGCAAAGGAAGGTTGCTGGGTGTGGCACGATCTGTGCCTGAGACTTTGGCCTACTCGCGCTCGACAGCGCGGCTGCCTCAAGGCAGAGAGGCAAGCAGTTGAGGTGCCTGACGCGTGTCTTGCTACCCCACGCCGCGTTCTGAGGGCTTGCGCCTCAGTGCGAGGCGTCTTGACCAAGCAAAGAAAAGCCTCTAAAGGGGACAGTTAAGCAAGCAACCCTCCGGACCGGCTTGTGCTGCTAGCCTTTCTTCTTCAGAGTCGTCGAGCTTCTGCAGAAGCGTCCTCTTCTCGTCTTCAAGGACGCGTTGCCGCTGCTCAAACCTGAGGACCCAAGTGTGACACCCCCCATGCACGAGAAAAAAACTCCTTTTTGCAGCATGGCTAAGCCCTTTCGTTTTCCAGTGTTGCCGCCCCCGCTGTACAGCTGCCGGCAGGCAGCCCGAACTACAGCACTGCGAAATACCAGAGAAATGTTACAGGGATAACCGGCAAGACGAGCAGCAAAATCGGGACTGGATACAGCGCCACTGGCGAAGCGCAGCAGCACAGCTGTTTCCACGAAAACGGGAAAAGAAACGCCTTCACAGAGAGCTTTTAGAAAGCCTACTCTAGCTTTGTAACGGCAGCTTCTTCCTCCGTCCTTTTCAACTTCGCTGCGGCTTCTTCTGCCTCCGCCTGCAGTGTCGTATAGGACGCTTGCCAGTCCGCAATCGCCGAGTCCGCCTGCCTCAACAGCTCGTCCTAAGAAGGCAACAGGCACGCAAAGCAAACAAAAGAGCGAACACCCGTACAAAGAGCCGTAGGAGGCAAGAGATCATGAGCATGAGAGCCGAAGCAGAAGTTCTTCGGTGACATAATTACTCGAAAGGCCCCTAATAAAGTCATCCCAGAGCGGTACACGGCACGAAGGAACGGGAAGCCCCAGGAGAGATGGTCGCCTTCTCCCTGGCCACCCCCCTTTGGCATCTTCACAAATAGCTTTGTGCCATCTTGTTCGCCTTTGAACCGCTTCTCTCCGGCGCCGATGCACACACGCAGCGGCCTCTACACTGCCTCCCTTTCGCTGTTTTCTCTCCCTCAGCAGGAGTTGCTCTGCTCGGCATGTGGTGAGCTAGGACCTCGCACGTCGCAGGATAAGACTCCTCAACTCCCTCCCCAAAAGCGGTTACACCCTGCATCACGGCATCTCCGAACGCACCTTTTCGGACGCTTCCTTGGACAGTGCCTTTTTCAACTTTTCGACTTCAGCGCTCAGAGCGCCCTGCGGATAATCACGACCCCACCCAGCGGCTGTCTCTGAGCTGTCTGAGTAGCGATGTCTCCTTGGCACTTGCAGGCGGAGATGTACATACACTCCTCCACAGCACGGCTAGCCATCGGCACGAAAGCGCGCGTTGCGTGATCTTTCCGCGTCAAACAAAACACCGCCTCGAGAACGCAAAGAATCTAGGATATCTTCAGGCCGACACAAAGAAGGAAGGGGAAAAAACCTTTTGATGCAAAACACGCCGCTCGCGCGTGCTCCCATCACGGGGAAGTGGATATATGCGGTGTCGTGAAAATCACAGCCAGCACCCACAACAGCCAAACTCAAGGGCATGCGATGAAGGCACGGCCCTTGGATTCTGCTGGCATCTTACCGAATTCTGCCTCTCTGCTTCCAGCCTGCATTCGCAAGAGCGCCACACGGGTCAAGAGCAGTACACAAACACACGGGAACTTGAACATACAGATAAACCACATTGATATATATATATGTAGATATATATATATATATATGTGTGAATAAATGTATAGAGAGTTCCTGTCCGGCCCCTTTGAGGAGGGGAGAGGAGGCGCATCGACCGTTCAATCTTTCCTGTTCAGAGCATAGAGGAGCACTCCGTCTTTATCCTTTCTTCCTCACCGGTGGATGTAGGCGTGGGCTTCCTGCAGCTGTTGTTGCATTTGTTGCCTCTGAGACTCTGCAGTGTTCAGCTTCTGAAGAAGGTTGCCGCGGGGTACGGGTAGGGCCCAAACACACACATGCAGACATACACAAGTAAGTGCATGCATAGATGCGTGTGCAAAGATATACTAACCCACCCGCCTATAAGCATGACATGCAGAAGAAAACGGCAATGCACACGAAAAGCGAGACAGGAAGACGGATAAGGGCAAGTGCCGTAAAGCGGAGGGAAAACGCATGGAGGAACCCTCAGAAAGAAGCCCCTTTCAACGAGCACCGGGAGAGGACAGAAAGGCAGGATCGACAGGCTTCCCAGAGAGGTGAACAAGCATGCAGGGAAACTGCTACAACAGGCCGACCTCGAGCATCTGCTTTAGATCCTTGTGGTTTTGTGCAGCTTCGTCCTCGAGTTCTGTCTTCAGCCTATCGATGTGCTTCTTTTGCCGAGTCAGCTGAACCTCCAGGCTTTCCAGGGCTTCCTCTTTCTCGGACTAATACCACAGAACACAGAGAAACAACACAGAGAAACTCAGGATGGGAACAATGTGCTCACCGGAACGCCGACGCATACAGCTGGGTGTGCCGCCAGAGGGAGTATGGGTGTATTTGTGAATGTGTACATATGTATGTACAGAGCATTGTTCAGAACGATGAAGGCCGTTCACGAGATACTGTATGTTGGTTTCCTAATTAGCCACCCCGCCGAAGCATCAAAGGGAACCTTTGAATCGAGCAGACAAGTCTTCTTCAAGGCGTAAGAGCACTGTGTAGGATGGGGGTGTGTGTGGGCCCTCGTGACAAGCACTCAAGCCGCTTTCGGCCGCCTTGCTGGAGAGGAGGCATGTGTGAACAGAACTAGTTGCATGCAGTTCCCTAGAAAGCAAGAAAACGCATTTTATGGAATGCGATGGAGGCCAGGGTGCACGAAAGACGCCCCCGTTGCACTCCTCACCACGGCTGCCTTCGTTTGCGTTAAGTCGGTGCGAAGGCTACGCAACTCGCGAAGAAGGCTGTTTTTGTCGGATTCGAGATCTGATGCATCCTGGCGAGCGCTGCAGCAAGAGGCATTCACAGGCAGAGGCCTTTGCACATGCGTATTTCTTGCAGGGAGGCATTTTTCTGCATGCCTGCGCAGTGTGCGCGGTCTGCTGCGAAGAGGTGAACGTCTGAAGCGTCTGGCCAAAAGCAAGGTGAGCCAGCCAGCAAGGAAGAGCGCGTTTGAATCTCTGGAAGAAAGGCTTTCTTTCAGCAGACAGGAAGAGAAAGACGCGGGTTTGCGCAACATGGATGTATAGATTTGATGCAATCTATTCAACTGAAGAGGGTGCGCTGGATCGAGTTCCTCCCATTTTCGTGGACTGGCAAACAGAACTGTCTTCCCCCCGCCCCCCCAATCCCTCGCCAAATCCTTCCTCCGCCCCCTCTGGGCAAACGAAGCAACTCTGCAAAGCGTAGACAGACATGTAGAGAGCCTTCCTGAGATCGGTGTTCTCCTTCTGAAACACCACCAGCTCGCTGCCAACTGCCGCTGCCTCCCTGCTAGAAAGGACGAGGGGCAGTTCCTTGAGCCGGAGGGAGTGCAGTTGAGCCTCGTACGCGCTGCTGCTTGCTGTGCTCGCCAGACTGACGCGAGACGCTTCCCTCTGCATTTCCAACCCCAAGGCCAAAGCGGCTAAATCGCAGCGCGAGGAAGCTCCGAGGGGCGCTCCCGACACGTCTACAGCAGGCGCACCTAAGCGCATGCGCCGTCGAGATTCGTAGTCGGAATCCCACGCTCCCCCAGCGGCAACTTGCGGATAGACAGGAGGTGCAGCGAGGAAGGGAGAAGTGCCTTGCGATCCTAAGGTGGAAGGCGATCGATGCGCCGAAAGATCGGGAGGGCCTGACTCGGCTGGATACGAAGCGGGAAGGGCTCCAGGATGCGGGGGAGGATAGTACGGCAGAGGCGCGACGAGCTGCTGTTGTTGCTCCTGCTGCTGCTGATGCTCCTGCTGCTGCTGGTGCTGTTGCAGGTGTTGTTGCAGGTGCTGCATTTGCGGGGGTACTGCCTGAGGGGGCTGCATCATGGGCTGTTGGAGGGGTTGCATCGTCTGCACGAGTGGCTGCTTCTGCGGATCACAGAAATCTGCTCTGAGAGACTGCTCCACGGCGCCGTGCGGGAGACTCTGCTGCGGTGGCTGCTGCTGCTGGGCACTCTGTTGGTGCTGTTGGTGCTGCTGTTGCTGCCAACAGCTCTCTGAATAATGCGGGCTCTCTACGAACCGCGCATTCGAGGGGCTTCCCCCCACAGGCATGCCTGAGGCTGTAAATCCGAACTCAGGTGTCGAGCGGTGGCTTTGTGTACAGTTTTGAGGGCTGTTTGTCTCAGCCTCGGCAAGGAAGCTGATGCCTTGAGAGGGCGGCGCAACAATGTCGCCTTGCGACGAGCGTCGAGGCACTCTTCCCGCCTCGAACTCTCTCAGATCGGCTGTGCTGACGCTCGTGGTCGTAGTAGAGGTAGTGGCGCGGGAAAGCGTGCGCAGCTCCGCAGTATCGGTGGCTGCCTCGTTCGAAGAGGTCTTGGCCTCTTCCGCACGAGCTGCGGAGGCGGAAGCTCGCGCGACGCCTCCAGAGGCTGCGGCAGTGCCTCTGGTGCGCTCTCCTGCTGCCGCCCCGCCAGCGGCTTGCGGAGGTGGGGTTGTTGTGATTGCTGCCTTCTTCCTTAAGCAGGGTTGCACATGCCCCGAGAGGCGGCTTCTGGGATCTGCGGAGCTTAGCGAGCGAGCTCTGCCGCCAGTGGCGGCAGTAGCTGCCGAGGCAGGTGAAGGACGCGCCTTGCGGGAAGGTGGGAGGGAAAGGGTTCTGCTTTTGGGGGGTTGTGAGGTGGCACTGTCTGCTGCGACGCGTCGATGGCCTCTAGACCCTCCCGCCTGGACACAAAGGCAGTCGTTAAAAACACACAGACGTCGTCGTTTCTACCAAGGGATGATCCTCATGAGGAGGATGATGAGGCAGCTATTCACGCAGCAGAGGCAGACGCGCAGCTCGCCACTGTCGGCTCAGGGGATACCAGCCGCAGAGGAAAGAAGAGCCGCTCCATGCAACGGCAGACTGCCGTTTGCGGGGAGCTTTCCGCGCAGCAGGAAGACGGGGAGAGAGGGGGCCTTTAAATAAGAGTGCGTCGGCTTAGTTTGGCGGGGAGGGAGCGGTTTGGGCAGGGGGGCTGGGTGGTGAGGGATTCGAAAAAAGGGGTGAAGAAAGGGAGCGGCGTCCAAAGCCTCTTGTGCTGTCAGCGCACCTGGTTCATGTAACTCTCGACAACCTCCGAAAAGGAGACTCTCTTTTTTCTGGAGCCCACAGCCTCTTGCGTCGGGGTGTCTCGACACTCTTGTGCATAGGAGGCATGCGCGGAGGGGGCGAAAGAGTCCTCTGTTTCGTCCGTTTGTTCCTGCCGCCACTGCCTTTGCTGCTTTTCCTCCAAGTAAGAGTCGCCTGGCGCAACACCCATGACGAGACTTCCAGCCGCCGAAATCTGCTGGACGCATGCAGAAGGAAGCGTATACCCCTTGCTCCGCGTCTCCTCGAGAGCTCCTAAGGGCCGTACCCAAAGCGCCCCCCCGGCTGTCAAGCCGAAGAGAGCGTCGCCAAGAGCAAAATGCGTTACATCCGTCCTTTCTAGAGGCACTGGCAAAGCGCTTTCCCCAGCACCCCACAAGTAGACGCTTCCTCCCGCTGTTGTCGCCAACGAGGCGTCCGATGCCGCAATAAACGCAACTCGCTGCCCGCACAGCTCCGACACCTGAAGAGGTCATCATCGTCACAAATATCTCCCGCGTCAAACGGCAGCTCTCCACCAACGCACTCCACCCACATACACAAACACACGCATACACATATACATATACACACGTATACACCTATACACATATACACACCTATACACATACACATATACACACCTATACACATATACACACGTACACACACCTATACACATACACACTCGTACACATATACACACGTATACACACCTATACACATATACACTCGTACACATATACACACGTATACACCTATACACATACACACGTGTGGCGAGCGTAAGGATACCACTCCAGCCTTAGCTACCCAACTCTTGGAGAAGGAATGGCCACAAGAGGCTTTTTCAACCAGCGGCAGCAAGAAGAACGGCTCGCAGAAAAGGCCTTCCTTCCCTTCTCCTCCCCTGTCCTCCTCTCTCCCGTGAAAAATACGCGTCCAAAGCCTACAGAAGCACTATTTACCCTCCGCCCCAAAGCCTCTCTGCGAGTGTTAGCAGCAAACCCACTGCAGGCTACGCACCACTTGCGGCGTCCAGCGATCATCGTTGTGTCCAAGCCCGAGTTGGCCAAGGTTGTTCTTTCCCCAGGTGTACGTACTCCCTAGATCTGCACGCATGCAGAGCGCAGCAGGCGGCGAAGGCAAGGCGTGAAGAACAGAGAGCGAGAGAAAGAGACAGAGAGCGAGGGTGACCAGGCCTCTCGCAGGGGCACACGACGCAAAAATACTAAAAATGTTCGCTAAACAATCAGCAAGCAGGAAGACAAAAAACCAACGCGTCCATGCAAGTCGCGTCTGCTGTCTTTGCGGCTTTCCTGCGACCCCCCTGTCATGCGCAAACATGCAGCGTCGTGTCTCTAACGCTCTGAACGTTTTGCCGGTAATTAGCAGTGTGGCTTCTTTGACTCGCTCCGCAATGGTGAGAGAAAGCTCCCCTCAAAAATCGCCATTAACACGACCTGACGCTGACAGACCTGTTACTGCGATGGCGTGATTTGTGCCAGCCGCAATCAAAGCCACCCTTCTGTCGTGAAACTTCACTTTGGCGGGGGTCCAGCGCGCTGCACGGACGAATAATCAAAGAAAGCACATCCCTAGAGGACTGCTGCCTATTGTGGTCTCCAAGTGCAGCTCTTGCGCTGGCAGAATCGCAAGCTGGATATGGCAACGAACACCCCCACCCCAAAAAAAAATCCATACAGGTGACCTATATACATATGAGTCTTATGTAGAGCAGTCCTACATCTAGCAGTCCTACAACCCCCTCTCCCTCCCCCCAAAAATGCATACAGGCGACCTATATGCATATGAGTCTTATATAGAGCAGTCCTACATCTAGCAGTCCTACAACCCCCTCTCCCTCCCCCCAAAAATGCATACAGGCGACCTATATGCATATGAGTCTTATATAGAGCAGTCCTACATCTAGCAGTCCTATATACAGAGCAGCCCTACTTGCGATGGAGTCGATACCCAGCACCCCGTGGCTTCCATCTCCAAAGGAATACACTTGGCCATCGTCTGCCCGCCACACACACACGCACAAGCAGGACGTGTGTCACATGCCCTTGATGAACACCACCACCTCCACTGCCACTGTTGGCTGCGGCTTCTCGCTTTGCTACTCTCTCTTCGGACGCGTTTCGAGACAGCTCTTAGGCCAAAAGACGCGCCAACTTCACGCACCCGTGAGAACTAGCGAAAACTGCTCTCCGCAAGCCACCTGCCGAGCAGGTCGTGGAAAGAGCACTTCGTCAGGACCTCTGCAGACACCCCAGAAGCACAACTGCGAGCATGTCGCACCTCGCTTCACAGTTTGAACACACGCGAATCCTTTGCAGTGGCTCCCAGGAAGACGCCCTGGAAGCGAAGCACGCCACAAAAACCCCCCAGACTTCTGCATCAACACACACCTGTCCTGCTGCTGCTGCGCATCAAGCAGCTTTCCGCTGCCACGCTGCCCCAGATCGCCTCTTCCATACGTAAAGACTCTACGCTCAGCTGTACACACAGCGGCGTAGTGCCCCCGGGGAGCATGGCCAGAGCTGCTGTCGACGCACAGGACTGTCGGAGCTGCTTGCTTCAGCCCGCCCCCTCGAAGAAGGGAGGCCCCCTCTACTGCGCCTGGAGAGCCTCGTGTGCAGTGCTCGAGAGAGAGAAGAAGACGGAGGGAAGAGGATACAGAGAGAGAAACTAGCGCCTCAAGGCTGCCCCTCCCCCAAGACTGCAACGCGGTGAAGCGCGCAGAGCCTTGCGCACACCTCCCCACACATTGCAGCGCTGCTGCAACGCCACAACCCTAAATTCCCACTGCTACTTACCTGTAATACAAACGATGTGGCCTCCTCCGCAAGCTACGTCGACGACATGCATTTCCTCGAGGTGCCTGCCCTCCAAAAGCTGGGGACTGCAAGCATGCATGTTTCCACTCTCTCCCCAGTCCCAGCAATAAAGGCGGCCGTCATCTGTAGCATGCAAACAGACACCGGTAGGTGCAGAGTCTTGCGCGAGGGGCCGCCAGCCAGCGCCAGCCACTGTGTCTGCTGCTGCTTTTCGGGCGTTTCTTGCGCTGCTCCCGTCTCTTTCTTTCGGCACGCAGGAGACTGCAACCACCGGTGGCGCTGCTGCTGTGTGCACAAATCTTGCCAACTCGGCCTTACTGGCAATAAACGCAGCCAGCGACGATCCGCATGCGAGCTTGGTGATGCCCAAGTAGGAGCGAAACCTTTGAGGGCCGACAAAGCCTCGCCGGTTCTTTGGGGAGGCGTCTGCTGACCAAAAGCAAACCCAGCTACCTTCTTCAGAGGCGTCTTCTGCAAGATCACACTGCGCACGAAACTGCTGCCAATGGGGTAGGGGGCGCCAGGCCGCGTCGGGTGTGAGGCTTCGCGCGAAGAGCAGACGCGACGGGCAAACCGACATGGCCTTGCTTGGGCAGTGTCGCAACAGGGCAGTCCCTGCCTGGCATGCGCTGAGACATGAAACCAGCTTACCCTCGCTCGCATCATTCGCATCGCCTTCTGGCAGAGGCCCTCTGTTGCCACTGGGATCGCAAACAGCAAGAGGGAGGTCACCAGCCTTTGGAGGCTGCACATGGGAAGGGAGCAGTCCGTCATGCGGCGCGTAGGGAAGCATGGGGGGACACCCCATGCTCCTCTCGGGGTCGATCATTTACGCGGGAGCTTTGGGGACGATTGCCAACTCTGTGGTAAAGAAAGTCAATGTTTGCGTCGTAGCCAGCCAGAACCAGGGGGGGCGCGAGGGGCATGAGGCGCTACGGAAGAACGAGCACAGGCCATGCTTTTCCGATCCTCTACGGGTGGGAAAGATAGTAATAAGTGCGCTACACTCTTTTATTTGGAATGAGGGGGAGATAAGGGGGCGGAGGGAGGGCCTGCACGTTGCAAGAAACCACAGAAACGGCCAGCGTACACCGAGACCCGCTTGCCTCGCATTCCACTTTGACCAAGGCGACAGAACACCTTCTGGGGCTGCTCCCTGATAAGGAGAGTATTCAAAAATTACTTAATGCTGAAACAAAAACAAGACGCCAAATATGTGGAAAGAGAGTAAGAAAACGCTGAAATGCTAGAACAGTCGGCTGCGGTCTGCCGCTGCTGACCCAGTGCCCTGAAGTGAAGTAAAGGCCCTAGCACGCTGAATGTCTTGCTTTTCACGCTCGTTTTTGTTGGCTTATATGAATAAATGCTCTATTTCCGATTCTTGTAATGCTTTGTTTGCTAGGGACCTGCAGAATTGGTTGATGCCCACGCGAGTTCCGCCTAGGTTGCCCAGTCGGCCATGATCGCATTATGCTGGGGTGTTGCTCAGAGCGCTATTCTTCTTTCAAAATTATTTTGAGGATATCAGAAGGCTTTCAAACTAGTATGCGATTTACGCTATTCTTGTTTTTAAAAACGGGGAGACGGGCCTTTAAAGACAGGCCGTTGTGATGGTCCGTACTTTGCTTGTTTTCTTCTTTGCTGGCAGGGATAAAATAAAAGAAAAATCGACTGTCTTGCTGCTTATATTGATTGGAGAACGATTAGCTCGACAGAACATCTATGTGAGATGCTACTCTCCCCCCACATAAACCCAGAGCTCCAAGCAACCTGCATACAAACTAAGCGAACTGCTGCCCATTCTCTGGTTTGCATTGTGGCTCACACACTGCCTGAAAGCAGTAAATCTATAATCAAAATATGCTTCGGCAGTTTGCCTGGCTGATTGGCCATGCGGACGAACTTGCTTATCCCCGTTCAAACCATCGCACCGGTGTACAGAATCACGCTTCATGCAAGGTCCCTGTAAAGAGACATGTAACTCCAGACGCAACTCACACTCATTAAACCGTTATCGAATATGTTCCCAAGAAACTACCGCCTTGCTCAAACCTCACCCCTCAGGGTTTCTCACAGGGTGGGAGAGGGACCGCTAGGGTGCACGTAGCTGCACCTTCTAAGGACTCCGAGCAATCACACCTAGTTGCAGATAGCATCTAGTGCGCACACACACAGCGCTGCGTCTTATATGTCGAGCTGGCAGCACTCTGCAACTAATAAGATACATGCGAACATACAAACCCATTTGTCAAACTCGTTACTAGTTCTCAGATAAATATATAACTGGTGTCTCAGAAAGTGTTAAAGTATAGCATATCCCCCTACATCTTCCTTCCCATTTCAGTACGCATATCTTCGTGTTTTGTTCCCCTAGGTCAAGGCTATCTGGGTGCGGGACAGCGGAAGAGTTCGGGGACTAGCGCCATTCCCCTGGCAGGCAGAGACGCGAAAACAATTCCAAAGAGAGAAACAATGTGTGCTTCAACCGCTTAAGTAAAATTCAAAGGAAGAACAAAAGGCAAAGTAGCCAAAGAAAAATCAAGGGTCCAAACTACCAAAACCTTTATACCGCGATGGCTCGCTGCCTTCGGATCCCACAATGTAGGAGCCTCCTGCTACAAGACAACAGAACACATGTAAATTGTGTAAAGGGAATCAAACAACCCACTAGTTGGGCCCTGATTCCTCACTTCATGAAATAGGCTCTGCATCCAAATATAGCTAGTACACGCATCATAGCAGGCTTCAAAGCCCCTAAATACGCACAGGGGGAACATACAGGGCGTACATAAAAGTGCCTGTGCATAAATCGTAGGCAAAAGGTGCCAGAACAACAATGATCGGGGATGTTTTCAGCAGTACACATAAATTAAGGCCGCTATTTGAGGCACAGCACGCGACCAAGAGGGAGGACGATTATCAGCAAGCACGAGGAATATTGTCCTTGGGCACCACCGTTGCTTGTAAAAACGAGTCACAAATTCTTCAGCAGGCACGTGGCCGGCAATGCTCCTCCATTAACCACTCAGGCTGGCATTCGCTACCTCATTTATTTTGAAACTCCCGTCCATAAGTCTTTAGCTCTCTTTTATTGTCTTAGAGCCCAGCACTTTCACAGCTCCCGTTAATCATCCGCCTCAAGCGTCTCACTAGCTTGAGCAGAAAAAGTCTGCTTATGATTCAAAGAGTTTTGAAGCTTAAAGAGGAAGCTATGTGACACCTTCAACTCTTGAAAAAATGGGTATCCTAAGATAGAGCATTGATTAGTGAGAGAATCGCTAATGGTCCTGGCCACCTGCCCGAGCATTTCTTAGTCGTGTTACCTCTTGGCGCACCCCGTAAAGCCTGCCGATCCTCCAGGAATAATTCTTCAGGCTCCACACACACACACACACACACACACCTGGTGGCCGCTTTTTTATAGTGCAGTGCGTCTCTCAGGCATGGATATTGATTGCATAAGACTCACACAAATTCAATAGAAATCGTGAAACAAAACTAGATTGGTCGCAATGCACATAACTGAATTGCCAGGACGTCAGGGCAGTATACTGGTGACCTCGTTGTGATGCCGTCAATATACTCTGATAGAAAGCTATATTGCAGGAGGTGTCCGTGACAACGGACAACTCTTGGGCTATCAAAGTCCTCAAAACTCTTTGTGTTGTTTAGCCTAGGCAGTAAAATGACTCGCATGCAAATGGTGCCGGCTTTTTTGGCACCCCAGCACACCGCATGGCATTTTGTTTACCCGAGCCGGATAGCGCTGCTTCGTTTTTGGAAAATCGATGAGAATAACCAGCAATAATCCGTTGCTAGAGATCTCATAGCCTGTGGGGGCACAAAAACATTTCGTACTACAACACTAGCATTAGTGAGTAAGAAATTAATGAAGCTCATAGTTGGACAATGCGAAGACTGCAGAGACTTATAAGGGCCTGTTAGGCGTCCTTGCTGGGGCCTGAGCCTCCTGAATTTAGGCTTTAAACTGCGTATCCACACATAGATCAGTCAAAGCAGCGGCGTGTAGATCAATTTTAGGAATGAAGTTTCGGTAACAAGATGCAAGTCCGAAAACTTTGAAACGTCCTTGTGGAAACTCAGGTAAAGGCCGCGCCTTAACTGCTTCTAATTTTGCCTGATCTGGCTCGATTCCTGCAGCCGAACGACGGAATTTGAGAAATACAATTGTTCTGACAAAAAAGGAATACTTGCGTGCCTTCGTGTACCAATGCTTGCCCCGCAACAGCTGAAGCGCACGCCGTAGGTGCTGTAGCTGTGCTTAATCTTTACGCATGAAGACTGAGGCGTTACCGTAGATAGCCATCCACCCCACCTTCTCAGGCACACTACACGCACGTTTGCCACCTCCCTTTCTTTTTTGGCACCAACACCAGGCTATGCCCAAAAGCGATGGTCGATTCCTGCTTTTTGCCTTGCCTCAACAATCAATGCATCTGCCGTTTGCTGTGCTCTTCATCATGTGGGCGGTTTCCAGTAACGCGGAGCCCAGCTTGGTGCTGACCCAGGAATTAGCTTACACGGTGCGTTTGAAAACCAGCAGTTGGCCAGCCTGCTAGTAGCTCATCAGTGCTTAGCACTTCCCCCAACTCTTCCTCGATATTTTCCGAGTCGTAATGTTCTTCGCCTCCATTTATCAACGTGAAATGGAGCGTTGGGCTTGGTGGGAGGTACTGTTAGAGTTTGGTGTAGTCTCTGAGCAAAAAGGCCGTCATCACCCAAAGGGATTCCCGCGGAGTCCCCCACCGCAGTACTAACCGGGCCTTGCGCCGCTTAACTTCGGAGTTCAGATGGGATCCGGTGCATTCGACGCAGTATGAACGACGGCATCCGCAGAGCAGGACATGAAGAGCCTAATCCTATTGCAGTCTACCCTACCTACGTCCTCTCTTACTACTCGGCTGAGCCGCTTCATGACAACTCTGCCCCACCTGTTAAAAGTACTAAGCCTACCAGTATTACCATGGGTGACATGAGCGCTGTTGGAGACCGCGTGCTTCATTTTTATAGTGCTTCCTTAATGTCTACAGTGCATTGCACTGGCCACATTTATGTCGTGCGTTGGCTCACCCATGCATATCTTGGATGACGTCGTGGTGCACGGCTCCACCATAGAAGTTATTAAATATTATAATTTAGGCACGATTACTCTTTGAAGCAGTTTTAATTGCGGTGGCCTTGCCAATCCTTGTGCTCTGCCACCCCTCACCCCACGCATGTCTTACTCCCTGCCCTGACTGAGGAACAGCAGACTGCACCTCCGCGCCGTCTCCGCAGATCAAAAATCCGTTTCACATTGAAAGCCAAGTAATGCTAGCAATCCTTGAGCATTGATACGAGCTTGCAACAGTGCAGAATGGACCCTAAATGGGTCTTCAATTTGGGCTCTTATCCTTTGTAGCCCCTTCGCTGCAGGACAGCCTGCCTGGCAGTGATGTGTATCCAGTGCTCACCCAGCAGCTTGCTTTCACTGAGCTATTTCCAATGTACTTAAGTTCTTTCATTCTTTGAATACGCTTGCCTCTTTGGTTCATATGATCCAAATGCCCACAAGAGAAGCGGATGCTTCGTCCCGGGGTGGTATGGAACTGCTGAGGAGCGCATCCTCCCTCACCTTGAACTGCTGGGCAGGGCCAGTTAACGTAGCCTCAGCACCTATAGGCTCTGGATCCCGAGCTGGCTTTTAGTTTTCATGCAGGTCGCAGGATTTGTGCTTCCCCGTTCCTGAAATTTCAAGTAGTCAATCATGTGCGGTGACCCCACCGGCTGGTTGTTTATTCGCTGAGTTGCTGTCCCCCGTACGTACACCTGATGTAACACTTCGGGCTGACCTGTAACAAGCCGCCATAAATGCAGTTACCATCGTTGCTTTGGGGGAAATAAGCTTTATATTCCTTCATACACCAATCAACTGATAGAGACCCCTAATCAGCTGCCTCAATTCTCCCCAACGTTTGCTGTTGAACTGAGCTAGGAATAAATGAATGCGTCAGTGCTTATTATAAAGGCTTGAACTGTAGTAACGCTTCCACGTGAGCGCCCTTTGTTCACGTGAGTAGCGCCGCCCTCAAAGTGCTTCTCCCACCAATCAATACTTTGCAAGGAGCACCAGTTTCTCTGCATATGGGGTTCACAAAGCTAGCAACGTTTTCCACCGGCTGATCGGACTTTCGATGACTTGACCATCTTTAGGGCCATCACACTTTTCTGGTCGAAATAGCGTCATCGATGGATCTACAACTAGTTTATCGACTGACCAGTCATGCTTGTGTGCCAGGCCAGCTGTGGAGCTACTGCTTTCCCATCAACTTGCAGACCGGTCTGTCCGTCCCCAAACAGGGATTGTCTCGCCATCAACTTGTATTGCTAGAGGGTTGTTTTTAGCACGGTTGCCAACGAAAATAAGTGGTCAGATGGCTAAACAACTTGATCCAACCCGGGCAATTGTTGAAGGGGCCTGAGGCATTTAACTCTAGACTCACTACAAACTTGACGTGAATTATTAAATGCTTCCCAAATAGCGCTTGCCTTGCCCTGCCCACTCCTCTTAGGGCTTTCGACGTGAGGGGGAGACAGAGCTACGGTGCGCGAAGCTGCACCTCTCGCACTCAGAGCATTCGCAGCTACTTGCGCATTCCCTATACCCTACATGGAGACAAAATTGCATCCTCTGTATCAAGGCGAGCCAGTTAGAGTGTGCCTCAATAGTTCATAGCTAAATATAACTAGCGTAATAAACGTGTCATGGCTGAGCTCCGCGGGTTACAGCCAGCTGGCTAGCTCTGGAGGCACTTCTAACATGTTTGTCAACTCGAAAACGGCAACATCGAGGGCGTTTTCATAGCAGTCAGAGGGACATAATAACCCGCTCGAGTGCCCTCCCCTCCCTCCCGCCGGCGTGTTTGCCATTTCACAGGCCGATCTTTAGCTGCGAGTGTTCTGAGCTTTGGACAAGCTCTTGGTGCTGCCCGTCGCCATTGACAGAACCTGTGCCCCGCGGGAGCGCAGACAATTTTCTCCCTTCCCCCCTCCCTGATTTGCCTGTCTCTGGTTGCTTCTACTGTTACTCACATGAAGAGGCAAATAGCAACAGCCGAGGGACCGAGGAAGAATCCATACAAGAACACAAAGGAGAGGGTGGTACGAGAGACACTTAGCAGCAGCAGAACGAAGCAAACAAATCTCTCGAGACCGTCTAACTGTTTCTACGACAAAAAAGAAACTAAGTGCCCTCTGCCTCCCTCCTCCATGTTGCTACCCCCGCTGCCTGCTCGGTGCTCTGCCGCGCGAATCATTCAACGTCGTAAGATGTTCAGTAACCAGCACATTCCAAGACTGAAGCAACAACAAAATTGAACCCCCCGAGTTTTCCCCCTTCCATACACACCGCCTCTTTCTGGGAGGGAACAAAAGGGCACCCATCACTGGAAACCCCTTTCAAAGGGCCGTGAAATAGTTCCCCCTCCGCACCCCTGTAATGGATCTTTCAAAGCCCTAGGAGGGCTTCCTTCCCCTAAGGCTTCTTTCGTTGCTTCCTCCGTTCAGCGCACGTGCTGAGAAGAGCCTCTCACGTCTTAAGCGAAAATGACAAGGGTTTAAGTGCGGTTTATCCACTGGGAATCAAACTTTCACTGTCTCCGCGAGACGCCTTTTGTACACTTAAAGGCTTGCTCATGGGCGGACCTTGTCCAGGCACTCCCAGTCTAAAATAGAATTCCCCCTAATAACAACCATCCCGAGTTCATTCCTCTCGACTTGCTTGGATCCGGGACGGCCCCTCAGCTCCAGGGCGTTGTCTAGAACGACATTCATGAACGTATCATAGCCCCGCATAACACCAACAACGCGGCGGCCACCACTCAGGTGTACTGCAGCCACCGCAAACAGACAGCAAACAAAACAGCTCCTTATTTCCCCGCTCGGGCAGCTTCTGCGCCCCGAGGAAGCAAGCAGGCGGCAAAGGATGCGCGGCAGGCAGCTGGCGATACACCGGGTGAGGAAGAAATCTTGCACTCAGTCTACGGTACAGCGGGCTGAGAGGATCGACGTGATTCTTGCCCAACAGAAGGCAAAGCAAAAGCATAACACCGATCTACCCCCTAGCAACGGCGCCAGCAATGCAGCAGGGGCTTTCATGGATTAAATCAGCTTACCGTCGAGACGCTTCTCCATAAAACGGCGGAGATCCGCGGGGGGGCCGGCTTTTCCAATGACAGACGGCATCTTTGAAAGAGTGTAGGGTCTTGAGGATTTCCCGACTGTTCGGTGTGGAGGTGAGAGGCGGACAAACCTTAGGGTCTACCTCACAAAGCCTGAGATGCAGAAGTTCCCTTCGCCGAATTTCGGCGAAACAGAGGTAATACAAGGGAAAATACAGGAGTTGAACCAAAAGGCCGCTGCCGCCGATGATGCAGATCGGCTAGGGAGGGTGACAGAGGCAGCGTCGTTGCTGCAGCGGAGAGAAAGAAAAGAGAGATGTTGAATGGGCCTCCAAAAGAACTACTCAGGCAGTTTTTAAGGTGCAGAAGGGAAAATTCGTGAAGAGGGGGCATGAACAAGAGAGAGCGAAGGCTCAAGGAAGCGAGGGGCTGCAAGCAAGTACTGCTGGTGCATGCACCGAGGAGATCAGCCCGTGAAAGGGAGAGCCCTTTGTGGGGTTTAGGGTTCAAAGAGGTGCATAGTGATTCTGTTCCGCCTGCATATTTGCTCTCTGCACTCCCCCATGCCCTCAAGAGGTCGCCTGGTGTGTAATTAGTCCTATGTCTTCCGCTGCCTTGGTCTCCCGAAAGCGGCCGCAGGCTGCTTTGCTGTTGCCCCCTTTTCCAACCCCTTTTTTCTAAGGGAAACGGTATTTTCTTTTGCTATCAGGGGGAACCAACAGAGACGGAGGCCTCACCTTCCGCAGCTCGCAGCGCCACTGCGCGCGCTGCGAGCTGTACAAAATACGCCGTTCGCCAGAATCTCTAGTTTTCCGTGCTGCCTGCACCCCCGCATTCCTGCTTGCTTGAGCCCGAAGGTTTGTTTCTGTTTGAAGATCGTTTGGTAGGCTCCCTGTGTTGTTCCGTAGGGCCTCCTGCGGAGAGAAACAGAGAGGCCTCGAATCGCTGCCGAGGGGAACCCCATAAATACCCCATCGTTTGCTTCCCGTTGTCTCGGACCCCTCGGTGTCTGAACGCCGAGGGGTCCGTCAGGGCCAGCCAGGTGGAGACGCGCGCAGCGCACCAGCAGCAGCAGCAGCGGAAGGAGGAACGGCGTCACGATGACGACCCTCTCCCTCGCTACGCCCTACTCTCCCTGCCCGTACAAGCGGGTAGGTGCAATTCAGTTCGGCGTACTGAGTGCCGAGCAAATCCAGCGGATGTCAGTCTGCGAAATCACAAGCACGGAGCTCTACGAACAAGGCCTTCCCAAAGCCAATGGCCTCAACGACTTGCGCCTGGGAACTTTGGATTATCGCCTCAAGTGCCAAACTTGCTTGATGGACGTCAAAAATTGCCCGGGTCACTTTGGTCACCTCAATCTCGTTAAACCGGTGTATCATTATGGCTTTATTGGCGCTGTTCTGCGCGTTCTCCGTTGCGTGTGTTGCTCTTGCGGGCGCCTCCTTGTTTCCCGCAACGATCCTCGGCTCCAGGCTGCGGCAGCAGTGCGAGCTCCTGCCAAGAGGCTACGACGGCTGGTAGATTTGTGCGCTGGCAAAAAGCGGTGCGAGATGGATGACGAGGGAGGGGAGGACACGGCAGGCGTGGGGGGAGGCTGCGGCTGCGTACAGCCGCGGTACTTCAAGGAGGGGCCAAACCTGATGGTGGCTTTCCCCGAGCAGAAGGGGGGAGTCGATGGCGATGAAGAGGCGCCTGAGGACCTAAGGAGAGTCCTCGTACCGGAGGAGGCGCTCGCCATCATCAAGAGAGTGCCGGAGCAGGATATTCGGCTGCTGGGGTTCGATCCAGAGAGGGCACATCCCGCTTCCTTCATCCTTAGCACTCTCCCCATTCCGCCCCCTGCCGTGAGGCCAAGCGTGCAGAACGGAAACACGAGGAGCGAAGACGATTTGACCCTCAAGCTCGTTGACATTGTCAAAACCAATGCTTCCCTTAAAAGGCAGGGCGACTCGGTCCCTTCCGCAGTCCTGCAGGAGATGAACCTCTTACTCCAGTATCACGTCACGACGTTCTTTGACAATGATATTCCAGGAGTTCCCGTCGCGACAACGCGATCTAAGAAACCCATCAAGGTGCGCGAGGTGTCCTGCTACCAAGTTGTGCACACAGACACCTCCCCCTGTACTGACAGCGCTAAGTTTCCCCCTCCCCCTCCCGCCGCTAGAGGTGTTGCCTCTGATGACCAGGGCCTCTTTTCTCGGCGAGGCAAGAGTCCGCTGAAGCTGAATCTTCATTCTCAAGAATGCACGGCTTGAGGGATTGGAGAGGCGTGGGTGTGGGTGTGTGTGCGGCTTTCCTGCAGGCGCTGCGTTCTCGTCTCAAGGGGAAGGAGGGGCGGCTCCGGGGTAACCTGATGGGGAAGAGAGTGGACTTTTCCGCAAGAACCGTCATCACAGGTGTGTAGGCTTCGTGCACTTTCGGCACAGGCGTGTTTCGGCGGCTTCTGGGCTTGAAGCTTCGTTCAAAGCTCAGATGGCCAGAGACGCGCGCTGTGACGCTGTCTGTGTATGTATGTGTATATTTGTGTACGTATGTGTGTATGTTTACGTATATATATCTGTGTGCGTTTCGCAGGTGATCCTAACCTGCCAATCGATGTAGTTGGCGTCCCGAAGAGCATCGCCATGACCCTCACGTATCCAGAGTGTGTCACGCACTTGAACTTGAGCAAGATGAAGGAGCTCGTGAAAAGAGGGCCACTTGAATGGCCAGGGGCGAAGTATGTGATTCGGGAGGACGGGACGAGGTGCGTGCACTTACACAATCGGGTACAATTTCAGTGACTGGCGATTGCACACCCCCAGATGTTGTTTTTTTGAGACTGCGCCGCGTCGGATGCTCGCTTATGAGCAAATAACAGAACGGAGAAATAGGCGGCTTGCATGTCGCGTGGCGGGCAGCCTCGCACGTCTCTTTGTGAGGGACAAAAAGCGCTGCGGGCAAGGGCGTTGCCACTCGTTCGCGCGCTATTTCTTGCGCTTGCCGGATGCTGCACTGCTGCCGAAGACTCCCCTTAGCAGCAGGGGGCCTGAGCAGCCCGCCGACGGTTAATCGGCCGAGGCGCTGACGCAGCGGCGGCTCCCGCATGCGCGTGTTGAAGCAGCAGTGGGGGTGTCGTTCGAACTGCGCTGTCGTTGTCGTGCAGGTTCGACCTGCGTCACGCGAAGAAGGGCGGGGAAGTGGCATTAGAGGTTGGCTACAGGGTGGAGCGACACATGCAAGACGGAGACTATGTGCTGTTCAATCGGCAGCCTTCGCTGCACAAAATGTCCATCATGGGCCACAGGGTTCGGGTGCTCCCATACTCGACTTTCCGTCTAAATCTGTCCGTCACTTCGCCCTACAACGCAGACTTTGACGGGGATGAAATGAATCTCCATCTCGCGCAGAGCGAAGAAACGCGGGCGGAGATTAAACACCTCATGCTCGTGCCTAAGCAGATCGTCTCTCCACAAGGGAACAAGCCCGTCATGGGAATTGTGCAAGTAAGCTCGTTTCTTTTTTTCCTCTATCTCTTTCTTCCTATTTCGCTGACGGATGAGAGGTTCTTGCAAGGCATGTCACGGGGACACCAGCGGCGTCCTCTCTCTGTGAACATTTAAAATTCTTAGCAGGGGTAGCGGTGGCAGCAGCAGCAGCAGGAGGCGGAATATTACTGCAAGTCGTTCAGGCGCGTGTTGCGTAGAGTGTGCAGTCAGCGGTGGAGGATAACCGCACTGCTTTGATGTGAGGGCCAAAAGAGGCCTTGGTTTCTGCGTCGGATTCGGCCATATGCATTTTCTTTCATGCATTTTCTGCGTGTATCTTTCCTCTCAGGATTCTCTTCTTGCGGTCAGCAAGTTCACGCGACGAGACACGTTTCTGACGCGGCCCATGGTATTTGATTTGTTGCTGCAAATTCCTTACTGGGACGGAGTCGTGCCGCCCCCGGCGATTCTCTGTCCTGAGCCTTTATGGACAGGAAAACAGCTGTTTTCCCTTCTTCTCTGTTTCAACACGAGTTCCGGGGGGGGCGCCAACACCCGCATGCGCATCAACATGATGCGCGATGTCGGCGGGCTCGTTGATAGAAAGAAAGAAAACTTGTTTGTCTCGGAGCGAGACGAAAGGGTGATTATCCGGCAGGGCGAGCTTTTGGCGGGAAAGATCTGCAAGAAAACCGTCGGTTCCTCCAGCGGCTCTCTAATTCATCTTCTCTGGAATGAAGCAGGCCCCGAACGCACCAAGGATTTTCTAGGAGCGCTGCAGAAACTTGTCAACTTTTGGCTGCTACATCAGGGATTTACTGTAGGCTGCAGTGACATCATCACATCCGAAGAAACCTGCAAGAAAGTGCAGGAAATCCTCAAGGAAGCAAAGGACGAAGTGGCACATCTGACGCGTTTAGCGCATCAGGGAAGACTCGAGGCGCAGCCAGGAAAGAGTTTAAGGGAAAGTTTCGAAGCGCGGGTCAACAAGGAACTGAACGCGGCAAGAGAAAAATCGGGGAAAATCGCATCGGAGCAGCTTGATGAGTCGAACAACATCATGGCCATGGTACGTGCAGCACACAAGTTTCCGTTTATTCTTATTTGCTTCTCTTCGCTCTCCCTGAGGACTATTTCTTGCGTGCCTGTGCCTACTGTATGATATCACACCCACCCAGTGAACGCTTGGCTTGCTCTCGAGAGTGGCAGTTACGTCAGCGGATGCGGAGAGGCAGGCGGCTGCTCTCCCTGATGCGGGTGCAGAGGCTCATGGGGATGCTGCTTTGTTGTTTGTGCCTGCTGCTTGCCGCTTGCCGCTGTGCGTTTTCCAGGTGTTGGCTGGCTCTAAAGGGAGCACAATTAACATTTCTCAGATTATGGCCTGCGTGGGCCAGCAGAACGTTGAAGGGAAACGGATTCCCTTTGGGTTCAACAATCGGTCTTTGCCACATTTCAGCAAATTCGACTACTCTCCAGAAAGCAGAGGGTTTGTTGAACACAGCTACCTCACGGGGCTGCTGCCTCAGGAATTATTCTTCCACGCCATGGGAGGGAGGGAAGGTATCATCGATACAGCTTGCAAGACTTCGGAAACTGGGTAAGAACATAGCCTGAAGCAGTGCGAAGCAGCGGGCTTCAATGTGATTCTTTTTCATGGGGGAAAGAGGTGGGTGGGTGGGGAGGCGGGAGGTGCGGGATAGGGGGGGACAGCGCTTTGTCCTGTAGAAGATCGTAAACAGTTGCAGGTCTTCATTGGTGTTTTCGTTCCTCCCCCTATGCCTACTTGTTGCTTGTTTTTTCTCAAGCTGGCGCCTAGGTTGTATGCTGCATATCGATTCGTGGATGGGGTTCGTTGTCTAGGGATGTCAGAATTTTTTCAAGCACTGTTTTACGCTGTGCTTTGCTTACTCCCATGTGTTTTCTCAAGGTACATCCAGCGCCGGCTCATGAAAGCCATGGAAGATGTGAAGGTCAGCTATGACCGAACAGTGCGCAACAGTGCACAAGAGGTTTTGCAATTCCTCTATGGAGAGGACGGCATGAGCGGGGAGTATGTGGAGGACCAGGTGATCGAGCTTATGCAGATGGATTCAGAAAAGATGCGCAGGGTCTATCGACACGATTTCGATCAGGAAAGCTATGGGAAGGGCTGGATCTTAGACGAAGAGCTCAGGACTCGACTGTTTGTCGACTTTGCGGCGCAACAAATTCTAGAGGATGAGTTTGAAGCGATAAAAGAGGATAAGCTAAGGCTGTGCAAGTCTATCTTCCCCGATGGGGAGGTAAAGCAGCACATTCCCATCAACATCACCCGCCTCGTCGAGTTTGCCAAGGCGCAGTTCCCTGCATCTGCCGAGCAGATAAAGAATCAGGACCCCGTCAGCATTGCAACAAGCGTGCAAGAATTGTTGAACGAGAAGCTGGTGGTCGTCAAGCAGACCTGCAAAGCAGACACGATCTCGGCGGAGGTGCAGGAAAACGCAACCATTTTCATGAAGGCGCATCTCAGGACAGTCCTCAATTCGAGGAGGCTGATGGAGAGGGAGCAACTTGGCACCAAGGCAGTCCACGTAAGTCTTGGGCTTGCGTCTGCGGTCAAATCTGATTCGAGAGGCAGGCGGTCACTTCGCATGTTTATCACTTCGTCTTTCTGAGCATAGCGCGATTGGTTTGCGTCTTGAACCGCCTTCTAGGAAAGTCGGCGTAGGCTTGCTTATTGGCTGAATGCGAAAGCTCTTCCTTTTCAGACGCAATCGATTCGCCTTTAAAGAGCATTTTGCGGTCTTTGCTTCCCCCCGCTGCCCCCCTCAGCTGTAGCCTTCCTGCGTGTGTAAGAGATTGACGCCCGAGTTCTTCTGACTCATGCTGTCTGGCCGCGTGTCTTTTGTGTGCGCTTCAGTGGTTACTGGGAGAAGTAGAACGGCAGTTTCACCGGTCCCTAGCGCATGCAGGAGAATGCGTAGGAGCGATAGCGGCGCAGTCCATCGGGGAGCCGGCGACTCAAATGACCTTAAACACGTTTCACTTTGCGGGTGTAGGATCGAAAAATGTCACTCTTGGTGTTCCTAGGCTCAAGGAACTCATCAACGTCGCGAAGACGGTCAAGACGCCAAGTCTCACGGTGTACCTGCTCGATGAAGGAGCCTACGATCAGGAAAGGGCGAAGGATGTGCAGGTACAGTGCAGCGGGCCTGCGCTATTTTTTGTGTATGGGGGTTTGTGTGCGTCGACTATTCATTTAATGTTCCTGTTACATGCGTGAATATATCGCCTTTTAGGCATCGTTGCTTTACGAAGGGCGGTGCAAGTTTGCTGGTGGGGTTTCGAGGGGCCAGCCACGAGAGGAACAGCAGCTGCGGCAGATTCCGCTTAGGAAATATAAACTGTGTGGGTGTATTATGGATGTGTGTGCATGATGCATGTATGTACATCTGGTTTTGCACTTTTGCAGACACGACTTGAACACACCACCTTGGAGAGAGTGTGCACAATGGCGCAAGTAATTTATGATCCGGATCCAACGAAGACAATAGTTCCTCAGGACAAGCAGTGGGTGTCCGACTACTACGAGTTTCCTGATGACGAGGAGCTGCCGGAGAGCCTTGGGCGGTGGCTCCTGCGAGTGCAGCTGGACTCGAAGGTGATGATCGACAAGAAGCTAACAATGAAGGAAATCGGCGAAACGATTTATAGGGAGTTTGATAATGACGAACTTGATTGCATTTGGACCGACGACAACTCGGACGAGCTTGTGCTGAGGATCCGGATCAAGAAACATGGCGTAGAGCAGGAGAATGGAGCCGATGACCAAGCTTCAGAAATTGAGAATAGGTTTCTTCAGAAGCTCATGCTTCATTGTCTTGTCGGAATTACCCTTCGAGGCGTCAGCCGGATCACCAAGGTGTACATGAGGGAGGAGGCTCGGACGTTGTATAATCCAACAACGGTAAGGAACACCGCCGTCGTGCACACACACATCTTTTATGCCATGCTGTGTGAATCGGGTTTGCGGTGTGCGGTGTCTCGCTTGGAGAGTGTATCCATATCTTTCTCATGAGTGCAGCCCCCCTTCCCACTATTTGCTTGGTGTTGCACTAAAAGTAGGTATGCTACTCGCGTCACCTCGACAGTTGCTCTTTCTTCTATTCCTAGTTCTTTCCCATCGTCTTTTTTGAACGCGATGTGATCTTGTGCATGCTGCCCGTTGCGCTTTGTGTATGCCTATTTCACAGGGGAAGTTCGAGCGCGTGAATAACTGGGTGTTGGATACCGACGGCTGCAACCTTGAGGAGGTGTTGACGTGCCCGCGTGTGGATTCAACTCGAACGACGAGCAACGACATTACGGAAATATTCGATGTTTTAGGGATCGAGGCGGTCCGGCGCGCCCTCTTGCGGGAACTGCGTGCGGTCATTTCCTTCGACGGGAGTTACGTGAATTACAGACACCTCGCTGTTTTGTGCGACACGATGACGCAGAAGGGCTATTTGATGAGCATTACGCGCCACGGGATCAACAGGGTAGAGAAGGGTCCGCTGAAGAAGTGCTCCTTCGAGGAAACGGTGGAAATTCTCATGGAGGCTGCAGTGTTCGCGGAGACGGATCACCTAAGGGGCGTGACTGAAAACATCATGGTCGGCCAGCTATGTCCTCTCGGGACGGGAGACGTGGATCTTTTAATCGACGAAGAGAAACTGAAAGACGCGCATCGTGCGGCAGATGCGCAACAAGATCTGACGCTGGAAGGCCTTGTATCGCCAGGAGGAGCTGACGGCTTTTCTCCTGACGGGTCAGGCACGCCTTCGCCGCACATGGTGTCTTCCGTCTTTTCCCCCATGCCGTTTTCGACCGTTTACTCGTCCTTCGCGCAGTCGCCTTCGAATCCGCTGTCGCCCACGTCTCCTACGACTGGCTCCGACCAGCGAGCAATCGACACGCAAGCCTTAGGCGGCAAGTTTTCGCCCCCCCAGCAAACACCGCGCTCCCCGACTTCCCCCATGTCTCCGCTGTCGTGCTTCTCCCCCCGAGAAGCACAAAGCCCCCTCTCTCCAGTTGGCGTCGGACAGGGTTACTTTTCGCCCGCTTCGCCGATTGCCGACGCTACCTTCTCCCCGTCGTATTCGCCGTCGTCTCCCCTGCAAAGCCCTTACTACCAAGCGAATGCCACTACCAGGGATGCCGATGGCGCAGCGGCGGCTATCAACGTCGCCTCCCCGTCCTACAGCGCGTCCTATTCTCCAACCTCGCCCACCTTCTCCCCCGCCTACTCGCCGTCCTCCCTCGCCTCGTACTCCCCAACTTCCCCCGTCTACTCGGCCTTAGGCATGAATCCGTCCTCCCCCATCGCAGGTGCTCCTCTAGCGCCCTTCTCCCCCAACCAGAATGTCGCCTCCCCCTCCTACTCGCCAACTTCGCCCGCCTACTCGCCAACTTCGCCCTCCTACTCGCCAACTTCGCCAGTTGCAGATCCGGCATCTCCTGCCTCGCCCGCTTACTCCCCAACCTCCCCACGATACTCCCCAACCTCTCCACGATACTCCCCAACCTCTCCCGTATACTCTCCCCAGTCGGAAGGCTACGGAAACGTGGCGTCACCTGGTAAGCCAAAACCCCAAACGCCTTCACGCGCTGCCCTTGCCGGAGGGGGGGGGAACCGGCTGGCCGTCTTGCTCGTGCTAGCTTTCCTGTCTCGCTTGTTGGCTCTCGTCTTGCTCGATAGGCTGACTGCTTTACCGCTGTTTGCAGCACACCTTCTTGAGACAGCACAGAGCAGTAGTACATATATATATATATATATATGTTTTCTGTATACGACATGCATGGCGCCTTTATCGGTGGGGGGCAATGGCTTGGTAGCTCTCTTCTCGTAGACTCAACTTTTCATTACGCGTTGCTCCGCACCGACTTAGGTCGCCTGTCGCAGTCTCCGTGGCTTTGCTGTCTGTGTGCAGCGTATTCCGTGCAATCTCCGCGTTATTCGCCAACGTCCCCAGTCGCATACTCGCCAACTTCACCGGTTCAGGGAGTCATGTCGCCTTCGTATGAGGAAGCTGCGCAGGAATACTCGCCCACGTCGCCAGCATATGAGCCAACTGGTGAGGCCTTTGCGGGATGGCTGTTTCCTTCGGGCTCTGTAGTTGCTCTTCTTGTGTCTCGCCGTCTTGTTAGAATGCCTGCGTTCACGCGCTGTGGCGTGTTGTGCGCATGCGTGCTATGCGCTGCGCTGTCCTGTTCGCAATGGCAATGGCTGATGTGTCGTGGCCGCTCGCGCATGCAGCTTCTCGATTTAAGCGGCATTCGAGCTAGATGCTTGTCTCTGAAACAGCGGGAGGGCAGTGCTCCTTCTGGCATTTAGCGCGCGTTTTTCTTCATGCACGCACGTGTCTCTGTCTGTCATTCTTGGTGCGCACACAGATCCTTTCTCGCCAAACCCGTACGCCGTGGAAGTCGCTCAGGACTTGGAAGCGGCTGAAGATTCTCCTGAAGAAGCGGAAGACGAAACGGCCCAGCATGCTGGGGATGGTTCGACCGCTTCTTAGTAGGGCAAGACAGATACACGCAGCGAACGCGAGTACGCGTGAGAGCGCGAGCGAAACGAATATAGGCCAGCGGAGACGAGCAGGCCTGTTCCTGAGAATTGTTGGAGAGTGATGTGCACCCCTCCTAAATCTGATAAAACAGTTCTGACTCTACCTTTGTCGATCGGCTCAGTGCATTGATGACAGAGGGAGGAAGTAGAAAGCGCTCCCCTCGCCTTACACGGATAATTCGCGCCATTAGATTAAGCGTCTTCGTTTCGACAGACGAAGGGTCTCAGCCACATAGGACTAACCACATACGCCAAAAAGACCATGGAAGGTCGCATGCTGACATGCACTAGGCGCATAAAATGTGCTGCCTGCTGGTGGTCTAATCGTGTAATGCTGAAACCGCGAACGGTGTGGGGAACGGGGCACTGCCGCAGGGAAGGAGGGGGGTGGGTGTCTCTCTCGGGACGCAAGCACACAGCGATCGCCTGAAATGCGCTTTAGCCAGTTATTGGCACTCCGCGATGGCTTAAGTTGGGCTGCTGCTGCAGCCAGTACATGTCGCTTTTCCAGACGATAAGGGGTGCGCGTCTGTAACACCACTACACAGGCTCGGAATTCGCTACTCTACGCGTTTGCGTGTTAAGTGCTCGTGCTTACTAATGTGCTCGTCTTCCTTACTTTCGCTGGATGTAGACTACGCATGCTGCGTTATAGAGTCTACAGCTATGAAGTTGTAACCTCGGTAGAGATACCTAGTCCTGGGGGGCAAGCCGTTCCTCCCCTATTCTTGAGGTTGTTTGTTCCAGGGAAGCCAGCAAGTGCACTCGAACTGGAGTGTTGCCTTGTTTAGCCACTGTGATGCGGCTGTTCCGACGGTGCGGCAATCGAGAGCTACGACTCGCTCGCTTCCCACCTCCCCACTGCTCTATTCCGTTGCACAAAGACACCCCTGTGCTTAACAAAAACCCTTCATTGCTGCATGCGCTGAGAGGATGTCTAAAAGGCGCAGCTTGTTTCATCCGGCCAGCGGGCGATGCCTCAAATACGGAAACGAGCCCGCTTACCTTTTGTAAAAGCAGTACTCAGCCCAATAGTACACAAACTCTCTAACGGGATTGCAGGATTGAAAGGTAGAGAAAAACGTTGCCAGCAGATGTTGCGCCGATGCAAACAACAGCACAACTCAGCTGAGAGGCAGGCAGGCCTTCCCACGGCCTCCGCCTGACAACTGTACACGTATACCAACCTGCTGGTAAAACTGAAAAAAGCCTATTTGAGCTGTCGCTTCGAGAGCTATCCCTTGGCGTGCAAGCGCCTTTTAAAACGTCAGTTTTTCCGTTCGAGGGCTCAGACAGACAAGTGTGAAGAAGCATTTGAGGGGCTATCTACAGAGTGGCATTTTCACCGTACAGCAGTTGCTGCGCAATCGCCCAACGTCTGCAACCTGCCTGCTGCTCCTTTCGCGCCAAGAATCCCTTTCCCCCGAAGCTATGAACCCTGCAACAAGTGTAAACGCGCTGCTGGAGCTTCGCACATGTGTTGACATGAAGTGAATGGCAAGATAGTGGGTGAGTGCGCAGCACGTCCCCGTTCCCCGCAAGCCTCTAGGCAGTTTCAGAGGCCCCTGGGAAGGCAGATGCAGGCGTTTGTACTTCGCATTCTCCCTTAAAGTGTTTGCCGCGAACGCATGGCTTCAACAAACAGTGCAGTGCCTCATACGCTGCCAAGCAATCCTCCAGCCGCAGATCAAAGTCCTGAACCTCACGCAGCATTTGGACATACGCCCAAGAGTATGTATCTAGCACCCCACAGCGCGAATAGGGAAGTTGGAAAAGAATAAACGGTCCCTGGTGAGCACATGCAGCGCACAGGAGCCGTAACCGACGGCCGCAGCCGCTACATGATTAGGCTACAGACCAACGGCTCCTTAGGCGGGCGTCGTAGTGAATGAGTGGACACTAGAGGCGTTAGAATACGAGAGATGGATGCCTGCTTCACCTGGAAAGGCACAATGATTTCCTGTTCATCGCCGACAATGAGCGCCACATGGTACGCTACGCGATACACATTTACTTCCTGTAGACGCAACACTGCAGCAACAAAGTAGGCAGTAGTGATGGCCTCAGAAGCACCCGATAACACCCATCCAGGCTCTGCCGCCTCCAAGCCTCTCCCTATCCTGCTAGTGCCCAACCAGCCACTGCCGATGACGGCACGGTGAATGGGAAGAAAAGGAAATCCCTCTAACCCTCATGCCCAAACTAGGCACACATGCGCGCGCACCTCGCAAATCAAGACGTCTCTAACCTGGCTCATGGGCAAAAAGCGCTTGCTAGAGCCCAGCAGCCTTCGACAGCTCAGCTGGACACCAAAGTCGCCAATGATCGTCAGCTGCTCTGCAAACGAAAACTCTAAAAGTGCCAATACAGCCTATGCACATGACACAACCCCTAAAACGCAGGAAGCTCGCAACGCATGACTGCCCTTCTTCAGGACTTGCCTTCGCGGACGCGGACGATTGCAGCAAGCATGTTGGCGAGTGGGATACAACTGAAGAAGGCGCCAATAAGGAAGAGGACTTGCGGCAGAGGACCTGTCAGCGATGAACACTGCAGCAAACACCAAGAAAGGCCACTGGACTAGCAGCGGTGCATCAGTAGCGCCTACAACGCGCGGTGAGTGCGCTGTGGGCTTCAATGGACCTCCTACGAAGCATTCGCAACACGCCAAGCAACAAAAAGACGGCTGAACTTACCGAGTAGACTGTGCTACAGACCAAAATAATCGGAAGGGCGGCCCGCAGTATTCTCAGCAGCTTTCCACGAAATATGGACTTCAGCATGAGAGCTTCGGCTTGTGCGAACTTCGCCAAAGCCGCTTCTGCTGTAGTGTTGCTGCCGCCAATACCCCTGCCGGCGCTGTCTGCGTACTCTGCAGCAGCGGCAGCAGACGCATTCGCGGGGTCACTGAAGGCCGCAAATGTCCGGTAGCTATTATTCCACGGGGACGCCCAGAAAGTGCAGTCGCGACGCTGTCGCGTTTGCATGCAGAGGCAGCAGTAAAATGTGCGCTGCTCCGGCGGAACGGCCGCACGGGTCCAGCATGAACAGCTGCTGCACTTCTTTACCGCCGATTCTACAGCCTCGGTCAGCAAAGGAATCTTCTTCGTGGTGCTGCAAGCAGCAATAATGCGCTGCCTTACGCTAGTGTCCATGGGAGCTCTAGAGGATGCCCGCCTACACGAGGACGCGCCACACGTGCAGCTACAGCAGCACGAAGAAGCAGACTCTTCCGACGTCATTGCTCCCGATCAAATAGGACGGTACGAAAGGCGAGGGCGAGAGGCAACAGCATCGGCTGCTGCTGCCCGTCTCAGCAGCACATTCAACTGCCCTGGGAAGACCTCAGAGGCGGGGATCCCTGAGGCGTTGATGCACCGCAGCGGTACGGGATGAGTAGTTTTATAGGATGGCGCTGCCTGAAAACGAAGTTCAAGACGGTAACACTCAGAGTGGCGAGGCCGAGAGGCAACAGGGGAGGCGTCCTTCAGGGACTTACGCGGTGTCGTGCGAGGTCATGTGTCTATTAGCGCCGCGTTTACAAAGGGGCTCAGCGTAAAAAAAATAAAGAACAAGAATACAGAGAACGAATTTCCTGGTTGGTGTGAAACAAAAGTACAAGAAGCGGCAGACACAAGCTGGGGGCCCTATGTGAGGGTATCATGAGCATCATGCTCATGCGCAGCTTAACATAGTGATGATGGAACCGGTGACGTTTCACCGCTGTTGTCTTTTGACTTAAAGAATTGGGGTTCAAATGGGTAGACAGGAGTACTGCTTTAGGTCAAACGCAGCAAATACCCTATTCGGATCAGCGTAGGCGGCAGTCCAACGAGGTGACCCTTGAGGAGCCATAAAAGCAAAGTGGACAGAGCAGAGACCACAGACCAACCACGAAGACAGACGTCCAGAGTACATTGCTGTATCAGACATGGTGTCTGAACGGGAGGGGCAGCCATGGAAATAGGTACTGCTTCTTTCTTTCATCCAGCGATATCGAGCCTCTACAAAGTTACTGGCTTCCGTCTGTCATACTCTAATTCCAGTCCCCCTGCACACTATGAGAGTACCCTCCCACCAAGGGCTTGGCGATAATTATTTATCTTTTAGGTCAAATTCCTTTTAGTCTCCACCGCATATGCGAAGTAGCCTCCGCGCTTAGCTACACTCTGCTAAAGAGAGGCAAATTCGTCTCCAGACTCTGTATATACGTTATAATGAATTGTGCGTCGCTTGAAAATTATTTCAAGCGTTTGCCTTCTCCTTATCCTGAAACAGCAGCTTGCGTCCAGCCTAGTTGGCCTACGTACATTCTTATGAGGCAGGCTAACTCCTAGATACCCATTACCCTGCTTGTTAAATTCGAAGGTAATTCAGAGGTGGCCAGTTGGTTTAGCTGTAAGTATATCTGCGAGTTGCCTGCAGAGTGGTGTTAGATCCATACTAGCGGCATGAACGCTCCGTGCCTATTTATTTGATGTTGTGAGCAACTGGGTGCGCGTGCAAGAAGCCTATCAGAGTCAGTGCCGACACAGCTTGTTCTCCAACAGATGGAAGAGCGCGAAGCGTGTATCTCATAAAGATGGGTCCCCCAGCCTACCCACACTTCTCAGAGCTTTCGCCATGAGGGGAAACAAACAGCCAATGTGCTCCTGGCTGCATTCCCTAAATGCTCTGTCCATCAACACTAACTTGCAATCGCAGCCAGCGCACATGCCACAGCATTGCGACTACATGTATCAAGCTGTCAAGATCTACATCAAATAAATTATACGACAGACAAACCAATTAGCTCATTTTAAATATCTAGGTTAAATGTACCTAGTGTATTTTAAAATATTGAGGTGTAGCTAAGCTCACCAAAGAGAGTTGTCAGAGCTAACTTCTTTATCACGCCAGGCGCGCGCGACAAAATCTATGCTGCCTATAGAGAGTGATGAGGTGTCTGGCCCTGAAATATGTCTGGTTCGGCACGCAAACCTGCATGGAAACACGTAACCAAGAGTTCGTGCTGTAGGATATAGATCTAGCTGAGAATTGCCCGGAGAGTTAGGCTGCTTGTGCTATCTATCTGTTGAAGCATAGGGATAGTTTCCTATTGTGAGGATGGACTCAACGTGCGTGAGATGCATTGCAAAATAGGAAGGCGACTAGTGGAGGGTGCGGCAACGCGCTTCTCAGCGAGGTGTCCGCCCGCATGCCGAAACTTGGTAAAGTGGGAAGGCAAGGTAAGTCGGGACGGACCCCCTTCACAATAGGCACTTCCTAGCTAGTATCTGCGCTTCGCTATGTGGTTTTGGAGCTAGGAGGATCTACTTAGAGGAAAAACAAGAGGCTTACCACACCCACTCAAGTATACCTAGAGGCTGATGCCTGTCTATAATTCGCTCCTTCTGACTTTAGAAATGCTTTGGTGGATGCAACCCCTTCGTGGTTCAATGCGTTTACCACTGAAACAAGGGAACTGTACAACTGCCAGAGGCAGGCAATTAAAGACCTTGTAGATTCGCAGCTTACTCAAACAGAAGGCAAAAGCCAGGGCCACCTGCTATAGCAACCAAGTAGCAGATAGGGTACCTTTCACTACACAGTCAGCCCAACGATGGCACCGGTTCCTTGTGGTGCATCTAGAGCCTGATACGATGGAAGCGCTTGTGACTTGCTTCCCGCTCGACCACACCGCACGCTGCCTCTAAGGCATGTGGCATGCAGAAGCTGTTGTTCCTTTGCCCAACGCCAAACGGCCAGGGGCCCCTCGAGCAGTTACACCAGGGAAACTCTTGAGCACCGGCCGCGAAAGTATGTTGCTATTGGAACTGAATGCACATGCCCCCAATACTGTGCCCGTGCGGCAAGTCATAAACGGGCGAGTTCGCTGCTGCGAATGCGACTTGCATTCATGTGGACAAGTCTGGTGCAGCTGATGCTTCCGCCGCGTTACGACCGACTGACTACCTCCTTAAAAAGTTCTATAGCTGTTTTTGTGGGGCGCGATGTGGCGGAAGCTTTCAGTGTCTCTTCTTCAGCAGGCACCTGAGAGTTTCCGCATCAAAGCGCACACAGTGCGAAAGTTACAAACTCCTCCATGCTGTGCATCCCGGAAAACAGCAAGAGGGGGCCCACCTGCCAGAGCAACCTCAAGTTCACTATTAACAACACCATTACAGTAATAATAACACCCTAACAGTGTCCGCAGCACCAGAAGCAACAAAGGGGCCCCAGGTGTCTTTTCCATCGGCTTGAGCAGGGCGAGGTTCTTTACGCGCAGTTGTGGCTCCGGTGCGACCTACAATGCAGCCAAAGAAACACGCCCGCAGATGTAGTTGCATAGTTCCAGGTGAGTCTCTGCAGCCAGCTGCAGCAATTCAGCCACTAGGCACACCAGCCGTTGCTTCAGGGGCTCCCGAAGTAGTACCTTCCTCTCCGTTGCTGAGGGCAAGGGGAGTCTCATTCGGTCGTGCTCCTCTAGGCGGCCTAAAATGGCCGCTTGGGCCTTCGAGCTCAGGCGAGACCAAACCCCCAGATAGTGCTGCGCCAGGAAAGGAAAGGCAGTACGCTTAAAAGCGAATTTCGAAGCGCTCATCTCGAGAGGCAGCCAACGCCACCATGCGGACCTTAAAAAGAGCGCAAAGAGTCTGCCATGCCGAGGGGAGGCTCCAACAAGGACAGCCAGCCGAGCGACGAAGAAAAGAAAAATAGTGCAGCAGAGTCGTACACCCATGGGGAGGACATGCAACTGGAAACAGATAGCCGAAGACCTACGAGGGCAAGGGCATGCTGAGCCAACACATGCATTGGAATACTGTAGGACCCGATATCCTTCTTCAAAAGACTCCCAATCTTCCAGAAAAACCGGCTGGGTATGAATTTGCTTTTGGAGCCGCTGTATTCTGCACGAGAGGAACCAAAAGCAGTAGTAGCAGCACGCGCTGGCACATCTACAGAAGCAACAGTCAGTAGAGGAAAAAGCAGAGCACTGACAGAATCAACCTCAAGGTGAACAGCTGCCTAAAACATCAAAATTGAAGTTTTGTCACTTGCTGTTTCTGGAGAAGCTGCAGGCGCCCCCAGAGCAGCCTAAGGGTTTAAATTCTTGCCTGTTGCACTCTTCTCCTTCGGGGGGCCTGACAGCTGGGCCTTGTGCAGCGCAGCAACCAGTTCTAGCAGATCTTTGCCTGTGGGGGTAAGGAAGGGCACCGGCATTAGAGAGCCACTGAAATGCGCCGATGACGAGCAACAGCGTCAGAAACATCGAAGGCAGCAGCGAAGTATCGATGCACTACCTATAGCGCCAAGCAGCGGTGTGGCAGCGTGCAGCAGACGCTGCAGGCAGCCGGGCAGACAACATGCGCAACCAAGCAGTGAAGCTAGAGGAGGCAGAGAAAAAACGAAGATGCCGCGCCAACCAGAGGGAATAAGACACCCGGGTGGAAGTAAAAATAAACATACTTCCCAGCTCCTGAAGATGGGGTCTCAGTGCCTTGCATGCAGCTCTGATTAGGGCCAAGTCCAATTGCTGCATGCAGTGGCTGTGCTGCTGCCGCTCCAGCTGAAGCACGAGAAGCTGCAGCAGCGCCGGCGGCTCCAGCAGCTGTAGCAGACGGACGCGACGCGGGCACTGCATTTTCTGTGCAGTTCGTGATACCACGTTTTGCCGTTTTTGCTGTCGTGACTGCCGAACTTGCCGCTCCTTGACATGCTCCAAAAGAACTTGGCTCAGGCGCTGCTGATGCGCGATGGTAACTGGCAATGAGGAGGCGCAGCAGAGGAGCTCTGCAGCAGACGTGGCTGCTGCTGCTGCTGCAGGGCCCTCTTCCCACTCTGAGACAGTAAGTAGATTGACAGATCGAGCAAAAAGAGAGGCCACGAGCCGTTCGGCCCACTGCTTTTGCAGCAGCCAATCGCAGTTCTCCGCTGCCTCGTGTGGAGCTGCCGCCGTGTCTTCGGACGCTTTGAGGGACGAAGCCGCTGCTTTTCCCCCCCTATCTGCGAGCTCCTGTTCACCCGCCACTTCGCCGTCAGGTGGCAAAGCCAAGGGGGCCCCAAGACAAATATCGGGGTTGGCTGCAAGGGCTTTTGCGAGTCCGCACAGCGGCTACACGAAGAAATGAACACACACAAGATATACACACGCACTCACACACAGAAAACCCACAAAAAGCCTAGACCCGTCATAGCCGAAACCGCAAGCCACGCGCCATTGACATCACAGTCCATCAGCTTTGCCCCTAGAGCACACCCGGTACTGGCCCACTGCCTAGCACAACTCTAACTCACACCTCGCCGTAGACAAGTTGCAGCCGTGTGGCCTCGCCTCGAGCCCAGCACCTCTAAAGGCTTACCCTCAGGGGGAGCAGATCCACGCAAACGAGGAGCTGCAGCAGGAGTCGAAGGCGCAAAGGCGCGTCACTCATGCCACTTTCGGCATACAGTACAAAGGCCTGAGACGGCACAGTTGCAGAGCAGCATAGCACCGGCATCAGCGGCAAAGTAAACAGGTGCACGAGCAACCTTCGCCGTATCAGTTTTGGCAGCAGCAGAGACAGCAGCAACACAAAGGCCCAGGGAGTATGGTATACAGAGCTGCAACCTAGGGTGCTCACTGTGGCCAGCTGCTGCGGCGTATAAAACGGAATCGCCGTGTACATACACCCGAACGCTCGCTGCAAGAGCGGGTTCTGGGAGATACCAACAAGCGCAGCGACAAGCAGAAGGAGCTCTTCTGGAGGAAAAAATGGCAGCAGCAAGGTCGCACGATGCAGTAAACACCCTCTCAGGTCTTGTTGCAAGAGGGATACTTGTTGGCTGTGTCGCTCCTGCGGCTGCAAGCTGTACAAGCACACGGCGAGTGCACGCGGCTGCAGTGCCTCTACAGTGGCCTTTGCAACTTGCAACAGCTGGAGCAGTAGTTCCTCCGGGAACGCGCCAGGTGGGAGGAGGCATTTCAGCGTCAATAACGAGACAACTGCTGCGGCTGCATCCTGCTGCCGCTCAGGCTGCTGAAGGTAGGCATGCAGGTCTTCTAGAAGGGATGGCGTGACCAGCTTGAGGTGCGCTGGACGCAGGAGAGACGCCTGGCGGCAGCAAAGAGAGCAGAGCAAGAGTCCCCAGGTAGCTGTGAGCGCGGCGGCACGCCCATAAAGGAACAAAATCCCAGTTCACAGAAACTACACCCCCAGCAGGACGAAAACGGGTGAGACCGATACAGAGCGAATGCCGCAGACACAGGTCCGCAGATAGGCACGCATTCACGCAGGGTGTAGAGTCATACGCGTTTCTGGAAGCTGCGACAGGCTGTATGGGTTGCGGCCGATCCAGGAACTCACAGCGGCTAGCGGAATAAGTCCTGCAGCGGTTTCCCGTGCATGCGTATGTTGGCGGTCATGTCGACACAGCATATCCAAGAGGCGCAGTTGCTGCTGTTGAACGAAGCGCAAAGACTGGCGCAGCTGCCGCAATCGAGACTGCGTCTCTTCGTGTTGCCGCTGGCTGCCGTGCTGCTGTGAGTCTCGTTCGGGCTGCTGGTCGCGCTCTAACTGACGCGGTTGCTCCCGGCTCAGCTGCTTCTGCCGATGTTGCATCAGAGCGAGGTACTGCCTCTGTAAGCTTCTATACAGTTGGAGGAGGGCAGCAGAGCGAAATGCCATTGCCGCTAAGCCTGCTGCTCCTGCCTCCGAGGGAGCCAGGAAGTCTCCACAGCTGCATCCGAGCAGAAGTTCCCACACCTCCGCATGCAGCTGCTGCTGCTGCACCTGCTGCTGCGTGGAAAGAGAGCTATGCTGGTGCTGCTGTAGGCTGATAAGAAGCACAGGGCTTGCACACACATGCAGGTAGCAGTTTGTCACGAAGCAGAACCCCCAGCCCATGTTGCTGCCCGCGACGCCCCCATTGTGCTGCGTTTCTTGTGACTGCGCGGCTCTGCGAGACCAAGCCTGGAAGTTAGGGCAGTCGAGCAGCATCCGAAAAATTACCTATTCAGTGCGACAAAACTCCTCAGCAGCAGCAGGGCAGCGGGCGGAGAGACGGTTGCTGAGGAGTGAAAGATCGATTCTGTTGCAGCTTTGAGCAGCAGAGGGACGCTAGGGCCTGCTTCTGCCGCAGGCTGCACCAGAGGTGTTGCAGTCCTGGATGTTGATTTCACTGCGGATGGGTTTGGTACGGCAGGTGCTGCGTCCGTGCCAGGAACCAGATTCGTAGAGCCTGTACTCGGCTGGAGAATCTGAGCTGCTGTCTTTGCCTGAAGCTGTGCTGCACGCTGCTTTTGCTGCTTCAGGTGTACATCCACCTCGGCGAGCTGCTGCTGCTGCAACGCAGCTGCAGGACGCGGTACAAAGTCTGCCGCCTCCACAAGCTGCCATTGAAGCAGCAGCTGCTGCCCCCATCGCTCGAGATCCTCCCCAAAAGAGGTTGGCGGAGCGGCAGCTGCTGCAGCCGCTGCGAGTGCACCACAGGGAGTAACATCACAGGATGCCAGGTTTAAGGTCGTGCCGCTGCTGCACAGCAGGGAGAGAGCGCGCAGTAAGAGCGCGGCATCCGTTGTGCTGTTAATGCTGCTGGCTTTCGCAAGGTTCAGCCACAACTCCCCTGAAGACACCGCAAACCATAAAGACCGCACGGCAGCGCAGTTGTACCAGCAGCGGCAGGCGCAACTGAGCAGTCCCAGCGGCTCTCCTGGCTACTCACTAAGCCTTGAGTGCGCCTTTCCAGTAAGTAATTCCACCGTTTCGCACTCCGATAAGTGCTGCCATTGCGGCTGCTGGTGTGTGCTGCTGCTCAGCATGGCAGTAAGGGATAGTCGCTCTAGGTTGCCTAGCCCAAAGAGACGCAGAATTCCTAGCAAGAAGAGCAGCAGCTCCTGCACTGTATAGGGCCCCCACTGCTGCCGCTGCCGCAGGAAGGAGTCCAGCAACAATTCCAGGAGTTCGTCCAAGTCCTTCTTGTACGCCTGCCAGAGCTGCTGCGTCTGCTGAACTTGTTCTTCATGCGCGCTTTGCGGGTGGGCTGCGAGGGTCGTCAATTGAGAGGTAAAGGAGAAGTCACGCAGCACCAAAGCCTCGGTCAGCCGAAGGATGGCTTCTACTGAGAGCACCTCCTCGCCGTTCCTGCTGCTCTGAAGTGCTACAGTGATGCGGTTGATGGCCTCTGTAACAGTAGCGGCCAGTCCCAAGGCTTCCGGCGTATCCGAAGCCTCCGCGCATGCAGACAGCGCCTCGATGTAGAGGGGAGCAGGAGAACATGGCCCTCTGCTGGCCCCTGCTGCTATTCCTGGCGGAATTGTTGTTGCTTTGCTTGCAAGTGACCAGGGCGCTGCCGGGAAGGTATGTGGCAGCAGCAGCGCGAGGCGCTGGGGGAAAAACGCATGGTATGCCGCCGCCTGTAACACGGAGCACGCTTGCTGCAGTACAGACACCACCAAGGACGCAGCAGTCGAGCGGTAGGACAAGACTTCCGACCCTCGGAACGGAGGTGTGGCCGCCGAATTTGGCGTGCAAGCGAGCCAACCCACAAGGAGACAGCAATTCGCAGATGCAGCTAGCGATACTGCGGCGTATCAAAGCTTCTGCCTAGTTGTATCGGCACAGAAGCGAAGATACACGCCATGTAGGCAGATGGGCAGGCGCACAAGTACACAAGGCAGCAAGCAGAGCACAGCGAGCGCGCTGGGTGCTATGTTGACGGGGGGCCATGCAGAAGGCACATCAAAAATGCATGAGACACTAAATTATAAAAGGCAGCGTGTTGGAGCCCGTTTCATTTTGTTCGTCATCAGTGGCTGCAAGGCTTGTGTTGGGGTAGTGATGCAGCAAGAGAGAGGGGGGCAGAAACGCGTATATCGCAACAGGGCAGGTGGTGGGATGCCCGACGTAAGAAGGGTTGGCGGTAGAAGAAGCGCTTGCACAACGCAACAGAGGCCGTGCTCAAGCTTTCCGTTTATAGGGGATTACACCAGCAAAGGGAGGAGCAGGAATAAAATGCGCTGCGATTACTTCTGGGGAGAGGCCACGCCCTTTGAGCAGGCGACGCAGCAGGGGAAAAGCTGCATCCACCCAAGTTTGGGATGTCTCTGCAGGTGCTTTTCCACCATCTTGAAGCAGCCGTTGCTCTCTGCACCGTCACCACAGCACAATCAGCGCAGAAGGGCGAGAAGGCCTTCACTTTCAAGGCGCCAGCGCCGCTCTTAGATTTGCCGTTTCTCTCCCTGCTGGCTGTAACAGCGCGTGCACATGCAGCAGAGGAGCAGCAGCGATGGTGAGGAGGCGCAGATGCGGCTATCGTCTCAGCCAGGAGCTATGAGGACGTGGAGAAAGGAAGCAACGGAAGCGAGGGTACGCCAAAGTAGGCAAGCGGCAGAAGAGGCGCTCGCTCATCGTGCGAGAGAGGCACAATGTTTTACAGAAGCAGGCGAACCTTGCTGTAGCCACAAGGATGCACGCCAGTGCTGCAGAGGCCTCGCCATCAAAGGGGCTATCCGCGAGAAACGGGAAGAGGCCAGCGGAGACAGCCGGTATGCCTGCAGCCCACATGACAGCACCCAGGCGCAGGTGGGGAGACGCATTAAGGTCCAGAAACTGGATGCGTGCGTGACGGAATGAAAAGAACAAAGGTCACATTGTGGATGGGGAGCACGCGTGTGGAAAGTGCGGGGCAAAACGGCGGCAGCTGCACTGGAAGATTCGGGTGTGGGGTATACAAGAACAGATGACGCAAACAGACATCCGATCTATAGCAGCGGGGAGGGGGGGCGAGGGGGGAAAATTAGGATGAGTCATTTATTCCCAGGAGGTGAGTTTTTTTTGAGAGTCTTTGAAAGCACGGAGAAGAAGCGCAGCGGCGATCAGCGGTCGTTTAGAATGCGGTGTACACACAAATATTCGGAAAATATCTTGCACACCACTGGCACTCAAAGCGCGTGTATGCCTTTGAGTGTGTGAGCATTCATGCAAGTCTGTATCTGCGTATCTGTTTGTCTGTGTGTGATATGGCGGGCGATAAGGGATACCATACGACACTTCGCCACCGAACCAATCTCTGCTAGAATCATAGATGGGAGCGACTCCAGCCAGTCAGACTCACAGTGTGTATATGGATGTATGCATATGTATGTACGTATGTATCTGTATCTGTGTGTCTGTGTCTGTGTGTCTGTATCTGTGTGTCTGTATCTGTGTGTCGGTGCATGTCTGTGTCTCTCAGTGTGTGTGTGTGTGTATATGTGCAAGCTACGCCGCAGCAAGGATAGCCTCTAGCATCATCCGTATTAGTAGCAACACCCTCAAGAAGAGCGAGAGGCGAGGTCACGAAGACTGCAGCAAGAGGCCAGGGGGAAGCAACAAGAAGAGCGCACGTAAGTTGCCAAGCGCCGCAAGGAGCGTCGCGGCTTCTCCAGGCGATAATGGTAGAGGGTGTCGTGTATGGGGTTGTTGCTGCACGATCTCCTTGACTGCCGCCAGCAGACGTTGAACACGGCCATCTCGTTGCGGTGGTTGTAGCAGAGAAAGCAGCAGCAGTGCGGGGGTTAGCAGTCTCGCTTTGTCCTCCACAAGATGCGGCTGCCCCTCGTGTTGCTGCTGCTGCGCCTCGCGAAGGAGCTTCTCTGTGACAGCGGTGAGTGCGCACCAGTCGCTCTTTCTATAAGCCAAGCGTATGGCCTCCGCCGTCGCTGCCGCTGCCCCTACGCCTGCGAAAGGGCTGACAGCCTCGACGCTGCTGACTGGCGAAGCAGCCACGGGTGCCAGTTCGGCTGCAGTTGCAATCGCAAAGCGCAATCCGTCCTCCCGTTCAGCGGTCCGGGAGAAGAAAGCCTGGAGCGCCGAGGGGGGGTGAGGCAGCAGCCTCCCCTGCAGATGCTGCCGCAGCAGTCGCAAAGCCTCCGCCTTGAGGTGCTGCTGCTGCTGCTGCGTTCGCGGGAGGAAGGCGAAGCCCAAGGGGGGAACCTGCTGAGCCTTTTCTGCGTGAGCGCCGCTCCTTAGCTGCGGCGTCCAAGGGGCTGCGCTTCTCAACAGAAACCGCGAAAGCGACAGCGGCCATGTTGCACGCATTTTCCGCACTGTGTGGAATCGCCACAGAGCGTAGTATGCTGCTGCTGGCGCTGCTTTCGAAGCAGTCGCCGGTTCAGGGGGGGCCTCTGCAGTCACACTTCGACCGCAGGAGCAGCTGCCGCCTGGGGTGGTGTGGCTTGCGCTGCTCACCCCAAGCAGCCGGAACCTCGCTGCCACACTCAGAGAGTGCAGCCACAACTTCTGGGCATTATCGCCAGGCCTCTACCCGAAAAAGCCTTGAGGGCATCCAGGCACTCTCCGCAGTGGCGAGCATCGGGAGCTCTTCACCCCCCGCCGCCGTCCCCGGCCGGATCTCGATGCAACGCCCACAGCTGCCTATATGCGACCATCTCGCGCCTTGTGCCTACACGCATACGCATGCGCAAACGCCGCAATTCGCAACACAACAAGGCGCAACCGCCTTTGTGTGCGGCCTTCTGCCTTGTGCGCGCTGCCGCCGCAGCCAGAGAGGGCCCTCTCTGGCTGCGGCGGCAGCGCGCACAAGGCAGAAGGCCGCACACAAAGGTGGGTGGCAGGCTGCACTGAAAACTGTGGAATTCATCTCTTTTCACCAATATTTCTCTTGTTGACAAGCACAAACCCGGCGCGGGCGGGGCCGCCAAGGTACATTGCCCTCCCCCCTCCAGCCTCTCAACTCCCTGGCCTCCCTCCACTAGCGCTCCTGTGGTGGCGCTGCCACTCGTGCCGATGAAACCTCTGGCAATTGCCTTCCTCTTCCGCGAACCGACAGCACCGTCGCCAACGCAGCAGCGGCTGCAGCAGCGGCTGCAGCAGCAGCAGCCCAGGGAGCGTTAGCAGCAGCAGGCAGCGACTCCGCACTCGACGGCATCACCCCTCGGCTCGCCAGCAGCCACTGCGCAGGCTACAACGTATCACGAAGCACTCGCAACCCTCGCAAAGCCCCTGTGGTGGCCAGCAGAGACTCTCCGACTGCCGGCGCTGCCGCCGCTGTTGCCTCCTCGGATCCCGCCGACTCTCGAAGAGCAGATACTGCCTAGCCGCAGTGACACGGCCTTTACAACAAGCATCTGCAGCAGCCTTTGGGCTTTAGGAGATGCTCCCCCAAAGAAACCCCGCAACAGCGGCCGTCCGCGGCTAGACCCTGTGCATTCTCCATAACAACGCTTGCGCGTGTGCCCGCATCTCCAGCAGCAGCTGCCAACCCATGCGCCTTCTCTAGAGGCACTGCGGTAGCAAATGCGGAGCCGCTTGCGGCCTCTCACCGAGGGAAACGTCGCAGGAAGGGCTGCAGCCACCCTCGCTGCAGCTGCGCCAGCAAACGCCTCTGCCGTCCAACGCTCACTGGCGGCTGGCAGTCCAGCCACAGCAGCAGCCACAGCAGCAGCCGTGGCAAGAGCTGCCTTGACTGCCGCTAGAGGACGGGGACCTCTGCGGCGCGATTTTCCGCCCCTCGGCTTGTGCAGAAGGTTCCACCGGGAGCTTCCGAGGCTCTCACAGCAGCAGCAGCAAGTGCTGCAGCTGCTGCCTCAAGCCGTCCCCAGCCGGTCTCTCGGCTCAGCGAAAGCGGCCGCTTTCGGAACGTCTCTCGCCTCCCCTGCGGCTTCCAGTGCGAGAACACCCAAGGGCCCCCGAGCGGCGTCTGCAGCAGGCCCTACGGGAGCTTCAGCGTCACGTGCACGAGGATCTACGCGTCTACCCACGGCGCCAGCTCGTTCCTCGTCTTCCTCAGCAGCAGCTTCGTCTGGCCCGACGGGGCACCCCGCAGCGGAGAGCGGCAGTTGGCTCACACGCGCCATTCAGTCCTTCGTGAAATGCCGTGGTCGCCAGAGACAGAAGGTGCTCCAAAAGGAGCGTCGGAAGGAACGCATAGTGCGACTGCCCCTCGGGGTGTCTGTAGCTCTATGGGCGCCAATTCCCAGCAGCAGCAGGCTGAAAAGGGACGTCCTGCTCAACACGGTGGCCGCTCTGCTGCTCTTTTCCGCTAGCGACGTGATGGCTCAGCACCTGCAGCACACGCAAGCGCATGCGCAGCAACAGACGCAGCAACAAGAGGCCTGCGCCGCAGAACAAGTGCCTCCAAGGCTTCGCAGCACCTTGATGCAACTCGATGGGGGCCGCACGCTAGCTGTCGGCTGTGAAGGCGTTTTTGTCAATGGTATGCTGCCAAGCAAATAAAAGAAGAGATCAGGTCGCGTCAGACGACACCTCCCCTCTTTGCACTCTTCTCCGCATCTTTCAGTGCCTGTCTTCTAAAAAAACTCATTGGCTATATATATGTCTTGGTATACATTCATACTGACATACATATATATATATATATGTATATGTATGGATATTGCATACATATGTTGTTTATATATATATATATATATGTATGTTAGTATGAATGTATACCACGACATATATATGGACACCTTATAATTTTGCATGGTGGACATCTGCCCGTCCTTACTATTTCTTGATTCGGCGTCTGCGCCTCTATAGGGGCCTTTCGAGTGCGCCTCAAGCGTGCCAGCCAGAGGTTGCAAGGCTCCAGTTTACGCTTTGGGTTTCACGCTGGTGTGAATTCGTATGTTTATGTGCGTGCATGCCGCAGCCCTTCTGCTGACGCCAATGTATCACAAGCTCGAGGCGATGCTGGCCCATAACAAGCCATCGCTGAAGAGGAGCAGCAGCAGCAACCCGGCCGGTGCCGGCCGATCGGGCGCTGCGTTAGCACAACGCAATGTTGGTGCTGCTGTTAAGGTTGCGGCAGCAGCAGCCACAGCAACGGTGCAACAGCAGCGCAACAGCAGCAGGATGCTGTGGCTCATGAGTCTCTATCAGGTACTGGCAGTGCAGATCGTGGCGATGCCGTTTAGCTCCTTCTCTTTCCTCTTTTTGACGCCCATTCTCAGATTCGCCTTCGCGCGGCTCCTGGAGCCTCAGCAGGAGGGCGAAGAAGATGACTCGCTAGGAGCACACCGACCACAGCAGCAGCCACAGCCGCAGCCGCTGGCAGCTCTCCCCGCAGTTAGCGAGGGGCGCTGTGCGGGGAAGGAGGCTGAGTCTGAGCCTGGACCAAAAGTCGTTCAGCAGCAAGTCACAGAGCAGCAGCAGCAGCAGAGGTGTTGGGTGCGGACTCCTCCTCCGCAGAGTTTGTCTGCTGCCATATCCGAAGGGACGTCGGCCGTCTCTCTGCACTTCAAGGGGATTTACGTCGCAAGCCTCGTGGTGTGGCCGCTTTCGGATCTCATAAATTTCCGGTAAGTTTTCGACCGCACTGAGCGGCGAGCAGACGAACGGGCAGCCTCTCTCCACGCACCGACCCTGTTTCTTTCCCGCCGTTCCCTCCTCTTATTCCCCGTAAGCCGGGCCAAAGGGGCAGTAACGGCTTTTCTGAAAACAGCCGGTGCGAGTCCATGCGTGTGCGCCTGCCGCTGTCTTGACAGTTTTGTTCCGCTGGCATTGCGCCCAGCATGGGATTCCCTTCTGGATTTCGTTTGGGCTGTATATCTATCGTACGCCGCACACTCCTCCCCCGCACACCTGCAGCAAGAATTGGCTGCATTGAAAGGTTCAGCTGCTGTTGTTGCTGCAAGGGAGTCGCCGCTCGGGCCCGTGTCCTAGCTAGCATGCATACTTCGACCCGGAGACGCTTGTTTACATAGCGCAACACGGAGCATGTGTGCCGTGGAGCAGCTGCCGGTGGTGCTGCTTTTCGTGCGAGGGTCACCAAGGCACCAATAAGGGCTGCCAGCAGCCGCAGGAGAGCTCCCAGTTACAATATGAGAGCAGAAGTGGGGGATCTGTTATGCAGCGCCGACTCGCCAGTCGCCTGCTTGCGACCATGGGGGCCTCTACTGCTGTTGCTGCACTAATCCAGGCTCGCTGGTGCTAGACCTAACTAACTTTCTACCACGGCTGCACCTAACAAATGAAACACGCTGTACACGAGGAGGCGAGCGCGTCTCCTATCTAGATGGGCGTCTCTGCCGCGATGGCGAGAGCTTTTCCCTAGGCCGGCCCGAAGGGGCTTTTTCAAACGGAATTTAGCAGCAAGCTCTTCCAGCTGCTGCTGCTGTGGCTTTCAACCTCGAAACGATACACGAAAGGCAGCAGGCCTATTCCCTCCTCACCTCTCTACTCGAATGCAGCAGCCGTGCGCTAGCACCAAACACACTAGCCACTACTAAAACTTTTTTTTGACACCCGAGAGCCATGGCTCATCACCGCCCTCCCGTTGCTGCTGTGCTGCCCTGAGGACGAGAACTGGCTGTGCTCTCACGTCCGCGGCACCTCACTTGAGTTCGGCCGTGCTTCTTTCTTGAAGGCGGCATCTGCCACTGCCATGCTCTGCTGGCAGCGGCCACGCTGCAGACAAGAACTGCTTCGGCCGGTTCCACAGTTACTATGGTGGCACGGCTGTCTACACTAGAGGATTTCGTTGGCGTCGATTTTGTTGCTGCTGTAGTTGTTGTTCGTGCTGCTGCTGGTGAGCAGTAACAACGGTACGAACTGCTGCGTGCGCTGTAGGCCTGCGTCGCTGACGCGGAGGCGTACTAGCCACGGCCGGAGAAAACTGCGGCCAGGCAGGTGGTGTTCTCGTCTGCTGCGATGGCGTTTGACCCGCTAGCTGCTGCAGTTGCTGAAGTAGTTGCTGCTGCTGCAACCGCTGTTGCTGGTGCTCCTGCTGCTGCAATCTTTGCTGCTGCAACTGCTGCTGCTGCTGCTGCTGGAGCCTTTGTTGCTGTAAATGCTGTTGTTGCTGCTGCCTTTGTTGCTGTAACTGTAGCTGTTGTTGCTGCAGCTGCTGCTGTTGCATCTGCTGCTGTTGCATCTGCTGTTGCTGCAGCTGTTGTTGTTGCAGCTGCTGCTGTTGCTCCTTCTGCTGCAGCCTTTGGAGCTGCAGCTGTTGCTGCTGCAGCTGTTGTTGCTGCTGCTCTTGCTGCTGCAGCCTTTGCTGCTGTTGTTGCTGGCGAACGGAGTCAGTGGAGTGCTGTTGCAACAGGTCCATAGGCTGATTGTTCTGCTGCTCTTGCTGCTGCCACTGCTGATGAAGCAGGTCACTGGCGAGCTGTTGCAACAGATCCATAGGCTGTGGGTGTTGCTCCTCTTGCTGCTGCCACTGCTGGTATTGCAGAAGTTGCTGGAGTGGCCGATCATGGCTGCGCACTTTGCCTCTCTCATCGCCATCGTTGCAGGAAGGCTGAGCCGCTTGGCCTTCCTTCTGCCTCAGTAGCAGCGGTAAACACTGCCGCACTTGCTGTGCCTGAAGCATTAGCGGCAGCGCATATCGACAACACCCCCGCTACAGCGTCATTACTATTTGTTAGCCCCCCAGCCACAGCTCTCTATCCCCAGACCTGCTGCCCCTGAGACGCAGTTCCAGCAGTTCTTACGGTGGCAGCAAAGGCCTCGACTTTTTCCTTTTGTTGCTGCAGCAAAGTGTCTCTCGCGCGCAACTGCTGCAGCAACAGTTGCTGCTCCTGCTCATGCTGCTGCTGCTGCAACTCGCGAGCACGGCGTTCCTCTCGCAGCTGCTGCAGCACAGCCGTTGCCTGAGGCGGTGCATCCACAGCAAAGACACTCCAAAAAGGCCACTGAGACCTCGGAGAAAGGCAGAGCAAAGAATCTTCGGGGGATGCCAGCTCATACCGATGGCAAAGCCCTTATTATGCGGGAATGTGCACAACGGCACTCATTCAAAAGAAGGCGGCAAATAAGTCACCGCAAGACGGCAAATAGGGATTGCACAAGACACTGATTGGCTCCTCAGACGCACATACCTTCATAGAGAGCACCGACAGAACCTCATCTCGGTGCTGCAACTGCTGCCGCAACAGCGCCTTTTCTCTCTTGGCGTCCTCGAGATCCCGCTGCAGCAGCAGAAACAGCAGCCGCTGCTGCTGCATCTTCTGCTGATCGGCAGCAGCGTGTTCTTCAGCGGCGGCGATGGCCATTTGAGGGCCCGGCGCTTTTCGTGCTTGCTGCTGCAGTATTTGCCAGAGCACCTGCTGCTGCTGTTCTTGCTGCTGCTGCTGGTGTTGCGGTTGGATGGCGGACTCCTCTCCTGAGCCCCTTGCCTCTTCTTCAGTTCCAAGGGTAACTGCTGGTGCTGGAGGTGCTAGTGGGGGTGGTGAGGCTGCTGCTGCTGCGCTGGCTGGGGTCTGGACAGCAGCCGAAGCTGCACGCAGTGCAAGAGACTGCTGCTTCAGGGATGCAAGCGGCAGACGGAAGACACGTCCTGCTGCGGGAGATGCCTTAGGGCATCTCCCGGGCTTCTGCGTGTTGCCGTTTGCATTCCTTGAGGCCTTTTCGTGTCTCTCTTCAGCAGCCGTAGCAGCGTCTCCTGCAGCGGCTGCTGCGGCTGCGTGGACCTCGTCAGTAGTGTGTGCCCCTTGCTGCTGGTGCGCCTCCTGAAGCTGCTGCTCCCCGCAAAGGAGGAAGAGGTAATCTTGGTTGCATGCAGCAAACACAGCAGCAGGACCTGCTGCTGTGTTTGCTGCAGCAGAAAGAGCCCCTGGGAGGGCAATCCGAGACCACTGAAGCTTCCACAACGAGAGGTAAGCCAGGCCTGAAGGCATGCGTCACACAGTAGGGCAGTGGCAGCGTCCTTCAGATGAGAGGCTAGGCCTGAAAGTGCGCGTTTCCGCATGTAATGCCTTGCTGCACGAAAATCCTCTGTGCGAGTCTCGCTGCATGAGAGCACGATGGGTTCTGGGTGCCTCTCTCTCTGTGTTTGTGTTGTGCTCTGACTACTTTTATCGAGACTTGCGGCAGGTGGCGGGCAATGGAGGAGCACGGCATTCCCGACTGAGAAGAGGGAGCCGCTGCGAAAACACGCCGAGCAGAAAAGCACAGACGGCAGCTACAGCTTCGAGTTAGCAGGGTGTGCCGTTATCGCCGTCTTTCTCGCGTCTGCGTGAGGCAGGCTAATCAACGATCCGGCAGGAGAAGCGGCAGAACAAGGCGCAGACGCGGAGGAAGCCACGCATAATGGCCGCAAGAAAGACGGAAAGGATTTCGAATAGAAGACCACGACAACGGCCTTCATGCGCACATAGGGATACACCGCCAGAGCCATAAGCTCGGGGCGCTCAATGCGACGGTAGACAAAAAGGCACTAAGTAAAGGGTGCAAGCGCATGGGAGGCATGCGTTAAATAGGGCTTACGTGTCGCCGTGTGGCCTGTCGCCGCAGAGGCTGGACGGTTGCATCGCCCTCCACTTTTTGTCGGATGTCGAAAACATCCAGAGATCGAAAAGAGCACTCGAGTCTTCACAGGCTTGGCCACCAAAAAGATAGAGCACATTTCTATCCGCTGCTGCAGCGATGGCAGTATTGATTCGGATGGGCGGCTGTGCTGGCTGCTGCTCCTTCTGCTGCGTGCTGTCAGTCACCTCTGCTGTGGAGAACACGTAGAGGAGCTCTGCAGTGGCGGACCGCAGGTGTATCTGCATTAGGCGATTCTCTACCCGCGTGGAGTCTGTGTGCAATCAAACATCCCATAACTCGCATCACATGACGAACCTGTTCTGCGGCAGTGAGAGCAGAAGGCGCACAAAACTGCCGCTACTGCTGCCAAAGCTTACTTCGGTTCCTCAAAGAGACACTGCTGAAGCCGTACAACACGTCAGATGATGGCTGATAAGTCCACGCTTCGCTCAGCACAGCCTGCTGCTGCTCCTCCTCGTCTCGCTGTGCCTCCGAAGGACTTGTCCATCGCACCTGCCTCCTTTCCCACAGCCCCTTCTCTGCAAGAGCCAGCAAAGACGCAGCACGAGCGCTCACGTGCTCATGCACCTCATAGTGCAAGGCTGAAAAGAAGGCCGAGTGACCTCTTGAAGCGCGGAAAAGGGCAAGGGCACGGCTGGCAGCAGCAGCATCACCTGGTGTAGGAAACTCACCAACGTGAAAAAAGTAGGTTGCTTTGCAAAACGTGCCGCCCTTAGCGTCAACTCCTTCGACCGCAATTAAGCGGCAGCCGTGAGGATGCACCTTGCTGCTTCCGCTGCCGCTGAAAGCGGTGTCTTCTAGACGCTTTTGCATCTGCTCTTCGGATTGCCGCTGCTCTTCGGATTGGTGCTGCTGCTGCTGCTTTTGGCTCGCCTTTTTTGCGGCTGCATTCACCGGCGCGTCTCTCATGGATGCAGCTTTCGCCGCAGTGGCAGTAGTTGCAGGTGCAGCAGCATTCGCTGTTGTCGTGGCTGTGGCCACTGCTGCCACTGCAGAGCCATCGCTGAGATCTGAAATGCTGGTTGTTATGCTACCACTAGAGTTACCTTCCCCAAGGCTTGCTACGGTAGCTGTGCCGCTAGAAGCCGCTGCCCTGTCTGCGGCCACTGTAGGTGCTTCTCCAATTTCATTGCATGCAGCTACAAAAAGTATATTCGGCGCGGAAGGAGCCTCTCCGCCCTTGACAGCCACAGCCACCCAGCGAGACTCCGATGGAAGCACTGCAGCAGCAACAAGCAAAACAGAGGCAAAGGCTTCGGTACATATAAGCTTGATATCAATATCTACGTATGCCTGGTCTGTAGATTTATGCAGATACCAAAACATGTTCAAATAGTGTATTGTGTTGCGCAATACACGCCCCACCAGGTATACACATATATATATGTATATATCTAGTGTTTAGACGTATATATATATGAAGTACTCGGCATGTTCAACAGCAGCAGAGGCAACACAGCTTCAAAGACGGTGCATCAGAACTTTGGGCGGCCACGGCGGCATGCATGCGCAACAAAACTGGAAGGGACAAAAAAAGAGCAAGGCGAAAGCCATGGAACGATAGCACATGCGTGGCTTTAAGGCATCCACGTCAGCTGTACTTTCTTCTAGCATGCCAAATCAGAAAATCGGCAGCCACCATAGCAGCTCCTGCTGCATAGTTGCAGAGGGGGGGTTCGAGAAGAGAAATTTGGCAGGAAGGGACCGCATGAGACAAAGCAGCAAGAGCAGCAACTACATACTGATCGCCAACCTGAAGACTGTACAGGCGTTGTCATGCCACTGCACTTTGAATAGGGTGCCGCATCCACAGGCTGCATATTGGGAGCTGCTGTTGCCAACTCCGTTCCTAATGCCGTTGCACTCCTCGTTCAGCAAAACAAACTCTTCCCACGCAGCGTCCATGGAAGAACGGCGGTGTGGCTCGAAGCTGCTCTTGGCTGCCACTGCCGCTGCTGCCTCTGCCGCTGCATCTGCTCCCTTCGCTCCTGCATTGCTGCCACGGTTCTGCTGCAGCTGCCGTTGCAACAAACAGGAAGGCACAAACTCGGCAGCATCCGGGTTCAGAGCGCAGCCCTCCATAGCCACTCCGTTTTGCACCACGTGCTGCGACTGCCGCTGCTGTTGCATGAATCGCTCTGGCTTCCGATTGTGTGGCTGCAAGAAGTTCCCCTGTCCTCCAGCCGCCAGTGACTCCCTAAGTGCTGAAGGAGGAACGCGCTGCTGTTGCTGCCGTAGGTACTGCTGCTGCTGCTGCAGATACTGCTCCTGTACACTTTCCTGCTCCTCGTCCTGGGATTGCTGCTGCTGCTGCAAGTAGTGCTGCAGCACACGCTCCTCTCTTGTCCAGTGCTGTTGCTGGCGCTGCTGCTCCTGCTGGAGCTCTGGCTTCTGTCGGAAGGTGTTTTGGTTGGGCAGCATGAGCCTCGCGTCTTCTTGATGCTGAGGTTGCTGGGGAATCCTGGCCGTGCCATAGACTTCCAGTGTCTCCTCAGCTCTATGCGGCATCAAGGCGCCAGAAACTGGGTTGCCGTCCTCTTGCTGCAGCTGCTGCTGTTGTTGTTGTTGATGTTGATGTTGTTGGTGTTGATGTTGATGTTGTTGGTGTTGGTGTTGATGTTGTTGTTGTTGGTGTTGTCGTTGGTGTTGATGTTGTTGGTGTTGATGTTGTTGGTGTTGTTGGTGTTGGTGTTGTTGGTGTTGTTGGTGTTGATGTTGTTGGTGTTGTTGGTGTTGATGTTGTTGGTGTTGGTGTTGCTGCTGGATCGCCCGCAGCTGCTGTCCAGCGAAAAGGCCAAGTGAACGAAGCCGCCGTTCGAGCTCTCCTAGTGCCCCCAAGCCATCCCCTTGCTGCTCTTGCTGCTCCTGGTGTTGCTGATGCACATCCCGTTGGGGGCGTTGCTCTTCATGATGCAGCTCCTCTGCTTCCTGCAGCTTGTCTTCGTGCAGGGAGGGGTGAAGCTGACTGTTCGGCTGCAGCTGATCTTCCAGCTGCGGGTGGTGCTGCTGCCTCTGCCGATCCAGCCCTTCGGTAAGGAGTCGCAGCTCATCCTCTAGTGTATGTGTGTTCTTCATCGCCGCCATTTCTATCAAGAGATGAGATCCGCGCTGAAGCACCAGGCGCAGCTCCTGTTGCTGCTTTGCAGCTTCAGATGATGCGTAGAACAGTGACTTGGCCTGCTGCAGTCGCTCATATTCGTGCTGCTATCCTTCTTCTTCTTGCTGTGACTGCCTTCTCAAGGGTAGAATTCGCCAGGCACTCCAAGGGGCATGTCTTCTCCCGCCACGCACGGAGGCTTCTCCTGCAACAATCCCACGCCCCTCACAGGGACCAAAGACGAATCAACTGCCAAGTAGAGGTGCTACGGAAAGAGCTGCTGAAGTATTTCGAATCTGCATGCACAACGCGTATGAGGACAGCAAGGGGGGATTCAGGGTCGTCTGCGTGCGCCTTTCGGTGCGTTCGCTGGTGTTGCTGCCCCTGTCGCTGCTAAAGACGGCGATTTTCTCGCGCATTCAGGTTCTGCCAATACTTTCGAGCCGTTTCACGCGACTTTTGGACGCCCCACCCTAAGGAGATGTGTGAGGGGGGGGGTTCCTCACGGTACACAGCAGCGCCTTGCGTTTAGCGAGTCGGACGGATACCGTTGACAGGCTTCCTGGCACAGCTGCTTCAGCAGTAGCAGGTGCAACAGAGATCGTGCTCTATCGCTTCCCCCGGTTCTGCTCTACTAAGAGCTGGCGGCTGCTGCTCTTGTAGTCGGTGCCAGTGCCGCCGCTGCTCCGCATCGCTCCCGCAAAAAGAAAAAGACCGGCTGGAAATTGTGCAGGTGACTGGCTGCCCGTTGCGGTGCGCTGAAGAGGGAAGAAACAAGGCACCCCTAGCAAAGGGCGGCGGCAGTGACGGCTGTTCTCCCAGTGCCTGCGCCAGTAGCTCAGTTGCGCCAGCACGGCCGAGTCCCTCTCTCTACGCTCGCACACACCGATTCGTCTGCCTCAACTTTAGAAATAGAGCGAGACGAATCGCAAAAACAGCACGAGTTGCAGCTCCAGGGAACGGAAGAATGGGACGCGCACATCCGGCGGGCTCGACTGCGCGGTTGTGCTTCTGCTCACTGTGTCTTGCCTCTTGCACGCCCCTCTCCTGCCTCTTGCTGTCCCATTTCTCTCCACGCGCTCTATTATCCTTTTAAAAAGCATTACAACCGCTCGAGCGGGGAGACTGGCGTTAAGAGGCAGCAGCAGCAGCGGCAGCACCAGCAGCAGCCCCTCCAGAAACCACCACCAAACGGCCATGCCTCCACCTGTAGGCGCTTGGAGCGCACCAGTTACGGGCAATAGGCAATGCTATGGCTCGAAATCCAGCGCGTAGCGTCTTCTGTTAGGCAAATCACGACGGAGACTGCGGAGAATGCAGGAACTCCAGCGTATGTTCTCCAGGTGGGCACCCTGCACCAGTCCTTCCAGCATTTAACACCCCATTGATTGGATTCCTCATGCAGATGCCTCTTAAGGCCACCGAGCTTCCAAGACAATAAAGAGCTGTCTGCACGCCCCACAGGGGCAAGCCTGAAAGTAAAATAGTGTCACTTCATAGCCTTCAGAGCTCCAAACTTCGTCTGCTACGGAGGCACTGAAACGTTTCATCTGAGGCCTCTAAAGGCAACATTTAACACCGGACTCATTCATAACGCACTGGAAAGCTTCTGGGTGCTTCTCAAAAGAACTCCCGCCTTCCCCTGCTTGCGTTCTTCAGAGCCTGCGAGGCGAGAAGCTGGGGTCAGCGTTGGTGCAACCTCTAATCACTCTTAGGGCAGTGGACGGACCCACAGCTGGACAATTTTTACTGCATTGGTTGTATTAATCAGAAATTGAAAGAGCCTTCAATACTTAGTCTGTCCGTTCGTATATCTTACTCCCCTGCACCGACCTAACGGTGCTCTTCAACACGACGGCATGTTGTGTGCATGTGGGCTAGATGGTATGTGCAGCTAGCTGGGAATATTTGGGGTGCATAGACAATGAAGTTTTGCGAATTCTTACTGCCCTGCTTTCCTTATGTCGGTAACGGTGGGGGTCATATGCAACGGATGGTGACAGTTCTTCTGGGAAACACTGACTAGCTCTCGTTTGACTTTGTACTGAATCTGGACTTAGGCGGTTCCTACGCGAAGCTTACATGAAGTGGTACAGTGGGTAGTACTGCATGGCTCCATGCGGCTATACCCCGCTCATCCGCTAGATGTGGATGCAGTGGGAGATTAGCTTACCGGACACAAACTGCATGGTTTCTATCAAGTTATTTGGTGATTCAAAATAGAGCTAGCATCTCATTTGACAACATAATGGAAAAAAGAAACTCCCTCGCTACACAAGTCGACGGTAGAACACGACCTGCTGAGCCAGGATTGCAAAACAGCAAGCTTACGTCACCGCAATCACTACACACCTGCTACAGAGGCATGATTTGTCAGCCGATAAAATGATTATGAATGCGTCGGTGAGGGTATGCCGATTAGAAAGATGTGATGGCCGTACGCCTGGGCAAGTGCTCGAAGATTTCATGAGCCCGTTGGAGTTGTACCTCGCTTCGTACCCGCAGACGAGGAGAAACGAGTGCTCCTTGCGGCACACTAATCAACGGACAGCCTTCACTGCCGGCTCTATTCATGAATAGAAATTCGTCTGCCTGCACGGATTACCACAGTTCAAGCCTTCATATGGGCCCTGACGCATTGGTTTATGCCGGGGTCAGCTCGGCAAGCTCGGAAGAATTGTAGAGCCCAAGCACAATAA